TAGAAGAGCCGTTTCTCAAGAATGTTTAAGTCTTATTGATAAACGACCGTGGTCTTCTTTAAAAAAAACAAGAGGTCCAAGGGCCTAAACGGTCACCTGAGTATAAAACAACAATCCATAAAGGATCCATAGAGTATAAAATAAACTGACAGAAGCAGCTTTGCTGCCCAAAAGCAAGATAAATAGGATGATCAAGAACATCGAAATAATAAGTCTAGTATTCAGTAACAACTCATAAATTAAATTCTAATCTGTCCCCCATTTAGATCTTTTTCCCTATAAGTTTTGTTTTCTATTATGGCCCCACCCTACCCCCCGGAGTGATGATTTTAAACAATCTTGAATTTACACTACTGTAAATCACTTTTTATTCGCAAGAACTTTTTTTCGCGTAATTACGCGAGACAGTATGCTCGCAAAAATTTCATTCTTGCGTATATTAGTATTCCTAAAGATTATATAGAGCAATAAACACGACTCGTGAATATTCTGTCGCGCTAATAAAGAGTCAATATCTATCTTGCGAAAATAAGGTGTCGCGAAAATTTAGTGATCTACAGTTCCTGAAGATGCTTCTGTATTAAAATGACTAATCATGGCTTTGTTGTTCTTGAGAAGATTTTTTAAATGATCTTTCCTATATATTCATAACTAAAACTTTGATCACCTGTTGTGTCCCCTTCCTACCCCAGGGGGTCATGATTTGAAGAAATTTGAATTAATATTACCCAAGGATCCTTCCATATAAATAAGACAAATCATGGCTTTGCTATTCTTGAGATGAAGATTGTTATAGATTTTTCCTATGTATTCATATGTAAATCTTTGATCGTCCATTGAGGCCAAAGAAACTTGAATCTATACTACCTGAGGATGCTTCCATGTATATATAACCAATCATGGCTTTGCTGTTCTTGAGAAAAGAATTTTTCAAGATTTTTCCCAAGTATTCCAATGTAAAACTTTCATTGTCCATTGTGGCCCCATGCACCCTACCCCCGGGGATCATGATTTTAACAAATTTGAATCTTCATTACCTAAAGATGTTTCCACGTAAGTTTCATCTTTCTTGGCCCAGTGGTTCTGGAGAAGAATATTTTTAAAGATTTTTTTTTATGTGTATCCCTTTGTTAAACTTTGATCGTCCATTGTGGCCTCAACCTACCCCTGGGGTTTATGATTTTAATAAAACTTGAGTCTACACTACCTGATGATGTTTCCATATAAGTTTCATCTTACCTGGTCCAGTGGTTCTTGAGATTTTTCAAAGATGCCACTAATTTTTCACTAATTCTTAATTATCTCCCCTTGGAAGAAGGTGGGTGTGGCCCTTCATTTGAACAAACTTAAATCGCCTTTACCCAAGGATACTTTGTGGCAAGTTTGGTTGAAATTGGCCCAGTGGTTCTTGAGAAGAAGTCGAAAATGTGAAAAGTTTACACACAACGATGGACGAAACAGATAGCAATAGGTCACCTGAGTGACTCATCTGACCTAAAAATAAATGGAGCTAATATATTCAGTGGATGTAAATATTCTGTATTTTTTTCTGCCAGTGACCTTAGATTTGTCCAGTGACTTTGGAACAAGTTCATGATACACTGAATGAGTTCTACTGTCTCTCCATCACAAGATATGAATAGGACAAGAATTCTACATTTTACTTCCCGTGTCCTTGGACCTGTCAGAATGACAAGGTCACAATACACCCTCAAATCCTTTAAGCAATCTTTCTGTCAAGTATGACCTTCCAATGTCTCTCCATTAGAAAGTTATGAATTGGATAGGAATTATTTAAGTAATGAAACTATCTCAAGTCATATGCAATCTTTGTCAATAACCTTGAACTTACCCAGATGACTTGGGTTTAGGTCATGATACACCCTACAAGTCAAGCAACCTTAATCTACAGCTAGGAGGGAATCTCAGTCCCACTAATCAACCAAAATCAACAGTCTTTAGACAAGATTTTGAAAAATCATAAGTCACAAAGGGCACTGACACAATAATAAGTATTAACCTGAATTCCTATGTCATTAATTCACCTGGTAGCATCTTTAGTGTGCTAGATTCATGTATTACTCTATAAGATAAGGTCAATCAAGTGAACAACCAGGAAATTAAGTTATCCATTCAAAAATTTGTTTACCATTTGTCAAGATCACCTCACTTAAAAACAGATAAAGTATGCGCACAATTAAAAAGTCATTCCTTTATATTTAATAATCTGTGACAACAGATTACCAGACTTACTTATTGGTGGTATTGAACAATGAATGTTCTTAACCTGTCCACACTCTACATGCATTAATAACAACTTATTACCAGGTAATAAAACATAGGTAATCAAAGATTACGAAGCTCACCTCGACGAAGGTTATCTATAAGTAAGGCAAATCTCACATCATATTTTTTCTAGTTAGTGTACATCCCAAGATCAATATCTATACAAGTTTGGTTTAAGAAGGACTTATAATTACTTGGAAATAGACCTGCTCAAAAAACTTTAACCTGGTCACTCATCTAGAAAATCTAGGTCAGATTCAGCATCCGAAGCAAGTGTGTAGTGTTCATCCCTAGATGCATCATCCATGCAAGTTTGGTCCAGGTAGGGCGTATAGTTACTTGGGAATGGACCTGCTCCAAAAACTTTAACCTGGTCACTCATCTGGAAAATCTAGGTCAGATCCAGCATCCGAAGCAAGTGTTGTAGTGTCCATCCCTATATGCATCATCCATGCAAGTTTGGTTCAGGTAGGGCTTATAGTTACTTGGGAAAGGATCTGCTCCAAAAACTTTAACCTGGTCACTCATCTGGAAAATCTAGGTCAGATTCAGCATCCGAAGCAAGTGTGGTAGTGTCCATCCCTAGATGCATCATCCATGCAAGTTTGGTTCAGGTAGGGCCTATAGTTACTTGGGAATGGACCTGCTCCAAAAACATTAACCTGGTCACTCATCTGGAAAATCTAGGTTAGATTCAGCATCTGAAGCAAGTGTGGTAGTGTCCATCCCTAGATGCATCATCCATGCAAGTTTGGTCCAGGTAGGGCTTATAGTTACTTGGGAATGGACCTGCTCCAAAACTTTAACCTGGTCACTCATCTGGAAAAATCTAGGTCAGATCCAGCATCCGAAGCAAGTGTGGCAGTGTCCATTCTAGATGCATCATCCATGCAAGTTTGGTTCAGGTAGGGCGTATAGTTACTTGGGAATGGATCTGCTCCAAAAACTTTAACCTGGTCACTCATCTGGAAAATCTAGGACAGATTCAGCATCCGAAGCAAGTGTGGTAGTGTCCATCCCTTGATGCATCAGGAATGCAAATTTCGTTCAGGTAGGGCCTATAGTTACTTGGGAATGGATCTGCTCCAAAAACGTTAACCTGGTCACTCATCTGGAAAATCTAGATTAGATTCAGCATCCGAAGCAAGTGTGGTAGTGTCCATCCCTAGATGCATCATCCATGCAAGTTTGGTCCAGGTAGGGCTTATAGTTACTTGGGAATGGATCTGCTCCAAAAACTTTAACCTGGTCACTCATCTGGAAAATCTAGGTCAGATTCAGCACCCGAAGCAAGTGTGTAGTGTTCATCCCTAGATGCATCATCCATGCAAGTTTGGTCCAGGTAGGGCTTATAGTTACTTGGGAATGGACCTGCTCCAAAAACTTTAACCTGGTCACTCATCTGGAAAATCTAGGTCAGATCCAGCATCCGAAGCAAGTGTGGTAGTGTCCATCCCTAGATGCATCATCCATGCAAGTTTGGTCCAGGTAGGGCTTATAGTTACTTGGGAATGGACCTGCTCCAAAAACTTTAACCTGGTCACTCATCTGGAAAATCTAGGTCAGATCCAGCATCCGAAGCAAGTGTGGTAGTGTCCATCCCTAGATGCATCATCCATGCAAGTTTGGTCCAGGTAGGGCTTATAGTTACTTGGGAATGGACCTGCTCCAAAAACTTTAACCTGGTCACTCATCTGGAAAATCTAGGTCAGATCCAGCATCCGAAGCAAGTGTGGTAGTGTCCATCCCTAGATGCATCATCCATGCAAGTTTGGTCCAGGTAGGGCTTATAGTTACTTGGGAATGGATCTGCTCCAAAAACTTTAACCTGGTCACTCATCTGGAAAATCTAGGTCAGATCCAGCATCCGAAGCAAGTGTGGTAGTGTCCATCCCTAGATGCATCATCCATACAAGTTTGGTTCAGGTGGGGCGTATAGTTCCTTGGGAATGGACCTGCTCCAAAAACTTTAACCTGGTCACTCATCTGGAAAATCTAGGTCAGATCCAGCATCCGAAGCAAGTGTGGCAGTGTCCATTCTAGATGCATCATCCATGCAAGTTTGGTCCAGGTAGGGCTTATAGTAACTTGGGAATGGGACTTGCTCCTAAAACTTTAACCGGGACGCCGACGCCGACGCCGGGGGTATAGCATAAGCTCATCTCGACTTCGTCGAGGTGAGCTAATAAAAAATTCACCTTTAGAATTCTTTTGATAAGCTAAGGCTTGTCAAAACTTGGCAAACTTTACTACTCAAAGCTTTAACCAAACTTGCAATTTCTTTAAAGACTTGTGTTAAAATTATATCTTGCCAAGTTCTCAATAAGTAAAGAAAAAATTCTGGGCCCCGTTTTACAAAAAAAAACAAACCAAGATTAAAATGTAAATTTGCGAATAACTTTCTTTTTCACATTAATTTGAAATTAGTTTAAATCTTTCTAAAGAGAATTTAAGACAACATTTTTTGTGCCAGCACATTTTTAACAGAAACATTTAATATGCAAGATTTTACAATCCACTAGTTTTTTGGTCTCATTCACAAATTCTTTTGCAAAACGAGCCCCTGCTTCTCTGAAGATTAGACATTTATCAAAAAATGAACATTTTTACACATCAAGCACTTAACAATAGTCTGAATAGATCTCTTAATGAATAGAGAATCTGTGCTCACCTCAAGAAATATTAACATTTCTGAAAACAAAATCAAGACATGCTACAAGAAATATTTTTATGCACTTTCTCATCAATTACAACAATTGGTTCCTTAAAACAAAACAGAGCATCTCAAGGCAATGTGAAAACACACTGCCATAAATATACACTCGTCAGCACTTATAGCACAACTCAAGCATAAAGATGCAGTACATACATTGGCACTACTGAATATAGCACACAATCCCTGCAGCAATATCACATACACAATGTCTCGATACATTATGGTTTATCAGTGTCTCTGTTAATGAGTTTGTGTAGGCCATTCAACACTTTCACATTGTCTGGGTTTTTTCACCTTTCCTTTAGGCATACATACACATTTAAACAATATTCATAAAATTACATGATATGTGTTCTTTACATTCAAGATGAAGGCAGGCAGTCTGCCAGAATTTCTTTTGCAGTGTTCGAGATCTGGTTTGGGAACACAACGTCAAATTCAATTATTAAGTCCCCCCGTTTTCCAGGCTGTTTTGGTATGGGTAAGCCTTCTCCTTGTATTCGCTTGACCGAATGAGGTTTCACAACTTCTCGTAAACGTAGGGGGATTTTCCTGCCGTCAATTGTTGGGACTTGTAGAGTGGTTCCACATAAAGCCTGCAAAATAAGCAAAAATGTATTATTCACAGACACACTAGTATACAGCAAAATCATTAACAGGTTATGTGTTCAATTACCATACATGTATTATAAATCAATACTTCTCAGTCAAATAATCAATCATTGGGCTCTAGTTGAAAACAGCTTTCTCAAGTCAACATTTATTATAGATATAAGCATTCATAAGATTTAAATAATAATAATGAAGATAAATAAGCATTTACTTACATCTTTGAGCGATAATTTGGCTTTGTATCTAATGTCACTGCCTTCCCTTGTGAATATACTATGTGGTTTGTCTTTTATAACAAAGACAACATCAGCTGGTATATTGTTCGGGGTTTGATCACCCTCCTTTGGGAATGTAATCTTTGTTCCTGCTTTCCATCCAGGTTTTATATCAATTGTCAAGATCTTATCTTCTGTTCTCGTTGTACGTCCATCATTATTTAGCACTTTACGAGTAATTTTGAGCTTCTTCGTGGCACCTTTATAAATGTCCTCCAGAGCCACTGGTAGTTCGCGCACCACTGCGGAATCTTGCCTTTTTCTTTGTGGTCGTCCTCCACCCATACCACCCATGCCTCCGAACGGATTATCGTCAACATCCATGTCTTCTTGACCCTGGGGGCCACCGAAATGAAACATGCGTGATGTACCGCCACCGGGGCCACCAAATCCACGTCCGCCACCACCGCCACCTCCGAAAAAGCTTGCAAATGGATCATCCCCTCCAAAGAACATACGGAATGTGTCTCTTGGGTTCCCTTGGAATTCATAGTGGAAGTTTCCACCACCACCAGGTGCGGATCCCTGGAAACCACTGTCGGGAGGGGGTCCATTTTTCAGTCCTTCCTCACCATACTTATCGTAAATCTCTTTCTTGTTTGGGTCACTCAGTACGTCATATGCTTCTGCAATTTCCTTGAATTTTTCTTCGGCTCCCGGCGATTTGTTTTTATCTGGATGATATTTCAGCGCCATTTTCCTGTAGCCCTTCTTAATTTCATCCTCAGACGCACCTTTGGTAATCCCAAGGATTTTGTAGTAGTCTTTACCCATATTTCACAATTGCACTTAACAGAACAAATTCAGTTCTTGATAAAACCACTGCTCCAAAAACACTGATCTTAATCGTCGACCTACAGATCGTTTAGTAACTTCCCTCGACAAGTCTCGCTGATTCTCGGACGACCTAGAATTTACTAGAATATGACGTCAGATTCCTGTCGATCTAAAAATAAAACAGAGAGGACAGGTGAAAACAAACAGCAGTTGTCTGTCTGTGCTGCCAAGTACTTGTGATATATTGACATAACTATCCGTCACTATTTTTTTTTATTGTTTCAATACGAGAAACTAACGGTTAGAGAATTATTTAAAATGTACGTAACAAAGTAGCCTAGCGGAATATCGGATCGACCGGTTTATAAAAGTGGCCATTAGTTTTCCATGATCAGCTGATGATTACAAGGGTGGCGACGCAACTCAAACTCCTGCATAGATCAAACATTTATTTTCTTATTAACGGTCTCAAAAGTTGGGGGGGGGGGAGGGGTTTCTCATGAAAATCTAACAAGCCCCCCCCCCCCAAAAAAAAACTAAACTGACCAAAGGGGGGGGGGACTTCCCAAAATACTCTGACCAGCAAAATAAATTAATTTAAAAAAAAAAAATAAATAAAAGCTTATTTATTACATCTTGGTTGGAATTTGCCAGTGCTCGACCTCAGCATCAAAAAGTGGGGGTCAACCACCCTCTAAAGAAAGATTTACTTAATCAAAAAAAAGTGGGGGAGGGGGCACTGCCCCCTCCCCCCGTTCTACGGGCCTGGGGACCGTATTACAAAAGAACTTACGACTAAGATCAAATACTTCAGTTGATTGTAAAATTTTGCAAAATTAATTATTCTGTTTAAAATTACTAGCGTAAAAGTATCTTTCTAAACATCTTTTAAAAATATTAACACCGTTTTCTATTAATGTAAATTAAAAAAATTATTAGCAGAATTAATTTTTGGTCTTAGTCGTAAGTTCTTTTGTAAAACGGGCTCCTGAATTACTTAAACGTTTTCTTAATACTTTGTATCTTTTACTTACTCAACGTAGATCATTGATCCGCTCCTCTTTTTTTTTATTCTTGTACAATAAAAGGGGGAGTCTTATTTTAATCAAATTGATTTTCATGGTGATTTCCACACATCTTTAGTGTACAATATCAATTTAGTTAGTTTAATGATTTCTCATCCATATAGGAAGTGGAATAGCTTAATGTGAGGTGGTCAGTATAGAGGGCAAGTGTTCATTTTAGGAAATAACCTGACAGTATGCTCTACATTTTTTTTCTTTTTTCTATTATTATCAATTTGTGATATTGCATTAGTAGCAGTGCACTTTGAATTTGATTTCATGTCTAAAAAGGTTTTGTTCTTCAACTTTACAAAATGTTGTAACTGATGTACATACAAAAGCACATTGTACAACTTGCATCTACTATTCATACATGCAGTATTTAAAATAATTACTTATTTCATAAAAATAGTTTTTTTTTTTTTTAAATAGAGACTCTTACTCTGCATCAAAACAAAGAAATGAAGTCATTTAGCTATTTTCTGCATCTTCGCTAGCCAAGGGTTTTCGGTCCGCTCTGCTCACCATAAAGTGGAGCAGAGCGGAACGAAAATCCTTGGCTAGCGAAGATGATTTTCTGAAGAAATACTTTTCATTGATAGTTTTCAAGTTTATGTTGATTGATTCATAGGGGTCAACATGTCCTAGAAGTTGTAGGAAGAAAAAAACCTGTGAAGTACAACATAATTTTAGCTTTTTAGACAAAATAGATGCAAATCTAATATTTTTAAGAGAAAAGGGTGTTTTAAAACCATGAAATTATGAAAATTTGAACATACATGTTACATTTTGTGATAATTTGAAATTTTCCGTTTTGTGTACTTTCCCCAGTAATTTTCATCTTTGTTACCATATTAATGAAAGTGACACATATTATAAATATTTAACCTGGTAGCAGATTAATTGAGAATTTTTTTGTGAAGATGACACAAGTATTTTTTCAGAGATAGGGTGATGACAGAAGGGGGTATACATCTTCTAGAGTTTCTGGTCGGAAATGTAACCTGTCAAGATGTGTATTTTTTGGCTTTTTAATTACATTAATTAATTTTAGATATTATTCCAATGATTCAAATGGGAAGAACCAAAAATATGCCTAGTAGGGACCTACCTTAAAGCAAATACTCGAGACTATATATCTAGCGAGTAGAATAGGTTATTCTGAAGTACCTGTTTTATTCAAAACGTAAATAGACTTAAAAATAAATACATCTCTCTCTCTTTCTCTCTCTCTCTGCAAAATTAAAAGGGGGTTTCACCCGGCCCTCAGGATTCCCCCATCTGGATCCGCCAATGAAACTGGTGGTTATGGGGGAGGATCGATCTATCGTAAAAGCTCAGAGGTTTTTGTATATATATAATTTTATATATATATATATATATATATATATATATCCTAATGAGAAATACACTGTACACGGAAGCAATAAATACTCGCACACCAACATCAACTTCTTCCAGGAATAATGTATTTATATGGGGATGGGACGGGGAATAATCACCAGTTTTGTAAATACCTTCCGAGGGTCATTTTACATCATAAAGTTAGAAATAAACGATAAAGAATGTTGTTGGAGGAGTTAAGTACACAGTATTTTTAATGAAAATCAGAAATTATTTTTACAAGGGATAGATGTAATTTCCTCTTATACTCTTCAAAATGATAATTACGACCGCTAAATCTGAGGGCACCTGTTAAGGAGACTGTGACAGGGTAGTGTGCTACTTCATGCACTGTGCGGTTTCTTTCATAGGTTTTTATTAATAGAGAAAAACGGGGTGCCTCAACCTTCTTTATATTATCTACACTCATTTATACTTAACATAAATTCCCTGGGATTGCTTGCCACTGGTGCTTATTATATAACCAACTTTATTCTGCCCTTACCAACTTTTAAATGCCGGACGTCCACAAAGCTTCGCTTTATTATGCACTTTGGCTAATTTAAACCAAAGAGTTGCCAGAGCATTCAATTGTTTGAGGTCTATATTGCGTTTTATAGGCATGGACCTTTACAAAATTGTGTGAAATGCTTTCAAAACGCTATACTTTTCCTACAGTTTTGGTTCGATTGAAGTGAGATTTGTACCTAAGTACAATCTGATTAGATCCGCTCACAAGGTAGCGATCTATGTGAGCGGATCAAAGGATCTGATTTTAATCAGATTAGTAAACTTCACTAAAAAACATAATTCTTTGTAATGATTTCTGACTTTGACTAACGACTTGCCATAGTGATCAAAATAGAGAAATTTATGTGAAAATCTTTCAAAAGGCTACTTTTCCAACAGTTTTGGGTCGATTCCAATAAGATTTGGCACACAGGTAGACTACAATAAAATTCATAATTCTTTTTATTGAATTTTGATTTCGACGGGCAGTTTTGCCATGGTTGTTAAAACAATAATTTCCGTGAAAATCTTTCATAACACCTTTCCTTCAATAGATTTGTTATTTCAATAAAACGTGGAAGACGGGTATCATGATACACATTAAAATTTGGACGAATGATGAATAACAAAAAATAGAAGAACGTGCGTGTGAAATTTTGTCAAAACGATTAATTCACCTCCGAGAGAGTTGGGCTGATTCCACTTAATATGTTAAATTAAGACACACAATTCAGTTTGGATGTCGATGATGCCATAGCTATTAATAATTCTGTAATGAAATTTTACGAAAAGGGTTTCAAATTCTAAGAGACTTTTATTTTACAAATACGACTGTAAGTCGTGTACTTATTTTAATTTTCGAATTAAAAACACTGAATGATAAAGTTTTGCCTGTTTAGTTTTTCGTTGGATTTATGAAATCGATGATTTAGCATTTTTATAGTTCATTTAAGCCCTTTCAGGAGTTAGGCCTTTGGTTAAAAAAAAAGTTTGTATTTCTCATCTTGTTTTATAGACATGTATACGAATTCAATAATGATTGCAATGTAAAAGCCACTGTCACATTATTTGGATTTTTGTTAATTTAGTTGATTTTTAAAATGCCATTGTATATAAGTTAAATTCACGAGACATTTTTGAAAATTATCATGATATTTATGCGACATTTTATGTTGAAAAGTAGGTTATTTGAAAGTTACTTGTAGACGTAGTTTTTCGACATTTAAATGCGATTAAGTTTAAAACAAGATTATAATGTCAAATTTTCTTTGATGTCAGCGAATACTCTTCAATTATTATATATCTATTTTAGATTGTTTGACATTTCATTATAGAATTTCTGCTTTGCCAAAACGTTGTATAAATGTGTCAGTTTGTATAGTGCTTTATACGTTTTATCATATTGTCCTTCCTGGTATACTTTATTTTATCATATACAATATACAACATGACTATCTTTAGTCATGTTGTATATTTTATTGTTTAAAATAAAGTATATTAGGGAGGACATTTTACTTAAGGACAGATACAAACCAAAAAAAAAAAAAAAAAAAAATGGATGTCCGAATTGATATACATTTGTGGACTTGTTTTGGTGGTAAATTATGCAAATATTTTAAATCTTTAGAATATTAATAAATTGTAAACTTTCTATCACGTTCAAATTTCTACCTTTCTGCAATCATCCTTATACGCCAAGTCTATGCAATTTTTAATCTCTGTAAATGGCATTAATGTGAAATTTTTAAAGAAAAATTAAATTTATGTGGTTAACTTATTCATGTTACTTATATAAACGTGACTTAAGTTGTTATTTTCATAAATTTGAAGAAAAAAGTTTTTGTATCATCTGTTCTTAAGAGTGCATCCCATTATAATGAATCGATCCGGATTCTCCATTCAAAAACAAATGGTGATTTAATGAAATGAAGTTCCTAAATTGTTAAATATTCATGTTATAATATCGTAAACTGAAGAAAGAAAGTGTGATCGAGAAATATTATAGACAAATAAAGAGGAATCTTTCAAAGTCATAAGAAAAATCGAATACAAGTAAAATGGAGATCCAAACAGAAATGTGTATCAAGTACAAATATGGCTCACAGTGGAACAAGTTATAAAAATACAAAGAAGGAAAGAAAGAAACTCTTACATCACTTAAAATATTAAAACACAACCACAGATTGTCAAATGTAATAACATTTATTCGTTGATAATAAAAATAAGTAGAAAACAAACATGGTATGTGTAAACCCCCCCCCCCCCCCCCCGCCCCCAGTAATTAATATGATTTATATGATGATAATTATACTGAGTGAAACAACTGAGTATCTTGCATAAATACAGGCAATGTAAGACGAAGAGGAAATGTAGAGGGGACCTGCCACCATCCCTATACATACCAGTTTTAGGTTTAGGCTTTAGGTTTTGAGCCCTGTCAAATTTTTCCGACTTCCCCCCTCATTTTGTAAAAGGATGCACTGTATTTAATCTACATGTAGACTTTTGTCTATTTTTGTCCTTTGCGACCCTGCAAAGTACATTGTATAAACAATGATAAACTAATTAATCACCAAGCACTCTATTAAGAATACCTTATGTTCAATGTACAGTAACAATTAGACGTCCAGTTTACTGTGTACATCTGTAGTCAAGTCTACTATGACTATCTGTAGTGCAGTCTACTCAGACTATCTGTAGACCTGTCTACTATGACTATCTGTAGACCAGACTACTCTGACTATTTGAAGTCAAGTCTACTCTGACTATCTGTAGTCCAGACTGACCATCTGTAGTCCAGTCTACTCTGACTATCTGTAGACGAGTTTACTATGACAATCTATATAGACCAGTTTACTATGACTATCTGTAGTCCAGTTTAATGACTATCTGTAGTCCAGATTACTCTGACTATCTATAGACCAGTTTACTCTGACTATATGTAGACCAGTCTACTATGATTATCTGAAGTTCAGTGACTAATGGAAGTCGAGTCTGCTGTGTATGTCTGTCTTGTGAGATTCCACTAGTGAGATATTGTCCAGTTTATAATGGACATTAAGCTGGTCACACATCTGCTTTAGTAAATCCAGAGACTGCTTCTGCATCGATGTCGCTTGCGCCAGTCTGCCAAATTAAAAACAAATCGGCATATCACAGACGTGCTCTGATTTTGGAAAGCACCGTATTTAAACCATTTCAGATATACACTTTGCTTTCATAAAAAAAATGTTGGTTATGACTATTTGGAATTAATGACTACAAATCTGAATGTAAATCTGAATCTTGATTTTGCATAAAAATATAAGAATCTAATTTGTGTCAATTTGACGACAGTGACTAACGCTGTAACTGTTAAGACAACCAACAATTTTCAATTTCAACGATGTATTTCAATAGTAAGGCCTTATTTAACATTCAGAATGACCACGTGACTTACTGTTGCTTTGTTTTTCGGACATCCTCCTGCAGTTTTTGTACACTCTCTTTAATATAGTCTGGTTTCTCTTCACGTATAAAAGTATGGCTGTTATGCGGTTCCCCAAAGAGAAATTTATAAAACTGAAAAATGGAATGTAAATTAAAGAATAAACTCGTTTCATCTTTAAAAATTCTGTTTTGTTTGACATTAAATATATATCCTAAATGATGGTATCTCAATAACTTAACGAAGTAGAAATAAAAAACTTAAAAACAGATTTTTACCTGATTAAATCTCGAGTTCATATTTTTATTTGGTATAACTGTGTGGCTCCTTTTATAAAACTTCTTTTGAAAATATCTGGGAAAAGTGACTTCGGTATTGCACAAGAAGTCAATCTGAAAATAGGAAAATATTCCTGAGAATTTCAGATCAGTGAAGAGATGTAACACAGCGATCATGAAGGCGCCTTTATGTTGATCACCATGAACTATTTCTGATGTTAATAAAATTCTTGTCAATATGCAATATTTTCTTTGACAGACTGATACCTGTATTGAGAGTCTGGTTATGTAAGCCTTCTTCTGAACACTTTCTATATCCCCCACAGCTATACCAATCTTTATCAGAAAATCATATATACATATAGTTATAATATGTTTCAAATATAATATACATTTAAGTTTCTGCATACTGGTAAAAAGTTATTTAAGTTTTTCTTAAATCAAAAGAACATGGATAAAATCAGGAATTGTTATTAAAACCAGAGAAGAGCTAGGACATACCAACAAGTTCATCAGTGATATTGGCATAATAAGAGCAAAGAGCAGAAAAAGAATGAGGTTGTCCACATAGAAGGTTGCATCTGTACCGCTCATAAAGTTGTCAATATAGTTTATCTCCCCTAGGGTCATGGAGAGAACAGTCAGGGGGTAGGGCTGGTCTTTCTTGAAACCCGGCTGTAAAGAGATTTATAAAGTGACATGAGGCTTGTTTTCATGAATTCAGGTTTATCGTATCTCAATCTTCTATACAAATAATTCTTTACTGTTATTTTTATTTCAGCTTGAATGGGGTTTTTTTAAGGTAAAACCCCTGTTTATAAGATATCTATACTTACCTGCATCGAATATTTAGCAATATGTCACGGACTCCTACTACTATGCCCAATTATTTTTTGAACAAGTTATCTTCCCTTAATGCACTCTCTAATACCCGATATCCTGGTAACTCAGTTTATGTGAGGGAAATAAAAGATAACCCCTAAAACTCTATAGTTGGTAGGTGGGAAGGGAATATGCAGGTAAGTACAGATATCTTATAAACAGGGGTTTTACCTTAAAAACCCTCAGTTTTATTTCAGTATCTATACTAACCTGCATCAAACATCTAGCAACTAACAGAATTTGTAGCCAAAGGAGGAAAGAATAGAATAAATAAAAATCTACTCACCCTGTCTTTAAAATGGAAGATCTGGCAAAGTTTTCATCACCCCAAAACACATCTTTCAAGTAGAATGAAGTAAATGTATTCGCAAATGCCCAGTGGGCTACTTGTAAAATCTGAGTGAGGATCCATTAAGCAAGGCCCAAGACGAAGCCAAGCGTCTAGTATCATGTGCTCCAACTTTTCCCAAGTTTAGCTCTGTTGAATTCTCATATACATATCTTATAAGGGAAACAATCAATCTAGATATAGAGCCTTTAGCTGCCGGCCTATGTAAATTCTTTTGATATGTAATAAAGAGTGGATCATTCTGATCTCTTATATCCCTTGTTCCCTTTCTGTACATCTTTAGACATCTGCATGGACAGAGTAACAGGTCATTTGATTTTGTTTCAAATCTGTAAAATCTGGGAATAAAAAAAATTGGATTCCATGCCTTACCAAGACGTTGGGGTTTAGCTAAGAATTGTAAATTAGGAAGAAGTCTAATACCAGTACTTTCTTCTCTATAATTTGATTCCCTTATAGATAAGACATGTATTTCACTTACTCGTGCCGCAGATGCCAAAGCCACCAGAAATACAGTTTTCCAAGTCAAAAATTTCAAATCTATCAAAAGGGTGTTTTGTCAAAGCCCATAACACAGAGAGTAAGTCCCAATTAGGTAACAAGGGCTTAGTGGAAGGATTAGAATTGAAAATTCCCTTTATCAAGTTAGGCAAACTTTTTTCAGAACTGAGACTGAGTGTACTCTTACTTCAACCCTAAGGCTTGTGGACTGTAGCAATTGCTGCCCTATAACCAGCAAGAGTGGAAGCCCTGCATCCCTTTGCTTCATGTGAATATACCAGGAAATTTGCCTTGTCTTCCACAGAGGAAGAATATGGACTGACACATTGTTCACTTCACCAGCCTTTGTAAACTCGCAGTTTTGCATCATAAACTCTTTTGGTTGATGATCTTCTGCTCTTTTTTTCCATGTATTTCTGAGCTCTTGAGAAAAATTTTTTAAGCTTATACTGGATATTTTCCAAGCTACTAGTCTTAGATTTTCTGGATCTGGATGAACCACTTGACCTCTTTTCTGTGTCAGCATTCTTGATACTACTGGTAATTCTCTTGGATGATCTATGAGAAGTCCCAGGAGTAATGGATACCATGAACAACGTGGTGCAAATCATGCTATCAGTATCAATGTGCATTGTACCTGAGCTTCTTTCTGTAGAACTAGGTGGAGCAGAACTGGAGGAGGGAACGCGTATGCATACATCCCTGTACTATTTACACTAAGTGCATCTGTTGCAAAGGCTCATTCTATTGGAAATGGGGAGCAATACACTTGATGCTTCTTGTTCTGCCAAGTCGTAAACAGATCGACATTATGTGGTTCGAATCTCTGAAAAATATTCCTCACAATATTCTGATTCAGGCTTCACTCTGTCAGTCAAATGCATAAATCGACCTCTGGATAAACTGTCCGTTAGGATGTTTCTTTTTCCCGGTATGTGGGCTGCACTAAGGACAATATTGTGCCTCTTCGCCCACTAAGAAATCTCCCAGGTCAGAAGACAGAGTAGAAATGATCTTGTGCCTCCCTTCTTGTTGATGTACGAGACAACTGTTTAGTTGTTGCACCTGAAGAGGACTGGCTTGTTCCTGATCTGGGACAAAAACTGTATCTAGGTCACCTGAACTGCTGATTTCTAGCCAGTTTATATGATGGGTTTGTTTAGACACATTCCATTTCCCCGCAATTTGAAGTGTGTCTTAATGGGCTCCCAAACCCATCCTTGCTCTATCTGCCCATAGAACTACTGGCTCTTCCTGGTAAAGAAGATCTACTATGAATGTATTCGTTCTGTTGGTCCACCATTCCAGATGAATGACCAAATCTTGACTGATGGGTATCAGGCCTGAGGGCAAACAATCTGTCTTTGTGTGGTTGCCATAAAGACAGGAAATAAAATTGGATAGGCCGCATATGTAAGCGAGCTAATGGGATTTAATCTATACATGCTGTCATTAAATCCAGAAACCTGTGTGCTTGCACCCATGCTGATCTCTGGAATTGTGCAATTTCTTGTGAAAGATTCTGAAACCTTTCTTCTGACGGGTACAAGTCTACCCTCAAACTGAAGTGCGCCCCCAAATAGTCTAATTCCTGAGTTAGTATCAGTTGAGACTTTTGCCAATTTATTAACAGACCTAAGCTGTGAAGCAAGTTCAGTAATATTTCGCTTTGATGCATTAGCAATTCACGATGTTGGCTCTTGATTAACCAATTGTCCAGGTAAGTGTATATATGAATCTGTGGAGACCCCAAATACTGTCATATTACAGTCATCTGGGCACCTCAAATACAGTCATATTACAGCCATCAGCTTTATGAAAACTCTGAGAGCTATTGCTAGTCAAATGGCATTACTCTGAACTGGTAATGCATTCCTTGAAAACAGAACCGAGAGAACCGTCTGTGATGTGGATAGATGGGAACATGAAAGTATGCTTCCTTCAGGTCTATTGAAATTGTTCAATCTCCTTTTCTTACTGCTTGTGGAATTGATCGGAAAGTTTCCATCTTGAAATGAGGGACATCATTAAGATAAAGACCCCTTCCCATAGTAACAGAGTTCAGCATCACTCTGGCAGTCACATCTGCCATTTACTGGAAAAGCTGACATAGAGCCTGGGTAGCCTCATGCCTGTCCTCGTCAGAAACTGCTCTGTCTAAGTATGTAGCTATAGTAATCAATAAGCCATAATTTGTCTAAGCAAGAGTCTTGAGCTCATGTCTATTCTTCTGAACTCATTATTTGTAGACTCAATTGTCTTATTGTTAAATTTGTAAGGCATTGTACTCCTTTGGCTTCTTGATTCAGCAGAACTCATGATACATTCTTCAATGTTCTCATCTAACTGCGGAGAGGTACAAAACTTTTTAAAGTGATCCTCATCCACCATGTATTTTTGGTCATCATGTGACAGGAAACATCTAATCTTTCCCCCTGTCCTGCTATTTTTTTTCAACCTTTTCCAATATGTACATAACTGAGCCTTCCAAAGGCAGACCAGACTGTTTTAATATACGCTCGGCAACATAAGACTTGTACTCTGTTTCTAATATCTTTTCCTTCATAGGTATGCCTAGGTCCAACGCCACTTTTGAGACGAAGCATTTCCAGTCATCTTTCGACGTACAAGGAAGAGGAGAATTTGAATGATCTGTCTCGGAGCGTATTTACACTTCATCAAACTCATTTGACGACTCATTTGACGATTTGAACAACATCCCTTTCATCTTCAGACTCTTCTGGAGAATCTGAAACTTTATCTGACAGGGGTTGAAACTTGTTAAATCTCCTGTGCTTAGTACCAGACTCTCTCCTGTCTAATTGTTTAGGTATACCTCGACAGGCACTTGTCTTGACAACAATTCAGATATTCTTTTATCTATAACATCCTGCATATTTCCCATCATCCATGGGGGAAACATAAAGGGCATTTGCCCTTGTGATGTCTGATCCATATTAAATGGAAGAAAATTTGCAATTCCAACAGGAGTTGAAATATTCTGGCTTGATAGGTCATGGGAATGACCTTGCCTAACGTTAGGGCTCTCGTGTTCCGAGAACGGAACGGTCAAACAGTGGTCCAATATGTCATAGGAATGACTGGCCATAACAGAGGCCTGTTCAACAGCGCGAACGCTCGCGAGCGCTCGCCAACATTTCTGTTGAAAGGATAAGGAATTTAGGCGAGCGCTCGTGGACGTTCGCTCTGTTGAACAGGCCTCAGGTGTGTTGTTTGCTTTAGGAATTTGTTCCGAGGACAGAACATTCCGAACTTCCACAGCAGACTTAGCTGCTTGATTACTCTAGATAATCGGAATATTCTTCTGAGAACTTTCCCCCGGCAGAGCGACTTTCTTACCTTTATAAGAATCTGACTGTGTTGCTGTCTTACTTTCCTCGGGGGCTTTAGACATTGTGGCAGATTTCTTGCTTTTTTGTTTATGTTTTCTCTAACCGCGGTCCGTTTGTCTTTCGACCAAGCCTTAGCCTGCAAAGACTAGATTCTGAACATGAACGATGCCGTTAACATTCTTCGTGATCGTTGATGTACGATATCTCTCTGCGGCATCGCTTGCATTCTTTATAGGATTCGGCTGCCGTGCTTACCAATTATACTACACGTGGTCAGTACTGACCTTAGTAATTTACGGCAAAATAAACAACACAAACTAAACCACAGCCAAAAAAACACAATAACGATCAAAAACTTTAGAATTTAAAGTTAAACCAATTATTTGAATGATATAAGCAAAGTAGTAGGTAAATGCCTGAAAAATTTCACCGGAGAAAAACACCGCGTGAAACCAAAATGGCTGCCCGAACATAAACTGAGGTACCCGGTTGCGGGTATTAGAGAGTGGGTTAAGGGAAGATAACTCGTTCTAATTCTGGCTGAGTAGTGGGAGTCCGTAACATATTGCTAAATGTTCGATGCAGGTAAATATAGATACTGAAATAAACTTCTGGTTTTTCTTACCGTTTGTGCCATGGTGATAAAAAAAGCCTGAGAGAAGGCCAACAAAAATAGGACCAAGACCACGCACACCTGAATGGGAATGAAAAAAAAATAGGACCAATACAATACACATGGGAAGGAGAATGAAACGAGTTCTTGACATTTTTTTTTTCGTCTATATCAAATATCCATTGACTGAATAATATATCTTAATATCTAAATTTATACCATGTTTTTTTCTTATATGAAAAACACCTAAAGGAATAGTATTTTGAAGAAAGATCTATCTAGACAGCCGACGGTCTTTGACCAGTAAAGTTTAAAAGAAAAAAAAACTACCTTGAGTAAAGATTGGAACACTTGTTCTAGCATGACGAAATATATCCCGACCACGTCAAGTCTACAGGGACAGAAAAAAGATTTAAACAACCATACAAGGAACCTTATGCAAAAACACTCGCCTATTAGTTCAGCAACTAAAAGATGTATATGTCAGTTCGTTAATATTTAGAAAGGTGTTTTTTCAACAATTCTTTCAAACATCATTTAATCTTTGACCCCAAACAACTTATTTGTTTTTCATACTCCTATGTAAAAAAAATCATGAACACCTATTATGGCCTTATCGTAAACTTGGAAGGCTACTGTTTGAATGAGTCTTTGAACATTAAGTTTTCTTTAATTTTGTTTGCTTGACCCAGTGTTTTCTCGAGAAGAATTTTTTTACGGAACATTTTCTGCCCTAATTTTTCTTTTTTGTTTTAAAAACCAACTGCCTTTGAAAGTGATTCTGTCTTTCATTTGAATAAACTTGAATTTCCTTTTAGCCATGGATGCTTAACTTTTCCAATTTGGTAAAATCTGTCCACTTGTGCACAGATAACACAAGACATATAGACAGACGGACAAGGAACACATTTCAATCAGAAAAGTTCATTTAAGCCTTTTAACAATCTAAGCTATTAACAAATCTTATTTTTATATTAGAAATGCCGACTCACGCCCTGAGGATGGAAATTAAGCAGACCCAGGCAGACAGTGTAGCAATCCAGGCTGCCCTCCACTGACTTTCACACGGGATGTAGTTTACAGGGTTCAAGGACGCCGTAGTCCCTATCAACATTATCCACGTCGCGTAGTTAAACGGTATCAGGAAGTATTGCAATCGCTGGACAACAGAAAAGAAACTGACCAATCAGTGGTGAGGAAAAACTGTTATTCATTTAATATTTCAGATTTTGTCATTTCGAAATGCTAAAGTATTTTATCTAATATAATGATCATATTTTGAATAGAGTTTTAAGTTCAAAGTAAACGTAATTTTTTTCTCTTCAAAATATGAAATGTTATTCAGTATCATTAATGAATTCACTTTACAAAAAATATACGAGACGTTCGTGGGCTACAGGGCTCACCTGAGTCACGTTTTCCTTCCTGACAAATATATACATGAATGAAAGGCCTAACTGTTGCCCTAACATAAAGTTTTAATTTTTTAATAAATTTATATTGTAAATTCCGATGCTTCTTTAAGAAATTCAAACTTGCTTTTAAGAAAGGCTCTGAAATCTCGGGTAAAACTGTATTCTTCTACTTACCCTATCATAACCCCAGTTATAATGTTTGCACAAACGAAATAGGCGGCGGAACAGGTGGAAGGGGTGTTGTAGGGGGGCTTTCCCCTCCATTTTTTGCAAAGATAGACATAATATAGGCATTGAAAATTGGGGCTTAACTCCACAGACTTTTTGTTGTTGTTGGTTTAGCCCCCCCCCCCCCCTTTCAATTTGCTTCCGACGCCTGTGGACGATTATGCAAAAGAAAACCCTATTTTACAATAATGAATCATTCCGACTTATATAAGAATATGGTTCTCATTTCAACAAATTTTAGTCCCTCTTAAGAATGTTTCTTATTATGTTTAATTAAAATTGACCAAGTTCTTCGAGAAAAAAGGTTAAAAATTAGAAAAATTGTAGATAGACGGACGACTGATAGAACTCCAATCAGAGAACCCTCATTTAGTTTTGGCTGTGTAAAGAAATAACAGAGGCAGTGGAGGCATATTTATAATGTCAAGGTAATCTGTAATAAAAATTGCATCTGTAAATGTTTTCAAAACATTTAAATGGGGAAAAATTCACTTGTCAAACTCTAGCATATTTTTGCCATTGATCCAATGCTTTATCATATTTACTCAAGGACATATTGTAAAGACCAAGGCTACTGGACAACAGAATATTAAAATCTTGTCCAGTCATAACTTCGAAATCGAGACTTAAATGAATGTAACTTGGTGCATTATATTGTCTTTCATGTCCAACTATAGCTAAGAAAGATTCCTGTAGGTTAATTAATATATATTACCCTTGCGTACATACTGATGCCCTCTCTAATATAAAAAAAGATCATAATGGCGAACAGCATCGACAACAAGATTGTAAGGTTTTCGTCTTCTATGTAGATGTTGGAAAGCTGGCCATTCTGAAAAGAGACATAATGTGGATTTCTGAAATCTGATTTCTGTATTACAATTTTGATAATTTTTTCAATTGAATACTACTTTAAAAGCAATATGAGTGGCATTTTTTGAGAATTTTTATTTATTTTGCTTTAAAATTAAAGCAAAATTGTGCTATTTTGATAATTCTGCATGCACAGGGTTAGGGTTATGATTAAGAAGCCTTAAAGGTGCTTAGACACAGATTTGAAGTTAATATTTACTCAAATTTTCTGTATAATTTCATGAGTTATATGTTGCTATAGCATTTCATACGAAAATTTGATAAAGATCTTATTTGATCTGGAAGTTAGTGAAACTTCTAATTTCTGGACGCGTTTGATAGAAACAACCTTGCACTTTCACAAATTTTAACTTTATCCTTATTACTTTAGAAAAGTAGCAATTTTGTTGATTATTAATGAAAAATATCAAAACTATAATGCAGAAATTTCATAGTAGAAATGTAGAAAGCAAAATCCTCTCACCAGTATTGTCAGTCCGTGCTCAGTGGTGTGTGCAGAGTTTAACAATTGAACACACCCGGTGAAACGTAAACATTAACAACAACAGAGCTCGTGCCCTGTTTACAAAAACAGTTTACGTTTCACGGATGTATTCAATTTGTTTAACTCTGTACACAACTACACAACACTGAGCACGGGCTGACAATACTTAAGTGAGTGGGTTTTGCTTGAATTTCGCACATTTTTACTCTGAATTTTCTGGATTATAGATGTAATATTATTCATTAAAACACAACAGAATTGCTACTTTTCTTAAGTATTTAGGATAAAATTAAAAATTGTGAAAGCGCAAGGATGTGTTAATCAAACGCCTCCCGAAATTCGTAGTTTCAATAATTTCCAGATTAAATAAGTTTTTAATTTTATTTTCGTGTGAAATGCTATAGCAATATATAAGTTGTGATATTATACAGAAAATTTGAGAAAATATAAACTTCAAATCTGTGTCTATGCACCTTTAAACTGAGCGGTAATATTTATCGGAAGAAAAATTAAGAGCTTCTAAATAATATTTCCTCCACAAATATGAATAGCACGTTTATAGCTCTTCATTTTTTCTGTCATTGAAATAGGAAATGACATTTTCATATAAAAATTTCTTATATGAAAATTTCAGCTCATATTGCTTTAAAGAAATAATTCATATACAGTACAGACATTTGTCTTCTCTTGGTTTTAAAGTCTTCTGTAGAACTTTAAGGGAATATTGTTTGAATCTTCACTTTCATTCATATATTTATCTTAAATCTTATTCATTAACAAATACATGTGTATTTCTAATTATAACCTCCTCTGTTTATTCGTGATCTTTAAGTTCAACATGAGTTTACCATCAACATTTCTGTCCTAACAATTCACAAGCACACCTGAATATAATGGTTGACCACCGTCTGGTTCTGTAACATGGAAGAGTTTAGAATAATCGGACATCGCCGGACATTGTCCAGGAGGTTTGTGGTAATCTTTGGCATCGTTATACAGTAGACATTAATCAGCGTGAGGTAGACTATGAACAAGAGGACGTTCAGGTAGTACACCGGGCGACCAAACTTCTTCCTAGGCAATAATTACAGATAATTATAGGCAATAAGTACAGATAATTATAGGCAATAATTACAGATAATTATAGGGGAAAAGTACAGATAATTATAGGCAATAAGTATAGATTATTATAGACAATAATTACAGATAATTATAGACGATAATTACAGGCAAATGTAGGCAATAATTATAGATAATTATAGGCAATAATTACAGATAATTATAGGCAATAATTACAGATAAGGATAGGCAATAACTACAGATAAAGATAGGCAATGATTACAGATAATTATAAGTAATTATTACAGATATTTATAGGCAATAATTACAAATTATAAAAGGCCATAATTACAGATAATAGTATTCAATAATTATAGATAATGATTGGCAATAATTACAGATAACGAAAAGCTTAATTTATACATGAAGGCCAACTCTTTCTGTAAGTTTTACGTGTTCAATTTATGATTCAGGTATGTGTGAAAGTGAGCTGCTAGAGGTATAATCGGCCTTTAATTTGACGTATTAGTAGGACAGACTTGGATACTATAAAACAAAGATTACCATTTTAACAATAGGCACTGTTGAACTAAAGGATGTGTCAGTAACTCCTCTCGGCCATGTTTCACCATGGTCTGCAAAGTATGGAAACCACAAATTATCTCTCTCTCTCTCTCTTACAAAAAATTGTGGTGTAACATAAAATGCAGACTTTTTTTTAGCTTTTAAGAACAGACAATACGTTCCTCCATAATACATAATTTTTTCTAAGATTATGTCATTGAAGTATTTCTACTTAACAAGTTTTCTCACAAAAAATTGAGGTACCTTACCAGGCATCTGTGCAAGATATCAGATGTTGTTTCCTATAAAATCCTTTTGGAAAAAACTTGATTTGCCTATATCACATTTTATAGTGTTTCAATTTTTTAAAGACAAATAGAAACCAATTTAGAATTCAGAAGGTGTTTAAAATTTTGAATATTTTCCATACAATACGAAGATATACAAAACAGATATTTGAGGAACATATCGTCTGACCTTAAAATGCATGTACACATATGTATACAGCTACTCAGTTAATGCAACGTTTTGTGGTAATGTCTTTTCTCTTATAAAAATGGCCCTGCAATGCTTTATAAAAATGTAAATATATCTATAAATTTAACTGACCTGATCATAAAGTCGATCATACACTATTTTCGGGAAATCGACCAAATTTATCTTACTTACATAATTTTTTTTTTTCTGCAATGAATGCATTCAGTTGAAAACAGGTAAAGGTTGTTTCACATTACCTCGTACGCATAATATCTTCGCTTTTTACACATGATGTCTTCCGGTCCTGGGTCAATAAACCGGAAGTCGAGTTTTTGTGTAAAGTCTATGCTATCCGGGAAATCTCCAGTGGATTGTATGCAATTCTCCATAACAATCTATCATAATACATAAACAAAGAAAATTATCACATCTAGTCTCGCGTCTTATTTTAAGCTTTACAATTTCTTGTTTATTTGTCTCAGTTACCGAAAAAGCTTCCGGACACTTCTGAATCATGGCGTCTACAGGTGTTTTACCGCGAGAATCTCGGAGACCAACGATGTCAACCCATCTATGTAAAAAAAAAAGTATTTACAATTTATAACTAAATGTAATCGCGGAATGCGATCGAAACAAACAAAAAATGATAATATGTAAGGCTGACCGTTTTGATTTCATGAATACAACAGCGACTTCGGAGTGTCTATTTTCTAAGGCTAAATCGAGCGGTGATTTCCCGTTACTATTCTGGGATAATACGTCTGACTTTCTGTCCAGTAGAAGCTGAACACATTCAAAATGGCCTTTGCTAGAAGCTATGTGTAATGGAGTATTCTAGCAAAAGGAAAAAATTATTATGAAATTGCATAGAGATATTAAAATTCTGTTTTAACAATTATATCAGATCTGAAGAGTCAAAGTGATTTCGTATGGTCTGTAACTGCGTACAAAGAGATAATACTTGGGTTACAAGAAGCTGATTCTAAAAATTCAAAATTTAGAAGTATATATTTCAACAAAAAAGGGGAACTCGAATGAAATGCAGTTTTGCGACATAATTCTGGCATCAAATGGAAGAAGAATGCGTATAAGCATGAGAATAACACCTTTTACAGAAATACATTAAGGTATGATTAAAGGCAGTCCTAACTCAAAACGGTTATCGTCAAGCAAAAGTGGAACTGTGTTATATGTGGACATAAGTCTTCTTCTATAATGAATATTTATGAATATTGTTGTTAATCAACATGCTCGTGCAATGCACGTCTCTACAAATGCATTCAAATAGGTGATTTCTTTTGAAGGTAATTTTTTGACACCCCTGTACCACTTATTTACTGACATCCCATCGTAGAAAATTTGCGCAGTTACGGCTAGAGAACAATAAGGTTTAAGATTTGTTTATTTTTATAGTATGTTAATGTTTAACCATTTTTGGATGATCACCTTGGCTTTATCTGCAGCGTTTATATCAGCATAATGGTCCAACAGAGTTTTCATTATCTTCACGTGACCTTCACGGGCAGCAGTACCTAATACAGTGCATAGGTTCTCATCTCTAAAAGGACAAAGTCATCAGGTATATTCTAAGCTTTAGACTGATGTATAGATCTTCTTTTTGAAATGAAACGTCTTTTATTTTTGATACTGTCAATTATTTGTAGATTTCTTTGTTTATGAATAAAGAAAAAAAATCCTCTTCAAATCTATTGTAAATGATTTGATCCTGTAATATGGTAACCTGTGTGAAATATCAGCCCCTAATGTTAACAGAAGTTTAACTGTGCTGTATTGTCCTTCTTTAACAGCCAACATGAGAGGTGTCTGTCCGTCTGAGTCGCCATCGTTCAGTTCAGAGCAGCTGGCTGTGTACAGCGCCTCCACTGCAGCCTCATTATCGTTTCTGAAAACGCACAGGAAGTTATGAAATATCAACGGTACCTCGTCAAGTTTTTCTGATAATGGAATGATTTTCTTGATAACTTACTCCGCTGCGATATGGATGGGAGTTTTACCGTCCATGTCACGAACGTCCAGCTTACATTTATTATGTATCAAGGCTTGTAAAATCTGTAAAATGTACGGTGGTACATGTATATAAACATAGCATTATGTATATCTTTCAAAATTTAAAATGAAAATATTTATTAAGCTTGTAATAACTGTATAACTTCTTATGTCAGACCTTAAAATCATTTGTATAACTAGTACCGCTATATTTCCAAGCTTGGCTGCGTAGTGTGTGATTGTCTGCTCTGCAAAATCCAGGGCCTCTATCATAGCACAGTCGCATTTCTAAAGAGCAAAATCGATGAAAAAATATACTCAACGTCTTTTACCTACTGTCTCCTCTTCAAACTATAATATCACAGTGTAATCTCACCTTTAAAAGGTACAACAGGACCTGTAAATGGGCATTTTCTACTGTCCAGTGGAGCGCATTCTTCATCAGATTGTCTACTACTGTTATCTGAGCACCATTGGTCAGTAGGAACTCTACCGTCTCAAGGTGACCTTTCCAGCAGGCAAGGATCAGTGGCGTCAGGGATTCTTTGGTTTTTTGGTTAATGTCTCCACCCTACGGAGAAACAACTGGTTTGTTTTACATTGTTTTGTCTTAGAGTAGCTGCTAAAAAGATCACTGAGACGTACCTTGTTCATTATTGCAGAGACTACCTGGTAACGGTTATACAAACAGGCTCTATAATGGAAAAAAATAGAGTGTTTTAAGTAGCAAATCTAAAGCATTTCGAGAATCCGGTATTGAGTTCAACTAACATTATTATTTTCCCATGTACTAATTATTATTTAAGAAAAAGTTGTGTCCTTAATATTATTTTCTCTTTCTCTCTCTCTCCTTTTTATTTTTGGCTCTGAGACTCTTGTAGTACCTATGAATTGGGGTAAAAGAATCTTTATCCCGGGCCCCAACCGCCGCCCCGTGGGTCAGCAACGTCTCTGTTATCTCCAGGCTACCATTGATAGCGGCTAAATGAAGAGGGGTTTGTCCGGTCTCCTAAAACCACAGAGTACAGTTCTTATTGACTTCTAATTCTAAATGATTTCCATTTCCAATCGTCTGTGTAATTCTGATAAACTGTATCAATGCTTGTGTATAATGACTTACATTTGTCGGATTGAGTTCTCCATGGTGCGTGATGATTTCTTGTACAGACTGTAAAATAAGGCAATGTCTCTGTTTCCATTGTCATAATAAATGCACGTATACAGATGGAGAAATCAGGATCTTAGTTATGCTGTAAAAATTATGAAGAATGGTTACTCTTTGTTAGGATATGCACCGTTGGGTTCTGACTTTGGGTACCTTTAGAGTCGTGTTGTCCACAGCAATATGTAAAGCCGTACCGCCCCAGAGATCTTTTTGGTTTACCATTGACTGAGCGCTGGTTCTACCACTTTTTTTCAGTACTATCAAAAAAACATAACATAGGTAGGAGAAGAGTTACCATAAAAGAGACTGTATGAACTGAACGAAGAGAATCGTTTATAAGATAAGGACCTTAAATAATCACCTATTTTCCAAATTTGGTTCATAATGTCTATTAATTCTACAGCAGATGCAAACATGTAGGGCGTCAGACCATTTATAACTGTCGCCGTGACGTCAGCCCCGCTGTTCATCTAATGGTAGGAAAATATTAATACCAGTAGTATTTTTATATAAATTTTGGAGGTACTTCAATCAGAATGTAACAAGCTCTTGTCTACTCATGAAATAATTAAGTTTATCTTTACATTAGTTTTGTAGAATTATGCTTTTACCAGCAGGGTAGCTGTGGTCTCGTGTTTCTGAATGATAGCCTCGTGTAATGGAGTCATTTTGTCTTCGTCCATGGCATTTATATCTGTCATTCCAGTACTTAAAAGAAGCTACAAAGATCAGCATATTAATTGTTTTTATAAATAATGGCAATATTCGTTTCATTTTTTTATTTTATAATTCTTGATATTTTTTCTTGTTCGGTTGCGTCAAATTACAGTCGAATCCATTAAATACTTCCGGCAAATGTGACTTACGTGTATGCACGCACATTGCGCGACAAGCTGTATTACGTATTTTGATTGCAATGCAGGTTCATATATATTTCAATATTTTTATAATGTGTTTAATGTACATATGTACTACAAATTTGTTAACTGATGTGCAAATATCTTCTTTTTTCATTTAAGAAACGTTGATTCACTAATACAAAGTGCATGTACATGTAAGTGTTCGGAAAAAAATAATCGAACATTAATGAAAAATTGTTTACGATTTCTGCTAATTTCTGCTGAAAATAAAATATTTTCCTTTAAATGGAAAACTTGTTATTTTCTCCTGAATATTTTCGTTGCAGATTACCTCCAACATTTTATTGCGACCTCTTCTTGCGGAATGATGTAATGGAGTCTTTTCCTCGTTGTCACGGATCATGACGTCACAACCTGATTCTATTAATAGACGACCAACATCCAAAGAATTATACTTGGCTGCTTCATGAAGGGGAGAGATTCCACTGTCCCGATTTTTTTCGTTTATATCTATAATAATAATACATAGAGATACAAATTTTAGGAGACTATCTAACCGAATGCTCACTTAATGGAGGCTTTTTAAATTTAAATTTAATAAAATTTATTCTTTAAATACATAAATGAAAAAAATCACCACAAGGTTTTATAAGTTAATTTTTTTTCAGAACTTTTATTTCTTGTCATAAAATTGTAGACGGATGGATCCATCTTCAGGATCAATGCAGTAAAAATGTTCTTTGTAATCTTACAATGATCCTTCGAACACTTACCGACTCCATGGGATATCAACACACGCGCAGACTCGATGAGGTTGTACTTAGCAGCGATCAGGAGAAGAGTGTTCCCGTGAAAATCCTTTTCTCCCTTCACTTCCGGTTTTGTCGTCAGTAACCAGTCCAGAGCCTTAGTACTATTATCTCGTATAGCCTATGTCAAAAGACGAAAACAGGGGCTTATTGTTACTACAGAAACATTCATTGGGGATTTAATTTCGTTTATTTCGTTGTTAACAATTATCAACGAAATTAAGTCCCACGCGAAATTTTTATATGACTATAATTATATAGAAATGAGTTATTTTCGAAACAACGAAATTTTATGCCCACGAAACCTTCTTAGATGACAAAACAACGAACATTTATCCCCATGAAAATTTGTGCTTCTACAGTATTATCTCGTATTGCCTATGTCAAAAGACGAAAACAGGGTTAGCGACAAGCTTGAAACCGTTATCTCACAATCTTAGCATTGAAAACAATAGCAATAGCATGTGAAACATCCATTTCATTTCAGAAATGAAAAGATTCGTAATGTTATGTTCCTTTGTATATGTATTCTTTTTTCATGCAAATACAGGCATACTAATTATTAAAGAAAATATGAAAACATTATTAGCTATGCAGCAGACAGTATGTATATTTATTCCTATATATGGCAGTAACCCGCTATATTATCTGGGTTTTTCTGTGTGTCTGTACCTGCCACACAGACATATCTGTCAACATTTCCCCCGTCACACTCTCCCCTCTTTTGTAGGCGGGGTAGATAGTGGAGGCCCCCACCACCTGGCGTAGTCGGCTCTTAGATGGGGAATCCATCTGTGGACCCTCTACATGAACATATCCGTTTGTTCTACAAAAAAAAATTTAAAAAGCTCTTGGTGCAAAAAAATCGGTATTTTGTTTTTGATAATATTCATCTGTATTATATATTTTTATGAAATTTAATTTCAATTTAGCTTTTCAACTATAGATATATAGATATATATCAAATATATCCCAAGGCCGTTACTAGGCTCAAATTTTTAGTGAGGCAAGGGATCTGGGGGCCACCCGAGTCCCAAGCGGGTCCAGGGTAGTGTCCTGATAAGGATTCTCGGGGGATGGGGGAGTTCCCGAAACCATGGGTTTTAGCAAATTAAAGACTTAATCTTCGAAAGTTTTCACGTTTTGAATAATTTTATATGCTTTCTAAACTATTATGAATTAAGTACCTGGTGAGATGATCGATTTACGGAAATTGAAACTGATCGAAGTTGAAAGTATTAATTTAGTACAAAGACACACATAATGAATTAAAGTTCAAAGTAAAACTTTTTTCACTTTTCAGAAAACTCTGAATTTTTAACTGAGGCATTTGCCTCACTTGCCTCAATGGTAGTTACGGCCTTGTACCCCTGTTTCTAATGGTGATATTCACATTTTGAAATTTTGCAGAGGATTGAGACCCTCATAAGCCTTAGTATAAACGATGGTAATGGTTCAAACAAAAACTCTACATTAAAAGACAGCTAGTACTCAATAACAGGAATTCTTGTAACAATTAATAATTGATAAACACTTTGATTTGAAGGCTCAAAGGTATTTATGCTGATCTGATGTTAACGATGTTTGGAAGACATTTCATTATAGTCCTGATGGATATTAATCATACATGGCAAATATTACTGTAAAAAGCCATTAGCGATTATGTTTTTCTTTGGGAAAAATTCATCTCAAGGGTCTCTGTAAACAATCATATCATTTGTATTTTGCCCTGGGTTATGTCAATAAACGTTTTATACGACGTAAAACTTTTTTTTAACAATTCTATGACATTTCTGAAAGTATTTATATTTCATAAAAGGTCCCATAATATGATAATACGTTGACTAACACAAATCTAAATTATCCATTGACGCATACATATAACACTGGTGTAAGAAAATGAATGGATTATAACGTCCACTTATGAAATCAAACATGCTTTTAAATGTCAGATTGAGTGCTAGTCTCTATAGATTGTGGGTCATTTTATAGAATACATTTGTATTAATGATTAATTTGTTGATGATTTTCGTATTGGTTAAGTCTTCTTTCAGAACTATTTGGCATTAGATTGGGGTATATTGCCAAATACACCCTTTACTGTCCGAACTAGCAATTATACAAATCTTACAGTAATGGAAGACTGTTAGAATATTAATAATTAAAGCGATAATCATATTCATATTGGTTAATTGCACAGTATTGCTTAGTGCACGTGTCGACGCCGTTTTAGAGAATCTGACGTCAGAGTAGACGTAAAATTGTTAAATATTTTCTATATAACATACCTTTTTATTTAACAAGACCTATTATGTTATTCCTTTTTTTAATTTGCCTCTGTTGTTCAGTTAATAATCATTATCATTTATTTTTTTTTTTTACTGTATGTACATTTCCGTTAAGGATATCCGCTCCTCAGCCAGGAACGATAACTCTTAAATTCATTATTTAAATGAAAAAGTCTCAAAATGGGCTTGAAATTGGAATCTTTTCTTGCAACAATTCTATTTTCATGCATCTCAATATGATTCGAGGTTCTTTGAAATCTAAGAAACGTCTTGTAAAAAGTTGAGATTTGTATCCAATTAAAATACAAAAATAAATACTGTACAGCTTTAATAGAGAAATCGAATTCCTTCAATCTAGCCTAAGATAAAATATAAGTTATCTGTGATGTCCTGCAATGTTTTACTTTCTAAATTACGAAAACCTAGAAGGGTCAAATTAGAAAAATGAAAAAAATGTTAATAACGAGAAAAAAGTCTTAATAACGAGATAAAAGGTCGTTATTACGATTTATTATTTTAGGATAGATATATTTGTTGATCAATGAGAAAATGCATAGCTGGTGCTTTTATTCGCGTTTCCTGGAAATATATTTGAGATTTGTTAATATTCTCTATGTAATATGATTTACTATAATGATAAACTTACAAGAAATACTGTGAGTAAATAGACATTACTTTGTGAATTCAGAGGCATTTTGGTGAGTATTTTTAATTACTTATATAACTGCTGATTTTTCAGAACCTGACGATGGGACTATCTTAAAATAAACTTTTTCTTCTACATATTTGCATCCAATAAATATGTCCAAAATGTTCATTGTCTCCAAATCTAGAACAAAGGAGACCGTAATTTGTAAAAATTATATCTTTGTTCAAATACTGACAAGTGAATTGATTTCAATTAGTGACGATTCATCTATTTATTTTTTGGGTTCATCTTCAAAAATTTGCTATGATGTCTGTACATTAACAGCTATGAAATCGATACATCCTTTCTATGGCGATAATGAAGCATTTCCAGAAATTCATTAACAGAACTGTTTAACATCAAGGCAGACTGTTTTACAATCTAATATCTAGCATAATGATTTTCGTTGCGAGTTGTTATGTTTATACATTCTGAAATTGATTCTCTCAAAGCCTTAATTTCTGGTCCGGCATTTCTTACAATGCCCTGTTGATTCTTATTTTTATTCTGATATCAAATATTTGTTTATCTTTTTAAATGATCCATTTCATTAATTGAAGAATAAACATATTAATAATACCCCCAGAAAAGCCATATCTCAATTTTCTAAAGAAAAAAAATGAAGATAATGATTTAATTTAAAATAATGTTCGTTTGCTCTCTCCCAACTGAGGATGAAAAAAAATGGGTCGGTAGGTAGGTGAGAAATTCTTTTTTCCCAGAGCATTTTAATTTCAATGCTGAATTTTCAAAATCTATTTTCCAGAGTGCATAAAAATATAATTGCTTTCTGGGGGTTGAAAAAAGTTTTGAGTCGGGCCATTTTTAGCCAGTCGGTCGGGAGAGGGCAACCAAACAATTTTTTAAAGATGGCTTTAGTGATGATCTCAAAGTTCTTTAAAACAATACAAATTTGTGTACAGGGTATAAAATACGGACCCCTGAAACTCCAGAGGTGGGATCAGGTGCATAGGAGGAGCAAGCAACCTCTGTTGACCGGTCACATCCGCCATGACACCTATATAAGACCGCACAACATTAACTGGCAAGATTGGAAATATGCAGCTTACGTTATTTCCATCTGTTACAAACAAAACGTTTAATGATAGACAATAAAATGGGCGGGTACAATTCAACACGGACGTCCGAGAAAACAGTGGATTGAAAATCTAGTTTGAAATTCATTTGCAATCCACCTGAGCTGTTTTCAAACGCAAAGTGTAAATGTATGATCCAAAAGACAAATAATTTCAATTCCCAATTACACGTTATTTGAAATTCATATTTATACGAGTTTTTTAGCCTATAATTTTAAGAACACTTAAAAGTCAAGGAAGATAGAGGTTATTTTTTCAGGGGATGGCCATTTGATTCTAGAAGGGGGGGGGGGCTGTCAAAAACTGTCGAGACAGATCATGCCTCCACATGACAGAATATATTTATTTCTAGGATGACAAGAGATAGTTTTGTTTTAGCTATGTCTTCACTGAAAAATGTTTGACAAACAAAAACAGGGAGGGATTGTACAAACTAATGAATTAAACTTTCTTCTTTATCTCCAAGATCGTTCAGCCCCCCTCACCCCCCCCCCCCCCCCAACACACACATACCAAACAGAAATCAAAAACTAGTATTTGCCCCTTTATATTTCTTTAAAATCAGTAGACAGAAAATTCTGATTTATACAAATTTCAAACTACTCCAAAATTGAAATTATTTGTCTTCTGGGTCAATCAGTAACACCGTGCCTTCTAGTGTAGCTGGGGTGGGTTGAAAATGAATTTCAAACTAGAATTTCAATCCAATGTTTTCTTGGACGTCTGTGTCGAATTGTACCCGCCCATTGTCTATCATTAAATGCTTTGACTGTAACAGATGGACACACGAAAACATTGATGTTGCCATCAATTGTCACTGGGAAAATAAATGTCATCTCTCCATAATTTTGAAACGTTATTATCTGTGTGCATTTTAATTCAAAGAAACGAGCAAACTTTTGTTAAAAAAAAAAATATTTGAAAAATGTTATAAACAAAGACTACTGAAATATAAAATCATAACGCTACAGTTTCTGCAGTAAATAGATTACCTACAATCAAAATTTTCTGTATAGATATGTTTGTGGTTCATAAATTCACACCCTCTCATTCTCCTTATAATTTATAACCTGTTTATTTTATGTGCAATCACTGATAAAAGCTGGTGCTGTTATTCACATTTCCCGAAAATATATTTGAGATATGGTAATTTACCTTCTATAATATAATTAGTTATAATGATGAACTATGAAGTTATAGCATGGAAAAATACATATTTCTTTCAGAATTCAGAGATATTTTAAATATTGACATTTTCTATTTCTTAACTGCTAATTTTCAGAGCCTGGGGATTGGACTACCTTAAAATATTAATTGGAGGACAAAATATTTCAACAATTTAATATGATAAATAATAGCATCAGAAATGCGAAAGCATTATAATTTCCTTATACCCATTCCATTGAAATAAAAGACCATCTATTTAAAACAAATTAAAAATAATAAAAACATACTGTATTTTCCGCTGATCTTTATAGCCTCTTATGAACTGACTCTGTGTCTTACCTGGGGGAGGAGATCGGTGACTCCTGGTTATTTCTGATAGATGTGTCTCCCCCTCCTGCTGACTCGTCTTTTACCGTAATTCTGACGACAGGTGACTCTTGGTTATTTCTGATAGATGTGTCTCCCCCTCCTGCTGACTCGTCTTTTACCGTAATTCTGACGACAGGTGACTCTTGGTTATTTCTGATAGATGTGTCTCCCCCTCCTGCTGACTCGTCCTTTACCGTTATTCCGACTACAGGTATCCCTTCTGGTTCAACATCAGACATCTCCATATTTCGATTAGATCCACCAAAGCTTTTCATCAATCGTATTCACATTTAGTATCCGAAAATTCGAGTAAATTTCTATTTTTTCTAAAGTTTCCCTCTAACTTTCACGTCATTTTTCGGTCTGTTTTGTGACCTTGTCCGACTAAGTCATTTTAGAAATTAATCCAGTTGAAAGGGCACACGAGCTCTATGGTATTGCTCATGTTTTGAAATCAACATGTGGAAATCACAACCTGATTTAAACCTTGATTTGTCCTAATGTGCCATATCATTTTTAAATGGCCAGTACTCGACTAAATTTCGAAATTAATGTCAATAAACCATCGATAGAAGCCTCCTTAATTTACATTAAACCTTAGAGCGAACATTATAAATTTAAAGGTGGAGGATAAGGCTGATTGATTTTATTGATTGAGCATTGTAATCATGACAGATAATTTATGTAGAATCTTAGCTGAATTAAGCAACATATACTAGTATGCTCTAAATACAGTCCTCTGAATTTATCAGAATATACTCGACCAGAAGGTCCGCAGGACAAGGGGGGGGGGGGGGGGGCACTTCTTCCCAAAATATCTGACAAGCAGAAAAAAGCTAATTTACTGTCCAAATCCTGGATTTTGCCTGTGCTCGACCTTACAACATCAAATTAAAAAGTAGGGAGGCCAGGCCAACCAGCATCTAAAGGAAAATTTACTATAGCAAAAACTACACTCAGAAAAAAGTGCCCCCACCCCGGGCCTGAACTAATATTCATAAACGAGGTTCTTTTAAAATCCCTGTCACAGCAACTTATCTGTCAGTAGCCTGTCATTAACCTAAAATCCCTTAAATGTCCCGTGTTGTTTGATATTTCTTCATTTAGGATATTCATTTTTGAATGGTTGAGATCCTTGTTATAATATTTTACTGTCTATGTTGAAACTGTATGTATTGTTTGATTGTTGTGATGGTTGACATTTAGAAGATTTTACATGTACTAAAATGCCAATAAGTTGCAAATTTAATGCAAGTTGAAAATCCAGTTGTCATGTTTAAAATTTGTTAAGTCCAGCTTTGGGAATTTATGCTGCAGAAAATAAAGTACAAGCAAGTATATTGCAAGTACATGTTGCAGTTCTGATTTTTATCCCCGGCCGCTTCCGTCAGTCTGTCTATCACAAAACTTTAACCTTGGTCATAGCTTTTGAATGAGAAGAGATAGGGCTTTAATATTTCACATGTCCATTACCTTTGACATGGCCTTTCCAAAAACACTGAATTTTTTTTTTACCCTGTGCCCTTTGACCTACTTTTCAAAACTTTTAACAAACTTTAACCTTGGTCATAAATTTTGAATGAGAAAAGATAAGGCTTTCATTTTTCACTTATATATTTCATGTGAGAAGACCTTTCCAAATGTACTATGATTTTTGATCCCTGACTTTCACCTGAAAGTTTGAGCTACTTTTCAAAAATTTTAACACTGGTTATCTTTTGAAAAGGGTAAGGTACAGCATTCATATTTCACCTGTGCATTACCTGTCACAAGAGGTTTCTTATCACACTATTTTTCACTTATGACCTTGACCTTAAAATGTAACCTAATTAAAAAAAATTAAAATTGTGATAACCTTTGAATGAGAGAAGATAGGGTGTTCATATTTGACAAGTGCATTAACTGTGACAAAAGCCCAAAATGTGCTATGATATTTAACCTTGAGACCTTGGACTTCATGTTTGACCTATTTTTCAAAAATTTTATCATAGCTGCTAATGTTTAAGGGAGAGAAGAGAGGGAATTCATATTTGAAATATGCATAATCTGTGACAAGACGTTTCTTAAGGCACTGTGATTTTTAACCCCATGACCTTTACCTTAAAGTTTGACCTAATTTTCCAAAATTTTAACATTGATAACTTTTGAATGAGAGAAGATAGGGCATTTATATTTGACACGTTTTACCTGTTTCAAGACCTCTCTGAATGTACTCTGGTTTTTGACCTCATGACCTTGACCTTGGAGTTTAACCTACAGTCTTTTATCTTTTTTTTTTTTTTACGTTGGTAAGAACTTCTGAGTGAGAGAAGATACGGTTTTCACACTTTACAAGTATATTACCTATGACAACACCTTTCTGAAACTATATCATTTTTGATTTCTTAACCTTGACCTAGAAGTTTAGAGAAAACACAAACAAGAAAGTTACAATATGCCATAAATAACTGCATCCCAACCACTAAGACACAGAAAGTGGGAGACCACAATTCTTTGAATTTGCTTGTGATTGTAATTTCTTCAAATTAACTGTCAGTAGTTTAAACTTTGAAGTGCTTGTCAAACAGTCATCCCCTGGAGTACACAGAGAGACAATTCTATTCAATATATTTGAGATTTATTTAATGTTTCATACAGTCAAAGAGAAAACCACAGCTTAAACACAGTCTATTCGGAACTCTCCACTCCCTCCTGTTCTTTCTGTAAGTTCTGTCGACGTTCATGAATCATCCGATGAACTTGTTTGTAGTAAACATCTAAAGTGTTGTGCTGGGCAGGTAAATCTCCCCCTGGAAGTAAATAATATTTATATACTCCCTGGGAGTAAACAATAAATATTCATACACCGTAAATCTCCCTCTGGAAGTAAACAATCAATATTCATACACTGTAAATCTCTCCCTTGGAAATAAACAATAAATATTCATACACTGTAAATCTCCCCCTGGAAGTAAACAATAAATATTCATACACCATAAATCTCCCCCTGGAAGTAAACAATAAATATTCATACACTGTAAATCTCCCCCTGGAAGTAAACAATAAATATTCATATACTGTAAATCTCCCCCTTGGAAGTAAACAATAAATATTCATACACTGTAAATCTCTCTCTGGAAGTAAACAATATTCATACACTTTATATCCCCCCTTGCAAGTAAACAGTAAATATTCATACACTGTAAATCTCCCCCTGGAAGTAAACAATATTTATACACTGTAAATCACCCCCTTGAAGTAAAAAATTTTCATACTTTATTCTGGGGGGATACTTCACTCAGTATTGCTGAAAATAAATATTTCTTTTCTATTTTTCATTCTTATATTCAGCATTCTGGCAGATTTAATTGATTGTTCTTATACTTAAAATGTGTATGGACAATAATTTAGCAGTATATATTTCTATGTTGTGAGTTAATTTACTCTGTACATACTGTTGGACAGGTCTAATTCAATTTTTTGTGATATTACATGTAGGGAGAAGGGAAAATAAGTTTTTGGAACTTGTGCCCAATCCCATTGTATATATTTAAAGCAATAAAGTATGTTCAAATCAAATCAACAATTTTCATAAACTGTATATCTGCCCATGTAAGTAAATAATAAATATTCACACACTGTAAATCACCCCCTGGAAGTAAACAATAAATATTCACACACTATAACTCACCCCCTGGAAGTTAAAACAATAAATATTCATACACTGTAAATCTCCCCCTAGAACAGTAAACAATATTCATACACTGTAAATCACCCCCTGGAAGTAAACAATTTTCATACACTGTAAATCACCCCCTAGAAGTAAACAATATTCATACACTGTAAATCACCCCCTAGAAGTAAACAATATTCATACACTGTAAATCACCCCCCTAGAAGTAAACAATATTCATACACTGTAAATCACCCCCTAGAAGTAAACAATATTCATACACTGTAAATCACCCCCTAGAAGTAAACAATATTCATACACTGTAAATCACCCCCTAGAAGTAAACAATATTCATACACTGTAAATAACCCCCCTAGAAGTAAACAATATTCATACACTGTAAATACCCCCCCTAGAAGTAAACAATATTCATACACCGTAAAATTGCTTTACTTACTGTTGAGACAAATTTCAAAATCTTCTGCTTTAACTTACTTTCCTGTCAGTTGGACATTTACAATTCTTTCCATATACATGTTTATCTAATTATCAGTGTTTTCTACTTGGAGTTCCTTTACAGTGAACTTTCTCATGAACTCATGAGTGGGAAAGAGTATGAAGCTTAACTGCTACTACTTAAAGTGTTGTATCAATGTGATGTCATATTTGAATTTCTATATTGATTCTCTAAATGTGCTCTAAAAAAGAAATGAATAAACTTTCAAGACATCACAGTAATTATAAAGGCCATTACAACGATTATGTAATTTGATTAAATATAGTACTACTGAATGAAGTAAGGGGAGAGCTACAATGTAAACATAGAAATTTCACTCTTTAAGGTACACTTTAAGATAATCTCACTAGGCTGGGATTTTTCATAGATGCAAATTTTTTTCCAAATGCCTTCTTTATATTTACAGACAATAGCCTCAACTTTTAAACCTGAAGTGAATTTCTCATGAAGATGAGTTGGTACATTCCATAGTTAATCCATCTTATAATGTTTAAACATACTCACATTTAATCTTATAATGTTGTCTGTATTACAGTTTAAACATACTCACATTTAATCTTATAATGTTGTCTGTATTACAATTTAAACATACTCACATTTAATCATAAAATTTTCCTTGGCCTGAAGCCATTCCTCGTATGTCTGATAGCATCGGGTTTGAGCGCCAGGACCATGTGTTCGTCGACAGGAATCAAATCGAAATTTCAAATGCCGTACAATTTGTTTATCTACATTTCTGAAAAAAAAAAATTCCTTTATCATACAATCATTCTGTAATTTGGCTCTGATTGAACATTTCATAAGTAAAAAGTAAGGATTTCATAAATAAAATAAATGAACAACAAACAAACAAAAAATCCATATTTGTAATTAATGTACAAACAAGAGGCCTACAGGTCATAAAATCAAGTGGGTCACATCTCTAAAATGATTGCAAAACTTGATAGTCCTGAAATATGTCTTTTTTATTGTAGCAATGACTAAAAGCTCTTGCAAAGTTTGTCAGCCCTTTTTAAAAAAAATGTTAGTCTAAGAGATACAGGAAGAAATTCTGTACACTTCATGAGGATACTTCTACTTAAATGTAATTACTTCAAAGTTTGATAAGTTTGATTTTATTAAGTAAGTAATATTCTCTAGACAATATTAGGCAATGCTTTGGTACTACATTTCAACAATGATTATATGTTTCATTAAGGCTTTCATATAAAAGCCTGTGGAACTTCAAAACCCATTGGATGCCACAATTGTTTTCTAAGATGTAGCAACAAAGCTTGTAATCTTGGTGAGGATACATGGTTTATCATGCATACAACATGTACAATCTGCTGATTATCAAATACACATAAAATAAGGCCAACAATAAGAAATGATTTGTTTGATGCACTCTGACAGACACATTAAAATCAGCTCAATCACCACTTTATTTTTTTAATAAGAAAGTACAGATTGTTTGTTTTTAGAGATAATGTTTAACATGTTTAACTTAATCATATGCATTTCTCCAAGACACTTTTATTTTGAAAGTTTACAAGCAATAAATATAACTATTTGTCTGAATTATAATGAAACCAGAAATAAATGTCTTAGTTTGTCCTCTTAATGTGATATATGAATGTGTTAGGTAATTAATCAAAAACTTTTTAAAAAACACTTACTTTAACTTACCTACCCACCTTGAAAAATGCGGGTCAGAGTACATCAAACCAAAAAAATTTAAATGTTGGAAGAAGGAAATATCCTGAACGAATAAGGTTTGCCTCATGGGTAACTGGTTTCCTAAGTTTTATTCACCATAGTAAATTAAATAGTCATACAGGCAAGTGAACAAGTACTTAATTACTACGTGATCAGGGTTGTCACTAAGAATTGAAATAGAAGAGGACATTTAAAAAGTAGGTGGGGATCTGGGCTACCATTTAATCGGGAAATTAGGAGGAATACCAAACTAACCAGGGGATTACATCATTATAGGCGAGGAAATTCCCTGGCCCCCAGGTCTAAGGGACAACCCTGAGTCATGGGACAGTGAACAAAAATAGCATTAGAGAGTGAACTACTTACTTGTCTCTCTTCATCTGTTCATTAGCTTGAACTACTTACTTGTCCCTCTTCATCTGTTCATTACCTTGAACTACTTTACTTATCTCTCTTCATTTGTTCATTAGCTTGAACTACTTACTTGTCCCTCTTCATCTGTTCATTACCTTGAACTACTTACTTATTTCTCTTCATCTGTTCATTAGCTTGAACTACTTACTAATCTCTCTTCATCTGTTCATTAGCTTGAACTACTTACTTGTCTCTCTTCATCTGTTCATTAGCTTGAACTACTTACTTGTCTCTCTTCATCTGTTCATTACCTTGAACTACTTTACTTATCTCTCTTCATCTGTTCATTAGCTTGAACTACTTTACTTATCTCTCTTCATTTGTTCATTAGCTTGAACTACTTACTTGTCTCTCTTCATCTGTTCATTAGCTTGAACTACTTACTTGTCTCTCTTCATCTGTTCATTACCTTGAACTACTTTACTTATCTCTCTTCATTTGTTCATTAGCTTGAACTACTTACTTGTCTCTCTTCATCTGTTCATTAGCTTGAACTACTTACTTGTCTCTCTTTATCTGTTCATTAGCTTGAACTACTTTACTTATCTCTCTTCATCTGTTCATTACCTTGAACTACTTTACTTATCTCTCTTCATTTGTTCATTAGCTTGAACTACTTTACTTATCTCTCTTCATCTGTTCATTACCTTGAACTACTTTACTTATCTCTCTTCATTTGTTCATTAGCTTGAACTACTTACTTGTCTCTCTTCATTTGTTCATTAGCTTGAACTACTTACTTGTCTCTCTTCATCTGTTCATTAGCTTGAACTATTTACTTGTCCCTCTTCATTTGTTCATTAGCTTGATCTACTTACTTATCTCTCTTCATCTGTTCATTAGCTTGAACTACTTACTTGTCTCTCTTCATCTGTTCATTAGCTTGAACTACTTACTTGTCCCTCTTCATCTGTTCATTACCTTGAACTACTTTACTTATCTCTCTTCATTTGTTCATTAGCTTGAACTACTTACTTGTCCCTCTTCATTTGTTCATTAGCTTGAACTACTTACTTATTTCTCTTCATCTGTTCATTAGCTTGAACTATTTACTTGTCCCTCTTCATTTGTTCATTAGCTTGATCTACTTACTTATCTCTCTTCATCTGTTCATTAGCTTGAACTACTTACTTGTCTCTCTTCATCTGTTCATTAGCTTGAACTACTTACTTGTCCCTCTTCATCTGTTCATTAGCTTGAACTACTTTACTTATCTCTCTTCATTTGTTCATTAGCTTGAACTACTTACTTATCTCTCTTCATCTGTTCATTAGCTTGAACTACTTACTTGTCTCTCTTCATCTGTTCATTAGCTTGAACTACTTACTTGTCTCTCTTCATCTGTTCATTAGCTTGAACTACTTACTTGTCTCTCTTCATCTGTTCATTACCTTGAACTACTTACTTGTCTCTCTTCATCTGTTCATTAGCTTGAACTACTTACTTATCTCTCTTCATTTGTTCATTAGCTTGAACTACTTACTTGTCTCTCTTCATCTGTTCATTAGCTTCATAGATGCAGACCTGATCATCTTCATAGCACTCATCAATTGTCGGAACCCTACGGAATCGTCTGTGGTAGTAAACACCACGATTCTTAGCCTGTATAGGTTCTATCCAATTCTCTGTACAAAAAATAAAAAAAGAAATAAATCATAAAACTAATTTTATTTCACTTTAAACATCATATCACAGAATTAGTATTAGTGACATTATATACAAAGAAATGGATAATGAATCTAATCCTCTTTAAAATAGACCTTTACTTGCACCATTAGGCCTGAGTATCGCAAGCTACCTAACGATACAATACATATCATGATATGGTCATTCGATACAACATGTATCATGATACAGCTGTCAACAACTGAATTAACTGTTACCTTAACATATTATTCTTTGCTTACCTCCATAGTTATACAAAATGTAAAAAGAATATCTTGATACCCCTGACCAAAGTTAATAAAAGGTGAATTTATAGTCTTGACATTGTATTTTTTCTTTGCTACCTTTTTTCAGCCATTTTAAAACATCAAAATTTGTTAGGTTGTATGTAGAAGTTTCAAACAAAACAAAGAAAATTATCATGTACTGTATCACAATACATATATGGCGATATGATATGTGTATCGTGAGCCCTTGCGATCAATACAATTGATGTATTGCTGTATTGTTACACCTCTATGCACCATGTCATTAACAACAGTAAAACGGGAACCATGCTTCCTTTTTCTGAGAAATTTTACTCAATCATCTCCTCAACAATGACTAGAATGAAGAGTTTTTAATGGGAAATTAAAAACATGTATTAGGGAAGGATGGAAATAATTTTAGGCTGAGGAAGACACAATGAGGTAATAAAGATATAACACAAATGACACTTCTATGAATGAGAATGTGCCAGTAACATGGATGACGACCCCAGCGAGCCAGACAGCCTTAGACTATCATCGAACAGGCAAATTGATTGATAGTATGTTGTTTTAATTCCCATTGGAGAATTTTTCACTCATTTAGAGACGTCACCATATGCCGGTGAAGGGCTTCAAATTTAGACCTATACTCAGCACTCAAAGCCATTGAGGAGTGACGGTTCTTTATTGTGCCAACGCCTTCCGTGACACGGGACCATTTTTTTAAAGGTCTCATCCAAAAGACCCTGACTTTCACTTCTACAACTGAATAAAAAGATGTAAATTTGATAAATCAATAATTAAAGTTAAAAAAAATAACTATCTTTTCTTAGTTTTTAGTTATTTTCATTACACATTAAAATGCACAATGACATTTAAAATTTGTATGCGCAAAAAGTTGTTGCGCATTTTCTTCCCGCACAAATTATTTGCCATTTTGACAGGTATTGTTATACCATGAGAAATAATGCGTCAACTTATAATGTATTAACTAATCCTTTTTATAAGATGACATTTTTAAAAAAGAAAGCAAGACTGAGCCCCCCAAAAAATTGAAAAATGACCTAGATTGACCTGTAATGGGTTTGGGCTGTGGATATCAGCCTGGGTAGCTCAGTCGATAGTGCACCTAACTAAGGGTCCCAGTTTAGAGTCCTGGTCCAGCCATACATTTTCTCCTTTCCTTTTACATAATTCGGTGCTGATGACCACCCTGGACTTGCAGGTGAAAGTCCTGCCAAGGGCAGTAAGAATTTGGGTTGTGGCTTCAAGGGAGAAGACAATTTAAGGAGGGAGGAACATAATGGTTTGGGCTGTAGATAACAGCCTGGGTAGCTCAGTCGATAGAGCACCTGACTACTGATGCAGGGGTGCCGGGTTTGACTCCCGGTCCAGCCATACATTTTCTCCTTTCCTGTTACAGACCTATGCAGCATATGTTTTGATATGTTAGCCAAACAAAGTGTACACATTTATAATAATTCAAGCAAAAAAAATGACTATATGGTTTGTACTCAATTTTGTGTATTAGAGTTTGACTGTCTAGATTTTAATTCTTAATTATAAAAAATATTGAAGATGTGTACATTTTCAGAAGTGTCAATATTTGGCATTTTTGGGGTATATAATGCTGAAATGGCAATAATAGAAGAAAAATAAGCATGTCGACATATAACTTTCTTATGTCTATCCATTGCTGGGATATATGTCTATTTTCATGATCTTATAAATGCAGGGTTTTCAAGAATGTGCCCATTTAGCGCAGAACATGCATAGAAACAGTGAGAAATACATTAAATTCAGGATACACATATTTGAAACATTACTCAAACCTTAATTATCTGACAGAGAGTAAATTAAAACAGGCTTTTTCCGCTTTGGAATATTGGAAACTCTTACTGTACCGCTAAATAGTTATGAACCACAGGCTCTTGTTTCGGTAATAAATTTTTAACCCATAGTATAATAATAACACATGCGGGATTAGCACATACCATTTCATGGTTGAATTCGACTTTTCCACTCGACGAGCAGAGTTTTGACGCTGTTTACGGAGACTAAAGAAAATAAAGACAAGCATGCCATATATGGTTGCATAGATAAATTATCGTAGAAAACATAGGTATAAACAGTTTGTCAGTGTATTTCCTCTGAAAGTGTAAATGAGTGTGATTCTGGGGGAGGGGGGTACTCCGTGTAATTCGGAGTTAGATACCTTGTGTTATTATTATACTATGGGTTAAAAATTTATTACCGAAACAAGTGCCTGTGTTATGAACAGGTGAACAGTGAAAAATCATAAATCCTAAAATACATGGCAAACAGTAGGTATTTCTTAACTTGATTGCACTGATGGTAATCTTTACAATGCTTAATCAAGAAAGACACTAAAGAATATTTGTTGGAAATTATGACACAGGAAATAATTACAAATAATAAAGGTTTGAGGAAATTCGAAATGTTCTTTCTATCGACTCGACTTTTACCTCTGAAATAAGTGACAGGTTTATTAATAACCTGGCCTAAGCCGAGTATAAATCTTCCATAAAAGTTATCGTTCATACGATCGAACCAGCTAATTTTAAATTCGTGTAGTTTCCTATCTCCGTCGACCTCGAGCTCTCCGTCTCTCATCTTTCCGAGAGACGACCTAACGTAAACCGGTTTTACGACAACTTTTTTTTTTTTTAAATGTTATTTCAAAATTTATTTTCCAAGGAAAATATGGATTATGTTTGACATATTTAAAGAAAAAAACTGTTTCAATGTTTTTTTTCAGATTTTTTTCATAATCTCATATCAAATGTCACTCGGAGCTTTGTAGGTCGCAAATTGCCACAATCTAGTCGTCCTTTCCACGTTTGTCGCCGAAATGGTAGGTCACGGCAAAGAGAAGAGTGAAACTAAATCTAACTCCATCGAGTTGTTTGGGAATATTTTACAATAAAAAATGTTGAAATGGAATAAATTAAATATTTTCCTATTGTTTTAAAAATTATTCACTTTGATTTTATAGTCTCATCGGAAGTTTTCGGCACCTCGCCACGGATCTAAGGCGTTCCTCCCTAAGAAGCGCTCTAGGCGCCACAGGGGAAAATGCAAGGCTTTCCCAAAGGACAACAAATCTAAGCCCTGTCATTTGACTGCATTCTTGGGTTATAAAGCTGGAATGACCCACATAGTGAGGGAGGTGGATAGACCAGGATCCAGTAAGTGCTCCCTCCACGTTGTATCTACACTGAATATCTATTGTCAGGGATAGACATTAACTTTCAGATTCATTTGCCCTTCGGGCAAGTGAACTGAATCTTTGACTTGTCTGAAAGCAAACCTTGGTTGCCCAAAATTAGGAAAGAACTGAAAATTATTACTGTAAACGTTATGATAAGAAAAAAAAATGTGACCAAATACACTACTGTCAATTTAGCAAGTTGAGCTACCTGATAAAATTTCGATACATTTGTAAATAAATGTATACCACTGAATTTGTTAATTTAACCTGTTAACACACACTGCCATGCAGCAATAATCCTCCGTTTCCTTTTAATAAAATTCATATATATTCTTAAAAATTATTTTCTGTAGGATCCTTTTGTGAAATAACTGTGAAGCAACGCTAAAAGAAGATAATTGCTACGAAACATACATTTTATCTTGATTAGGATACATTGTGTTATACTGTACTTATATTCTGTGTGTGAATAAATAATCTAATTTCCTAGTAAGAAGTTAACAAAATTATGTTAGACGTAGAGCGTAATTACTGCGAAAGACAATAACGAGCCCAATTTTTAGATGAATGATATAATCCAGAAACACTAGCAAGGAATTCCGAATGCAAAAACATTGGCAGCCAGGTATGTTGCAGAAATCAAGTGTTCAATTTATTGTTTTATCTAGAAGTTAATGTTAACTAATAAATATATACATTTGTATGAAAAAAATTCACTTGCCCGATCGGACAAGTATGTTGACAATTTCACTTGCCCGAACTGATAATTTACTTGTCCCGGGCAATCAGACAACCGTTAATGTCGATCCCTGATTGTGATTTTTTTTTTAAATGTCTACTGTTAAAACCTTCATCAATTCAGAAATGTTAAGATAATATTTTTCTAAATGACATAGTCGTATCCATGGAGATGCATTCAGTAAATGTAATTAATGTTACATTGGAGAGAGGACTGTTGATTCACATGTATAAATACAGTGGATCAGAGGTATTATTATAGAGCCTTTTGCTTTGCAGAGTCCAACAAGAAGGAGATCGTAGAGGCAGTCACTATCATCGAGACTCCCCCCATGATGATTGTTGGTGTTGTTGGTTACATTGAGACCCCCAACGGTTTGAGACCTTTCAAAACCATCTTTGCTGAGCACCTGAGTGAAGATTGCCGACGACGATTCTATAAGAACTGGTATACAACACATGACAACATTGAATTGATGAAAGAAGATTTTAAAGAATTTAATTTGGCAAAGTTTATTCCAATTAAATCTAAATTTTAAAAAATTAAATATAATTACAACAAAGTTTATTCCTTTAAAACTAATTACAAAATATTGATTATTTCAGCATTAATTTACTATGGCCCCTGTGCATTGCTTTTTAAAATGGCTCCAACCACTTGTTTGGTGAGCCTTTTCTTTCAGCGGCTCCTCTCAGTAGTTGGTTGTCGGAGCTATGTCTATAACTTGTTCAAGTCTTTTGGTTTGAGACGTAAGTCTGGAAGCCATCAACATCAGCTCCGCTCGACCAACTGGTTGATGAGCTGTCCCACTGTACCAAACCTCCGCTCTCATTCTAACTGAACGAGATGAGGTTGTACAGTTAATCTTGACCCTCTGAAGGTACCGTGCCAAGAAGAAGGCCTTCACCAAGTACTCCAAGAAATGGCAGGACGAGGAAGGCAAGAAGGAGATTGACCGAGACTTCGCCAAGATGAAGAAGTACTGCAAGGTCATTCGTGTCATTGCCCATACTCAGGTAATCTATCACCATGTTATTGTGGAACAACTTGTGTTTCTTTGCTATTGAAACAAAGTTTACAAGTGTACAATAAGAATTGTTTGTTGGCACTTTCCCAACTGAAAAATCAACTTATTGCAGAAGTTACATTACCTATCCTTTGTTTTACCTGCCCAATTTGTTATGAATCTGGATTGTGTTTAGCTGCAGTTTAAACTATCGCAGAGTGGCAAGTAATCGGAAATATTGACGGATCACATTTCAACATCTGGAATTTCTTAAGAAATTTTTTCTTGGTGGGGGGGAGGGGTTGAAGGTGCTAGAAGGGAGACTCTTTAATACCTGGTGAAAATTTAGAATTGGGAGAAGAAAAATTAAGATGTACAAGTATTTCATCATGGCTTTATTGATATGTATATAAGAGGATAAAGTGAAACCAAACGTCTCCTCTAACTTTAGATGAAACTGCTGAAGAAGCGCCAAAAGAAGGCCCATGTGATGGAAATCCAGGTCAATGGAGGAACAGTCAGTCAGAAAGTGGACTGGGCCAAAGAAAAGATGGAGAAGGCTGTCCCTATAGACCAAGTCTTTGCCCAGGACGAGAACATTGACTGCATTGGAGTCACCAGAGGACGTGGTTTCAAAGGTCAGTTGATTAATAACAAATATTTGATTAAGTTGCTGATGAGACACATGATGTAAAAACATGGTATCTGCCCCTGCCAGGGCAGTCTGAAAAACAATGTAGAAGGACACCATGCTGCCTTCCTTCTGAGGTCTCTGTTAGACTGTACTGTAATAGCATTTACAACTGTCAAGATTATTGCTTACATCTGGGTTCCTTTTTAACAGGTGTAACATCTAGGTGGCACACCAAGAAACTGCCAAGGAAGACCCACAAAGGTCTGCGCAAGGTTGCTTGTATTGGAGCTTGGCATCCGAGTCGAGTCCAGTTCAGTGTGGCCCGAGCTGGACAGAAAGGATACCATCATCGTACAGAGATTAACAAGAAGATTTACCGCATCGGCAAAGGCATCCATACAAAGGATGGCAAGGTACGGCAGGCAGAAAATTACAGCATGTATTTGTAGGAAAATTATAGCAAAGTACTAGAAAGTACCATTCTTTCTGAAACCAAAGAAATTATTAAATGGCATGATCATCTAGAAAGATTCATTTTACTACATAGTACTTGACCACAAAATAATTACAGGTGATCAGAAACAATGGAGCCACAGAGTATGACCCCGCTGAGAAGACCATCACTCCCATGGGAGGCTTCCCTCATTATGGAGAGGTCAACCAGGACTTTGTCATGATTAAGGGCTGCTGCATGGGATCTAGGAAGAGAGTTATCACCCTTAGAAAGGTAATCACAGTCTGGTAACTTTTGTTTATTTTTAGCTCTACTGGTCAGAGACAAGAAGAGCTAATGCGATAGTAAGGTGTCTGTCATCCGTCCGTCTCTCTGTAAACAATTTTTCAAAACGCTACTCCTCCTACAGTTTTGATTCTATTTCATTATAACTTGGCACACAAGTAGACTATACTAAGATACATAATTCTATATATCAGTTTTTGATTTCAATGAACAGTGTTGCCATGGTTACTAAAAATAGAAATTGCTGTGAAATACATTCAAAACGCTACTCCTCCTACAGTTTAGATCTCTATTTCAATATAACTTGGCACAAAAGTAGACTACACTAAGATACATAATTCTGTGCATCCGTTTTTGATTTCGATGAACAGTGTTGCCATGGTTACTAAAAATAAAAATTTCCTTGAAATACTTTCAAAATGCTACTCCTCCTACAGTTTTGATCTCATTTCAATATAACTTGGCACACAAGTAGACTAGACAAAGATACATAATTCTGTATATCGGTTTTTGATTTCGATGAATGGTGTTGCCATGGTTACTAAAAATAGAAATTTCCTTGAAATACTTTCAAAATGCTACTTCTCGTACAGTTTTGGTCTGATTTTAGTATAACTTGACACACAAGTAAACTACACTAAGATACATAGTTCTCTGTACCAGTTTTGGATTTTGATGAACGGTGTTGCCATGGTTACTAAAAATATAAATTTTTTGAAATACTTTCAGAACGCTACTCCTCCTACATGTTCTGTCTGATTTCAGTATAACTTGGCATACAATTAGACTACACTGAGATACATAATTGTCATTATTGCTTTTTGATTTTGTTAAATGATGTTGCCATGGTTACTTAAATCGAAATTTCTGTAAAATTATTTTAAAAGGCTACTCCTCCTACAGTTTTATTCTGATTGCAATAAATCTTGCCACAAAAATAGACTAAACCAAGGATCGTTATTCTATTTATTGCTGTTGCAAAGTTTCAAATCCAAGTGCTACTTTTATCTTCCTTTATAAGTACAACCCGTAGAGCTACAGTCTCATCAGAGACTTCTGGTTAGACCTATCGCACTTGTAAACCTTTTCTCCACATTCTAAATCCTCCCAAATACAGTTTTAAAAAAAAAAGAAACAACTGTCTTGAAAATGCCCACTGAGAAAGGCAAAATAAAATGGGGCCAAAATTTCCTGCATATAGAACTTGGAGACAAAACTATCAGTACCCCTAACATCTAATTACTTCTTTCTGGGGGTAAGAATAGAGGATATGCAGGATAAATGTCTGATGTGTGAATTATCATCAGTACTTGAGAATTTGTTTTCTTCGCAGTCCTTGCTGACAACATTCAGAAAGAAGGCCATGGAGAAGATCACACTAAAATTCATTGATACCTCCAGCAAATACGGACATGGACGTTTCCAGACCTTCGAGGAGAAGAGAAACTTCATGGGTCCCCTGAAGAAGGATGCCCAGAAAGAGGCTGCCTAAATGTGAAAGGACTGGAAATAAATGTCTGGATAATAAATATTACTGTGTTGTGTTTTGTTTGAAGTGAAATTTTAAAAAAAAAAATACTTGTTTTAGATGGTATTTTGAAGTTGAATTTTATTAATGTATATAAATGTAGTCTGAAGTTTTGGCTTACAATTCGGTGTTGTTCCTAAGCAATTTGAATGCGTTGTCCAGAATCACTGCTTCCTTACATGGACAAAATGTTCTTTGTTGATCAAAAGGGATGTCGTATGCTAGATTCATGGGATTTAGAAATAATAACCGCTGTGGGTTTGGTTTCATTCTATGGCATATGCATATATGTTACTCTAAAAATACTGTAAATGTATTAAGCAGGAACTGTTTTGCAGAAATTGATTTTCCATTAATGTATAAATGCAAGACACTTGGCGCTGCACTTGATTTAGGGGTAGCTGCTTTGCAAAAGGCGCTTAATAGGATGCAAAGCCAATTGCAATATTGAGCAAATCTAAATGGCAAAGAGTTGTTCCCCTTGATTCAGAGTTTTATAAAAGTACAATATACCTACTAGTACCTAAGTATTTTGAATAGAAATCACGGCTGATTTTCTAGAATTTGGTGTTTTTGATTGTAACATCACTAAGTTGTGGATGCAGAACAAAGAAGTAATGTGGTTACAATTTTGTAGAAAAACTAGGATTTTAGCATGATCAAGAAGTAAGATATGCTAGCAACTTGTAAAAATTTAAAGCAGTTGCGGGAAAAACTGAAGTTGAGCCGAAAAGTGACTTTTCACCAGATTACGTAGCTTGGCCAATTCCATTTATTGAGAGGGTCACATATCTAAGCAGAAAATTAAAGATACTTGAATTTTGGAAGAAAAAATTGTGCTATTTAACTGTGGATATGGTAAAATTGTGGTGGTTGCCATGGTAAAATGTTTGTTTTTTCCTATGTCTTGGTTTTCAAAGTACAGTAGCAATCGCAACTTCTCGAGCCTTTCCGACAATCGGGAAAACAACATCAAGGTGTTTTCCGAGCTTGCCGGAAAGGCCCGAGAATGTGCGATTGAGTACAATAATTTACAAGAGTTGTCTCGCTTTTAACACTTGAGATTGTACGCCGAATCCGTCTGTGTTTTCATCATTTATAGACTATTTAGCCCAGTTACAAAGGTAACATATTTCTCAGCTTAAGCATGCTGATCATTTTGAACCAATGAGTGTTTTTAGGTTACATTGGCTGCAAGTTTACGACTATATTCCTTTCACAATGGTAACAGATCGTTTATAAACCGGGGGGGGAGGGTTTACACCTATATTCCGTTACAATGTTAACAGATTATCACAAGGAATTTTTGTTTAGGTTTACACTGGGCACAACTAAATTTGTTTGGCTACAATCAGATACAATCATGGTAATTTAACTGAAGGGGGTCTTGTCTTTGTAATTTGTGTTACTGGTTACAAATGAGCATACAGAATTATCACCTTGTTACCACTGTAACCCATGTAACCATTTTTACAACTGTACGTAACCCATGTAATCACTGTAACCATTGTAACCAATTCAAAAATGAAAAATGCGGTCCAGCACGAGCTCATGTAACCTGTGTTACTGGTTACAAATGAACAAGGGAAATAAATCACTTTGTAACCACTGTAACCAGTCAATAAATATAATGATACTGCCTACTAGTCAAAATCATGTGTAACCTTATGTAACGTGTTACTTGTTACAAATGATCATAGGTAAAAGTCTACCTGATTAAAAAAAATTCAATTCTCCATATTATATACTCTCCTCACTGTCCAATTTTCCATTTTAATCAGCAATGAAAGTGTCACTAATAATAAATTCCTGAAAAAAGTATCTGATAACTAAATACTTGAAATACCATAAAAATAGACTTGAAAGTTGTTTTTGTTTTAATATTGTATCGATAACTGCTGTCCATTTTTGTTGAAATCGTATGATACAAATTATGTAGATAAGTTCAATGACTCGGAAATATGAAGATAACGAACAGTATTCAATCTCTCGATACAAATGTTTTACAGTTTACTATCAATATTCATCGAGTCTAAATGAAATGTAACCAAAAAAAAAAAAAATATTCTATATTAATTAGTATTCTAACGAGCTTTACAAACGTAATCCACATGGGTGCAACTTAATGCAGAGTAAATTTTGCATTTACAACAGGTGACAGGGGGGTCTGCCCCCCCCCCCCTTCCACTTTTTTTCCAAAGACTTTTTTTACTATTTGAAATGTTAATTGAAAGGCCGCCCCCCCCCCACTTTTTGTTGTAGAATAGGCAAATAAGGGTTTTGTACTAGTGTATGAATAAAATTTGGTACTGAAAAAAGTTGGTACCTAATTTTTTTTACCTATTTTTTTTTTTTTTTTTTTTTTTTTTTTTTTTTTTTTGCTTGTCAAGTTTTTTTTTCAGGTAAGTTGAATTTTTTTCTTTGGCTCCCCCCCCCCCACTTCAAAAACGATGCTACGTCCCTGGCTATACAAAGGATTCAGTTTTTTCCCCAACCAAAAAATATACCATAATTATGCAACAAAAGTGACACATGCAGTCAAGATAAATTTGGATCGGCGCACTTGCAAAAACTCCTTCCGGTTAGGAACAAATACGAAATCTAAAAGATTCACTCATTATGTTACAATTATAGAATATATATAATTTCCACAGTAATATTATGTTCGACATTATTTTTTAATATACAGGTATTTGTTGAATTTGAAGTAAATCGATTTTTTTTTCGAAACTATTACCAATACTAGCTTTGTTTATACTGTAAACACATTTTCGTCACCTTGGGGATGTAGACGATTGATTGGATCTTTGAATCGCCGGTATTTACTATATCATGACTGAATATTAATGAGTGGGTCCTGGACAGTTGTTTGTCAAACGTATCAGACCTTGTTGCCGTCAAGTTAATCTTAATTTATGATTTATCACTTTTTTTGTCTTTGATTGAGTGTTAACCAAACTTCTCAAAGTACTAAACTATTCAGGAACAAGTTTTACAGACTTGTTTGTGTCGTGTTTTCACACCTTGGATGATTGGATGTAAACACAATAATACAGGTGGGTATTATCTTCTCTAATTGATGATTTTTTTTAAAACATTGTCACCGTGAAGCCTTTCAACTGGCTCCTAGAACTCTGGCCATTGCCTTCCATGCAAGCACAATGCACCTGCTTTAGAATTTCGGGTGAGAGTGAATGTTTGCAGTGCGAGGTGCCATACACTAATACAGAAAAAAGTTATTAGTGTTTCGCGTGAATAGGAAGCTAAATATTAAAATGTATTATTTTCGTTCAAATTACCCGGCCTCTACCCCTTACACTTTCAGGGACTTCCAAACACAGTTCAACTTTAATACAAGTTTAATGGCATAATTTTTCAATGAAGCATGTTTTTTAGATCATTTAGATATTTTAATTTTTATTATTAAAAATATATATTTATATATAGGAAAATATATTGAAAAAATAGTAATAGTATATTTGATTAAAACATAGATTCTAAACATAATGATAATTCAGTACGTAAAATAAATAAAATTAATAAGACATTTTTCTGTTTTAACTTATATATTAAAGTTAGAAATAAGCCTACAATTTAGCATTACTTTAATATTGATTCATACTTTTGCAGATATGCTGTATGAGGGGATAATCCCATTGATTGGTATGGGGAATCTAGGTTATCAGCAGACAATAATCCTTTGACTACATAGAACACCAGTATGTTAGAGGTCTGTAACTATACTCAGGGGATGAACACCTTGTCAAATCCAGTCAACAACAACACCATGAAGCACCCCAGTGCTAACTTGGAGGTGTTCGAGTTTAACATTGGTAAGGCTCAGAGCCTGCGTTGTGCCAGCAATGCCACGGCCATCAGCTGCGGAGAGTGCGAGACATGTCTTCTGAGTGACCGCATGAAGAATGCCAAGGAGTTCTTCCCTAAATTGGGAAGTCACTCCAAGAAACGGTTTATGCTTGGACTGATGCGTCGATTTCACAGTGTTGATTTGTTACACCAGATGGTGAGTTTACTACAACCATTGTCGTGTAAAGACTTTACATACTCCCGAAGTCGAGCAGCACCTAGTCTTGACACGGATATGACAACCTTTAGTTCTGATCGTGCCATGGACTTGATGGAAGTGGAACAATTCATTACTGGTACATGGATGTGGTTCCAGAAAGCTAACTATTGGACAAAAGCTAACTTTGCTTTATCCTTACTTCAGTTGTGTGAGATTTCCTTGCTGCACACCCTCAGTTCTCAGGCCCGGACCCTCCTCATCTCGGAGGAAAAGGCCACCATGGTAGCACCAGGTAAGACAAAAGGCCACCACCACAGCACCATATAAAACATTATATGGCTGGCAGTCAGTGTACAAAAAATAGTTACTTTAAAGTATGCATATAGTATCATGAAATATATGGAGATAACGAACAGTATTCAAGCTCAAAAGTCCATTATACAATACAAAATAGGAGCAGAGCAAACACGGACCTTCAAACATCAGAGGTGGGATCAGGTGCCATGGAGGAGTGAGCATCCCCTGCCGACCGGTCACACCCGCCGTGTGCTCCTTGTCATGATCGGGAAATAACGGAAAAATCCGTCGACAATTCAGTGTGTAAATAATGGCCTAACAATTAGTATGTAAAACGTCAGTCAGCATTTGACTCAATGATAAATTGTATTTGCTGACAGTCCAAAAAAAGTTTTGAATAGGGAAGAGCATAGAGTACCTTGAAAGGAAATAAATTATACATGTGGTTGAAAATTGCAGGTTAATAAATACCATATAGAGGGGTTGCTCAAGTCTTTCTTCATAGCTGGAATGTAAATGTCTCCTAATATTGATTCATGTGTGCTGTCAAAGCAGCAATGTATATAAATTTATCTTTTTGTAAATGTAAAGAAAACTGAATATTATCCAAAAGATGGTTCTATAGATTTTGGTTTTAGAACAGTAAAATCCAATTTTAATATCTTTAAATGATTTTAAGCTGAAGATCTTACGATTCTAGACACTGCTGTGGACTATCTTAATGATTAAAGCTCATAATCAGTCAGATAATAAAGAGGAAGAATTAAAAATTAAAAGTTAAACTGAATCCAAAATAAAATCTCCAATCTTATGTTTATGATAAATTGAAAAAGCATACTGGTATTCTTTTTCACTATTTAATATATAAATTCAGGGTTACCAGTCAGGATTCTATGTTGGTTTGTTACATTATATAGATCTATATATAGAGATCAAATTGAATTCTATATGAATTTAAAATAAATGTTAATGGTTTTTCCATTTCACTTAAAATGGTCAAAGAAGAAATATTTTAGAAATGTTTTCCACCTGTATCAAAAAACTTATCATATAACCATCAACCTGAGTGATTTACATTCTCCTGTTGAATTTCTTCCCTTATGTTGTCTACATATTAAATACAAAAATGTCATTTATACTAATGGTTCCACAAACTACATTTAATAGCTTTATCTCTCCATTTGACAAAGTGTAAATTAAATTCGCAGCTGTATGCAGGGATTAGATATTTAAATTAGAAGTGATTTAGATTTGTAAGGTAGAAATGTAAGAAATAGGAAGGTTTGATGAACTTGTATGGATAGGTTAAACCAGAAGCTTATCCCTGAAAAGATCCAAGTAAATATATCTATCTGGGATCAAAAGCCTGTCTGTACACAGAGGACTGTCTGTGTTGAGGGGACAACTTATCCCCCCACAAGATAACTCAGATAAGGTGCTCCATTCAAACCTCTGTAAATTAAATTTAATAACCTTGTGTATAGTTTGATATTAAATACTTAAGCTGACTTAACCCTGGTTAATCTTTAACCTGACAACTATTGCGTTAGCTTTCATGATTAAAATGCATGTCCTTCCCTTTGGACAAAAATTTTATAAAGTACTTGTAAGATTCTTATAATAATCTATTAAATGTAGAGTTTGGGTATATGAATGAAACAAAGCAAGACTAAAACAAAATATGTAACCTTATACCTCCATCTTCAGTCGTTTTATATTTCATCTTACAGGTCTGTTTTAGGAATTCATTTAGTCTACAAAATATATTAATATATTCCATCTCTTAGTTTAAAAAAAAAAACTCATCATTTTAACTGATAGCACCTAATTTTTGGAAAATTAGCTCCAGCTTATATGAATTATTAATATTTTGACATAATTTTTACTACCACCCAAATTATCTAACCCTACCCTCTAATGGCCAGTCGAACGGGGAGACCAGTTAATAATATCAGTAACCTTCGTCTAGGGCCTTCACTCAGTACCAGGGGTGGGGGATAAAGGAGACCAGTCAGTTATTCTATCAGTAACCTTTAAGGACAGACGATACGTTCCTCAATAATATATAATTTTTTCTAAGATTTTGTCATTGAAGTATTGCTACTTTGATACGTTTACTCGCAAAAAATTGAGGTACCTTACCAGGCATTTGTGCAAGATACCGGAGGGTGTTGTTTCCTATAAAATCCTTTTGCAAAAAAACTTAATTGGCCAAGATCACATTTTTTAGTGTTTCAATTTTTTAAAGACAATTAGAAACCAGTTTAGAAATCAGAAAGTATTTAAAATTTTTAATATTTTCCATACAATACGAAGATATACAAAACAGATTTTTGAGGAATGTATTGTCTGACCTTAAGTCTAGGGCCTTCACTCAGTACAAGAGACGGGGGGGGGGGGGGGGGGCAGTTAGTTATTCTATCAGTAACCTTAAGTCTAGGGCCTTCACTCAGTACAAGAGACCGAGGGGGGTTACCAGTTAGTTATTCTATCAGTAACCTTTAAGTCTAGGGCCTTCACTCAGTACAAGAGACGGGGGGGGGGGGGGACCAGTTAGTTATTCTATCAGTAACCTTAAGTCTAGGGCCTTCACTCAGTACAAGAGACGGGGGGGGGGGGGGACCAGTTAGTTATTCTATCAGTAACCTTAAGTCTAGGGCCTTCACTCAGTACAAGAGACCGGGGGAGGGGGGGGGATCAGTTAGTTATTCTATCAGTAACCTAAAGTCTAGGGCCTTCACTCAGTACAAGAGACCGGGGGGGGGGGGCAGTTAGTTATTCTATCAGTAACCTTAAGTCTAGAGCCTTCACTCAGTACAAGAGACCGGGGGGGGGGGGGGGCAGTTAGTTATTCTATCAGTAACCTAAAGTCTAGGGCCTTCACTCAGTACAAGAGACCGGGGGGGGGGGGGCAGTTAGTTATTCTATCAGTAACCTTAAGTCTAGAGCCTTCACTCAGTACAAGAGACGGAGGATAAAGTAGACCAATTAGTTATTCTATCAGTAACCTTAAGTCTAGAGCCTTCACTCCGTACTTTAGGATTTTCATAAAGTTAATTCTGTTTTTACTTAGTGTTAATACTTCTAATTGGAATTTGTCTTCAGTATTACAAATTCTCGTAATCGCCTTTCGTTTGTCTGCAGGATTAGCCTTACAACTTTTTTCTAACAATCCATGACGCTGCATTCGGTTATAGTTAGGACTTTAAGGGTACAATGCATGAAATAAGTGCCGAAGTTTAAACCAAGAGGTGAATAATAACCGTTGTTGTCAAGATTGGAACAATATCTATTGAGATGATTACCTCTTTCAGCATTATGCCAAGTTTGTGTCTAACGTTTGTTGTGATGACGGGAACTCAAAGCCCGGAATCTCCCGCGGACTCGGTCATGTGACCCTTTGGACAGAAGACGGTTTTGTTTGAATGAAGGCGGCAACCCGCCAAACGCACTTCTGCCGTTTTATCTGATTTGAAATATGACATTTAATGACATCTTTAATTAAGTCTAACCACATCACTGCACAATTAGCCGTCGTGCCAAAGTTCTGGCAGAATATCTTTGAAATCATAAGTTTTATATTTGAAGGAATGCATTATATAATTTGCATGAGGTAGAGTGCACACTCAAAATAAGCCAGATTATGTCTGATATCTAATGTTTCATACATAGTTACCTAGGATCATTCACAAGGGTCATTATTCATAAGTCGGAATATTTTACCTTATCAATAATGTTTTAATGGTACTACTGTGCTTATCAATGGTCGTTAAAGCCAACTTTCATAAGTATTACTACAGATGGCACTTGCGAAACTTCCATCTGTAATTCGTGAACAATAGACGCTTTAATTGAAAATCAAGTGCTTAGATCGACCCCGCATGTTAAGAGCTCTTGGAAAATTGGTCAATTTCACAAAATAGGCATGAACAATGATTCGCTTTATTTCTTTTAAATGACATTTTCAGGCAGAATTGATTTCAGTTTATTGCAAAACGTCCAATTATGATACACAAATAACAACCCCTACATTGCTTTTATGACCATTTGATTGTTCTTGTACAGACCCTCGCGTTATCTGAAGCAAAATGGAATTTAATCAAATTGTAAAAATACCTAGGAATCGAAATCTTGTCGGAAGTTTAGGTATTGTTTAATGGGTACATGTATTTAAATAAAGCATGGCAATATATACAGAAGAAACAGGGTCATGTATCTACCTATAATTTTATGTACTTGTCTAAATTCAAGATTTGATTGGCGGTAGTTGTATTTAGTTGTATGTCACGGGGTGGCAGGGTTCCCTGGACAACTGGTATGTAGTAAAGTCACAAGGGGAGACAACCAAAGATACTCACCATTAGGCCTACTGTATCATGTACAGAGTTTACATGGTATATCACACAAAGGGAGATATAGTGCCATCCATTGAAAAAAGTCTGTATTTATAGAACACAAAAAGCGCGCGGTTTCTCGATTTATTTCTTCGTAATTTTAAACCATCTCAAAGTATTACCAACGCGTGTGTCTCTATCATATTCTTTAACTATATTTCCACAACAAAACGTTCTACATATCCACATCCGTTGTTAATAGGTCCCCTAAACCTGAAATGAGACCATCAAAAACTTTGCCTATTTATAATGCCATTTTGGATGACAAGGCAATTCTGTCGCTTTGAAATCGAGCTTTTGTGCAGTTAAGGTAACTAAGGATTTGGAGAAATAAATCCAAAACCGAGCGCAACTTTTTGTGCGCAATACATATACATTTTTTTTTCTATCTGGGGTGGCACTGTAGCTCTCTAGTCTCAGACCAGCGAACAACAGAAAGAACAGACGTGTTGGAGAATTATTCGTTTGCTTTTTAAATACGAGACCTTGATTATCCCTGTCATCGAAAACAGGCGCATATTCAATAGGGCCTACCATATAAATTGGCTCATTGTTATCTTGGTTCATGCACATGGGCAAAGAGTTCAAAAAAATGTTTGAATTCATATAGCTTTTATAAGTCTGGAGCATATTTTGAGAACAGTTAAACACTTGAATTTGAATTTGAGGATTTGGTTCTTCTTCAAATCGATGTGGTGGTAAATGGTGGAATAATTTACTTTATTTAATTGTTCGGTTTCACTAAGCATCATGTTTGCAGTGTATTTTATGCATAACCGTTCTCTTTCAACCCCCCCCCCCCCCGCTCTCTTGATCAATCGGTGAATACATCATTTCCAGTACTTACGCATGTCTGTTTGTCTTTTCTCTTTCAGAAGCGGACTACGTGGAGACGGCCTCCATTCCGGAGACGGAGTACTCCTTCCACAGCGAGGAACACGCTGATCTCCAGGTGCTCTCTATCGTCACTCCACACTACGGCAAGCCCAAACTCCACCCAATCACGGGAGACAAGCTCTTCCTCGATGACGTCATCGAAAATGACGACAGTGGCACTGACAGTGAGTCGGAGCTGTCGTCTGTTGACCCTGCGTGCATGGTCATCCCCACGTCTTCCAAGGCCTTCTCTGGTGTTGCACGCCACAAAGACTTTATCCGCAGCCTTCCCGTGCACCTTGCTAAATACATTCTTAAGTTACTGGACAAGACGTCACTTAGCCACGCCCTTTTGGTCAGTCAGAACTGGAGGGCCTTGGTGTTGGAAGTTCACGACGAGGAGCGAATCAACCAACTTTTAGAGGAGGATGTTATGTTGATGCAGGTAAGATTTAGAAGTTTCTTACAAAGCCACATTTTCCCGCAATGCCATAGTCAAAGTTCATCATTGCTAATCTGAAATTTCTAGCAAACAGACACATAGCATCCGTCCAAGTTCTTTGTAAGAAGTATCGAGGTCTTTGATGATTTGTGTTGAAGAAATGTTTTTATTTAACTTGTTGAAATTTTGAATCTTAGAGTAACGTTCTGACAAGAACTAGTGAAACAGAAGCTATTTGTGCTCCAACAAAGGTATATCTTAAAACGTAGTCCAGGTTCTGGCTTCCAATAGATTTTGATTATTGGGCGTACATACGGATGTTTTTTTTTTTAATATTAGATGACGGTGAATATATTTTTTTAAAGAATGTATTAGTATTAATTGCGAAAGTGCACAAAATATAGATCTTTTGCAAGCATATCTTTCATTTTAGCTAACGATGCCATGTTCTGTAAGAAACATCGTTAATTAATAGAGTTGGTTTTGTCAATATTTTCATTATTTGCATGGTTTGTTTGTTTTGCTCCTGAAAAGGATTGGATGTTCTGAACAGCCAGGCTCTAGCAGGTGAAAAATCCGTCGTCAAATTGTTGTCGGTGTTAAGTCTGTCAGAGTTCGACAGACTACACTTCCGTAATGTTCTCGTTTGCATGTTTTCACAAGTCAGCATGATGCACGATAGTTTCGATTTGTTCAATAAAAAAAAACAATAATAAATATACTTTGTAGTTTCTAGATGTACAGGTAAGTTATGGCGACAGTTATATTACTCGTATGACACAGTTTGTTGTCCTTCATTTACACTGGATGCATGTGTTCGAGTGGTCGCCGCCATGATTAGTTCAATCAGAGATTTATTTTGTTGCTGAAATAATTCAATAAAAAGTTTCAAGGTTTAAGGAGATGAAGCGTAAGCTCTCCATATTCTAGACACAATGCGACAGGTCAATTATTTAGAGAATTTAATTGATTTCTGTGGATTCTGAAACAATAAAAAATGGCGTATACTTGCACTGATTATGAAATGCATATCGATGAGGCAAATAATTTAGGTGATGGAATAGGTGCATTATTCTGTTTTATTTGCTTTGAATAATAACATGTACATATAGATGGAATGGAAAAGTGCCTGCTTTAGAAATATCTAGGTTTTATTGGGATTCAATAAGAACAATATAGTAGTATGCGGTGGTGGTCTACTATCTTTATGTAGAATAGCATAAATAGAGCGTATATGTATATAGATCGGTGTTCATTACGTCATCTAGTATACATAATTTTTCTGTGGAGGATACAGTTATGATGGTAACTAGATTCCATTCCTCATTAAGCCCATTTGATCCCTGTAATGATATCTTTAAGCGTTAAGTCATTATTGTCTTATCAGGGGGCGGCTGCACAAGGGGTGAACCACCAATACGCCAAGGACATTGATGTGCCTGTACCCAACCTGTTCCCGGGGACCCGGACCGTGAAACTAACAGATGACGAGGTCATCAGTCCCACTTACCTCCAGGAGGTCAACTTTAGTAACGCCTACAGCGGCGTGTCCACGCGTAACGTCATCATGGAAGAACGTAACGTTTACTGCGGGACGTACAACGTCATGGTTCTCTCTATGGTGTAAGTATACATCTCTTTTATTGTGAGAGGAGGAATTAAAAGACAAAATAGAGCTTTATTATCATGCCTCCCAAAGCAGACTGATCTAATATTTGAATTCTCACGAGATCTATATACTGTTCATTTTGATATTATACAAGATAAACTATCAATGGATGTCTTTAATAGTGAAGATCATCATCGTGTGATACACACAGACGGAGGGCAAAACATCGCCATTGGATCTAAAGACCGGAAGATCCGGTTCATTGACCGGGATAGCGGAAATGAGTTGCCTCTCGTCATATCCGGTCATGCCGGAAGTATTAGGTGTGTCCACATTTGTACCGAGCGGGGAATCGTTCTAAGTGGCAGTTATGATACCAGCATTAGGTATTGTCTGTATTCAAGACTTTTTAATTTGAGTTTCAGAGTGTAATTTTTATATGATTAGTGACTTTTTACGATGACTTTTGATTGGTTGGTTACAGGATGTGGAGTGTGGAGACGGGCACCTGTAAGAAAATTTTCCGTGGACATCGGGATACAATTCTGACCATACTGGTTCTGGACGACTACTTAGCCTCGGGGTCAAAGGACAATTCCTGTAAAAGTAAGTCAAAGATGGGCAATTCGAAAGATTCCTTTAAAATCCTTTTTCAAAGTTTCTGCATTTGTCAAATTTTTAGTCAACAGAGGAAAAAAAAAGCAAAACCATAAAATATGTCAGGCCTTTGTTGTTTAAAAAGAACAGAAAGGAATGTATATTCATCAAAAATGTTTCGTATTTAGACCTGATACTGCCAATGTTAGGCAAAATAATTTACAACTGTCGTGAACCGTTTTATTACCTGTAGATAATAAGTCTCCTATAGGCAGTTATTTTAGTCCTGGATTGCCGCTTATAGTCAATATTTGTGTTTCTTCTTGTGAAATGATACCAATACTCAAACCGTGTTTTTAATCTCTACTCGAAGTGTGAAGGCAAATAAGCAAGCCATTCTTTAAACATTTCTTTTCGAATTCGTGCAAGCATTGATATGCATGTTTTGGACTTTACACAAGGAGAAAATTTGTATTTTACGGACAATGCATTAGGGCTTTGGATCTCCGATTAATGTAGCTGACGTATGGAAATATTTATCATTTAGTTTACGTTAAATCAAATTCATTTGACATATCCAATGTTTAACATTAAATACTTGCAGTACTCAATATTACAAACCCACCTTAATTCCACAAACTTTGGATTATTTAAACAAGCCTACATAAATACAGGAGATTTCTTTATGAGAAAAAAAATATGATCAGAAGAGATGCTAAACGTTAGGTCATTTCGTCAGTGAGTCATAAATATTTAAAGAGCTTTAAAATGACAGACTAATTTCAGGGAGAATAGTTCGCGTTGTGATTATTATCATAAATCATATATTTTTGTGCATAAATATAAGATACTGAAATAAAATTAATTGAGTAACATTTTCACCCGTTTCTTATATACCAGTATATTTTTCTGCATTGCATTTGTAATGGATGATACATGTATTCCAAAAATCTATCTCCCCAAGAGATCCATGGAAGGGGGGGGGGGGGTAAATAAATAGAGAGTATATATATATATATATATATATTTACTCATTGGTTCAGTAATACTCTGCTTCTTTTAAGTCAACAATTAATAAGCATTATGATTGAGTGTACATATATGTTATATTTATTATGCTGGCGATGGATATATTACTTCTAAGTTTAATGGACACTCACTTACAAGTGTTTTTCCACTCAAACCCCCTGTATTTTTCATTTTTTTTGTGTGACAGACATGTAATGGAAAAACGTATTTTTTAAGCAAAGGAAGTACGGGTATGTAGGCCATGTGACCCGTTGTTCTACTCAGCATTCCTGAAAAGAGGATGCGACACAGCACAACTGAGTTGATTTTGATTGTGGAGTTTGCCTCTGTAACATGATGTTTTTTTCTGTAGTTTGGAACATGCAGACAGGTAAATGTCAGAGAACCTTTAAACACAAGGCGCCAGTGTGGGCCGTGGCGGTCAGTCAGGAGCTGTGTATCACGGGCTGCGAACAGGGCAAGGTCAAGGTGTGGGACATCAAGTCCGGGGATCTCATCAAGGTAGGAGACACCGGAAGTCAACACCTGTACGTGTATCTCTTATAATACATAGAAAATAAAAACATTAACTTATATAATTAACCTCTCCTACAGGTGCTAGCAAGACATCACGCTCAAATAACCTCAATCAAGTTTGACCGATGGCACATCATCACCGGAAGTAAGGATGGATATGCATTGGTCTGGACCTCTCAAGGAGAACACGCACGCTGTTTGAACGCGCTCAGGCATCCCAAGTAAGTCAATCGAACGCGACTTGGTCAACATATTTAACATGATTCAACAAGGTGAAAGCCAAAGTAAATAACACACCACAGTTAAATAATTGTCTTTTTTTCATTAGGCCAGTGTTATGTCTGGAGTTCCAGTTTTTACGCGTCATTACTGGATCCGCGGACGGACGATTACGAATTTGGAACATGATAAGTGGACAGTGCTGCCGTATCATGCGTGGAAACAGTGCCAGCGATCCAATCCAGTCTATAATCGCCATAGATGACAGGTAAACAATCCCTCAAAGATTTTATACAGGTTAAAATAAAGTTAAACTGAGTATGTGTAAAACACCAAAACTTTTATTTGAAAAATTACTTCTGTTTATTTTAGAATAACTCTTAACACCAGTAAGAACCTGATCGAGTTGAGGTTTGAGTCCGTAACATGGGACTATACACTGGAGAACGACAAAATCCCGTCAGCTGTCAAGTATAGTTCCTACTCAGACGCACCCATACGTCCTCAGCCCTACCCGTACATCCGTGCACAGAGGATGAAGCGCGCAGGCGCCAGTAACACCAAAATTATCCACCATGATCCAAAAAAGAGAGAGTCTCGCCCGCCAAACATTCTCCAAATGAATCTGTACGCCAAACAAATTCCACACAGTGCGAAATGTCTCAGTCAGAAAAGCCTGGAAAGCGCCCGCTTAATCCAAAGCGCTGCGCCTGAGTCAGGATATGAGAGTGGACCATCCCCACCCGCCTTGGAGCATCGTCCTAGCTCAGACAAGCAAACGGTTTCTTCCAGCAAGTCTTTCCCAACCAAGCCGTTAACGTCCAAACCGCCGCGACCCAGCACGTTCAAATCTGCGACATCCCAGCAAAGTGTCGTCATCGCTGATCCTTTATGTAAACATTACGATGATGATGATGATGATGACGTGCATTCGCCAGTGCTAATGAAAAGGAGGGTATCGTGGGCTTTTGACCAATCCATTATTCCCAAAACAAAAGACATTTCTCTCTCAGAGACAAAGGCTTTGCTGCGGTCTCAAATGAGAATGAAAGCAGAGAGTATCGTACCCCCTGATTTTATATATTTAACAGTGAATGCAATACAAAACTCGATGCAAAGTTCAGAAACAACGAACAACACAAAAAAGAATATTCGTGCCATGGTATCTGGTCTGGATGGATTCAAGCGGCCGTCATCATCTCCCAGTAAGATCGACCCTAGGACAAAAGTGCCGGTAGATGAACTTGGTTTAGAAAAATTCCACCCAAAATCCGTAGAAGCGGAATCTCTATCAGAGTTCTCTGACACGAAGTCCTTCAAATCACTAAAATCGTCCAAGGCTAAAGAATCAGACCAGGTGCCTGGCCCAAATCGAGAGCGGTACGCCACACCCTGTGAAATCAAGCCCACCAAGACAAAAATTAGAATGAGTCTCCATCCAAAGAAAGTAAAGACCACGGTTCCTGTCGGTCGATCCATTCGTCCGGTGTCTGCGGCCGCTCACAGACAAGACGCAGTTGAGGTCGACATGACCGGACGTCCGGTGACGGCGCCGACCATCAGGAGACCGGATACTGCCATCAGTGACGTTCCGTCCACCATTGCTTCCGCTCTTCCGGGAGTCGTGCCTCAACACAAGAAACAACCTACAGGAATATCGTCCTCAATGCACGATGTTAATTTAGTGCCAATGAAAATGTACCCAAAAGACATGAAGGAAAAATTAAGTGCCTTGATTCAAGAGAAGCGTCGTGCTAAATCGGAGACAGTGCTGAGGTCAGCCAGTGATACTGTCATCGGCAAAGTCAGTCAGTATAACGACCCAATGAGGAGCCACGTTAAGTTTGAACTACGAACTTATGAACAAGAAAAAGAATTCATCAATAACATTGAACAAATGTACATAGAAAAACAACAGAATGACGAAGAAATGTTGGAAAAGAAAAAGCGAGCTGCTTGGTTAGCTAAGGCTAGTTCCAGACCAAGCACTGTCCACCCTAGTCAGAGATCTGGTGGGGTACCGGGCTCAGCTGCTACCAGACCCAACACAGTACACGGCAGCAAACCCAACAGATGAGTCCACAGTCGGAAGTGACGGCATAATCATCATCAAGGTTGTGAAACAGCCAATCAGATATTGAAAGAGGCATGTTGCCCTCTTTATAGCAAAATCATGAACAGGGTTCCATAACTTCCAGGGCTAATCGTAATGGTTGTGAATTTACTCTTTCTACACGTATGCTAATGTTCTGTTTGATTGTCTGTGATAAGTATTACTTCCTTCATAGATTTATTTTTATTTTTATACAAATGTGCCTTGACGGAGGACTTTTTCAGATGAGTATGTGCTATAGACTTTACTGTAAGAACTAGGATGTTTTACCTGCTTATTATTGTATTTTGACGTCTATTGTGTTATTTGTGTGGTGCAAATGCCTAGATATATCGCTGTGATGATTTCAGTATACAGGAATACTTGTGTGATTCGCGTGTTTTTGCCAATTTGTTTTTGAATGGTGACTGGAATGACTGAGTAATTGCATTCGCATGTATTGAACTTACTAGATGTGTAAGCATCTTACACTCTGTGATACCTTTTGCAAACGTTGTTATATGTTCACGAATACTGAACGATCCTGAAATGGTGTAGAACTTTTTACAGTATTGCCAAGTTCCTGCTCAATGTTAGGGGGTCGTCAGTAGCCACATAGCGGCACACTTTACAGGGTCGCCACCAGATCAGTGCCCAAATCCGAGTTTCACCCACACTTTATAACATCAAGCTGTGATATACGACAATAGTATTATTTATATTCTGTTTTATACTAATAAATGGTTCTAACAGAAAAGGTTTTTTTAAATTAATTATCATATTCCCTTCCACACACCAAATTGTGTGTGTTGGGGGGGGGGGGGGGGTATGGTGCCCCCCGTATCCGTTAGTGCAACAGCGTATTAGTGACAACGCGGCGGTGCGTTGTGTACAACACGTCGTCGCGCTTACACAATACGCCGTCACGCTTACATAATTTTACACAACACGCCGGCGCGCAAACCACAACACGCCGTCACCCTAACAACTTCACAAAACACGCCGCTGCTCCGACGCAAAACGACGCCGTATCGCTGATCCAATTATATACAACATGCCGTCGCACTAACACAACCTTACACAATTCGTTGCTTAATTGTTCACGCAACGGCATATTGTTTGTATAGTTGCAATAACGTGACGGCATGTTTCGTGTCAGTGCGACGGCATGTTGTGTAAACTTGCATTAGCGTGACAGCCTGTTGTGTGTTAGTGCGCCGGGGTGTTGTGTAAAAATGCATCGTTGTGTGTCAGCTCCACGCGTGTTGTTACTAATGTGCTGTTGCACTTTTGCAGGTGACAACGCGTCAGTGCATTAGTAGCAACGCACCGTCGCGTTGTGAACAACGCTCTAGCACATTGTCGCTTCAACTAAGCCGTTGTTACTCTTGCAAATGGTCCTATATGCATGGACACCATGGGGGGGGGGGGGGGGGGTGTCCATCTGGAAGCAAGGTTAGTCCGGCAGTTCACATCTTATCACAGTTGAAATCAAGTCTAACAAGCACATATCTGGGATTTATGAATGTTTGCATGGTTTGATGAATATTTCAGCCGAATCACAGATGCTTCATCTGTTCTATATCATACGACTGAGTGATTCTGGTTACCTACATGTACATTTTGGTTGAATAAAGTTGTGATCCAGTGGCGTATACATGTATTCCATATAGACAAAAAGGCTGTAGCCTAAACATTTCTCAGAGATAAAAATTTGGCTGAAAAAAGGGGAGGGGAGTTGATAATAAATTGTACATTTTCATTTTATTTTATTTATTTATTTATTAAATTTATTTTTTGAAAATGCCAAAAAAGCATTCTGAGCAATCCGCACTTTTATACCTCTCTAATGTTTGCAGTTTTGCTTTATATTTAATGACAAAACTATTCCTATAGCTGGAATTTTTATAAAGCCTGAATTCAAGTGTTATATATTAAGTCTGTATATATCAGACAATTTCAAAACCATAGACAGCGACAGCAATCCATAATTAGAACAGGAAATGAAATTGATAACTGAAAATATTTTTGGTTTGTAGAAAATTAAACGTATTCTTCGTATTTGGATTATTTATTAAGGAAGTTTCCATATTTTCTAAGCAGAATAAAAGGATAAGTTAAGAGCTCTCGAATTTGTTAAGTGGTCTTCATATCATGATATAAGCTGAAAATATGTTTACAATATTATTTTCACTGGTCAAATTACAATTTTAAATGTAGAATTCGCAGAAATGCTCCCTTTGACCCCCCCCCCCCTACCTATGGAGAGGGGGCTCCTTGCCTATCCACACTTCGCACCTCAGCTTAAATCAACCTATATCTCAGCATAAAGGAATATACGCCAGTGTGACCTCCAAATCGAAACATGTACTATATAGTATCGTACATCTTGAATGCTCAGTTTGTTGCTACTGACCTACATTTTATGCTTCTGTGGACATTTCTGGATAAGGACTACCTCCTCTTACGCTCTAGTACGCTTCCAGGGGCTTCTCCCCCATTGACCCGCTGGGTTGGGGAGGGTAAGGCTTAATGGGGCTCAGACCCTCGCAATCGGAAAAGCATCCACATTACTTTTGCCTACCTACTGTCTATCCACGTACAACTCAATATGATGGCGAACTTATTTTGTCACTGCCAGTAGTGAATCCAGGATTTACCAGAGGGGTGGAGGGTTAAAAAGTTTAATGACAACAGATACTCGCAATACTTGTAATTAATATGAGTTTAAGAGCATGTTTTATGAAGACTTAACTTTAATGGGGAGGAGACCTGCCCCCACTCCTTTATAGCCCCATTTACAAGCATTTCGAAAAAAATTGTCTTGCAGACTGAATTGCAGTATGTCCTACAAAGGGGTTGTTAATGTCACAACAGTTCATAAATTCTCACTCATATTGGCTATCTAGATCTGCGAGGTCCAGTACAATTTAAAACAGATGTATAATCGGGGATTTTTGTCGTATTTCCCACTACATGGTATGTTACATGAGATATATAATGACATCAGTTCACATTAGTAATGTGGTGTTACTATGTCAGGTGAACTCCATAGGCTTCTTATTTCATTTAATGACAATAAACTCCATACACTAAAAAATAAAACCTTTATTTCTAAAACAGACTCTAATCAAAGCTGTATAGCGTACAAACTAAAACATTTTATGGCAACATCTAACAAAGGTAACAATAGCTACCTTTCAACAATACAAGGACCTTAGAACAAATCTAAGATTTGTGCTTGTTTAAATAAATAACCCTTAATATTACAGCTGTGCTGAAGAAACAGAGAATCACCTCACATCAATAAGACCTATGTTTTATAGAGAGAACGATCATAGGCATTTATGCCTGCTATTCAATCCATTTCATTGATTTGAATAAAATATATTTTAAATCCAAATCAATAAGACCTAGGGCCTGATACTAGCAATCACATCTCTAAAGCTTTCAGCTTCTCAAAAAGAATTAACTCATTTTTATTATTTTTCAGTAAAAACATCTGGAAAAAAAAACTAAGGAGGGAATAGGTTGGTTTTCAATCTAACCAAGATAAATAACAAAAAGATTGCTGTAGATGCTGTTTGGTTTGATATCGACAATTAACAATATATAAATACCTGAGGGAATCAAGAGGTATACTTTACTAAATAATACAGGTCTACACATTTAACAACAACCAAAACATTCCATTTCCAGGCAACGGACAGTAAGTATTGTCAAAGTGAAACTACTATAAAAAAAATTCAATTTTAATAGTGGTTCTGAAAATATGGAATATGTAATACAGAATTTGCTTAAAAATTAACAACAGTTTATTCCTGCATTGATACATGTTGCATTGCAGCAAGATGTACACAAAACACCTTTATAAAAGGCATTGAAACGATCCTCCAATCACCTATGTACAGATCTGTTTATGATTAAACCTTCACCAAATATTTGACTTGAGTTTGACTAGAAGACAGCGGCAGTCATGCCCCACTCGCTGGCGGACTGATTTCTGTTGACGTCTATTGTACTGGACGTCTTCTCCACATCTTCTATCATGTCCTTCAGTACAGTTTTGATCTCATCTGTCTGAAGATCCGTCAGAATCTCCGAGAGTTTGGAGCAGAATAAGTCAACGTTCTCCTCGCTGAAACACATTGGTGGTTTGGTTTTGAGGACATTGTTGTGTGGTCCATCAGAACTAATAAGAATTCTGGCCTCCTCTTTCATTCTAAAAAAAGCAAAATGCTATGTGACATAATGTAAATGGAGTTATCTCCCTTATACCACTGTTTTGCCATTGTAATGTGTGGTGTTTTTGTCAGTTTGGAGTATTAATAATAATACAGTTTAAATTAGCTTTATAAAACTTTTTCAAACATTATGTTATCATAAAAGTTACAGACTGGGTTACAGATGCACTGTCTTAATTAATCCTATCTTAAAACTTACTAAAATAGATGAATTGATCAGCATTGTCACTGAATTATCCACAGATTCCCCCCGAAAAACACTATACATAAATAAAAGTTCCAAAGTATCCAAGCATTTAAATAAATCTGAAATATATTGAGCACGAAAATCTTTCTTTATCACACATTTAAGCACAATTTATATTTAGTAACTTCCTCATACCTATATAAATCCTAGATGTTTTATTTATGTGGGTTTTAAGAATGAAGTGGTTTTAAGTGTACTCCATATCAATGATTTATAGAGTATTACTGTGGGGGTGATTTCTTCATCAAGGTGTGACAGATTATGTGGATATTTCTGTGGCATGTTGGATGAATTCTCCCAGTTTTATTTTTGTTATTTTAGACTGACCTTCTGACCACTGTCTGTGCTTCCTGTGTGGCTGGCTCCCGGGTCTTACAATCCTTCACAAGGTCAATCCCAAGAAACAAACCACGACCCCTGAAATAAGTCCACAAAAACTTCACACTCTGGAAGTCTAATAAACAAACAAGGACCCCTCAATAATTCAGCAAAAACCACATACTCTGGACATCTAATAAATAAAGGTGCTTAGACACAGATTTGAAGTTAATATTTTCTCAAATTTTCTGTAAAATTTCATGACTTATATGTTGCTATAGCATTTCATACTAAAATATAGTAAAAATCGTATTTCGTCTCGAAGTTATTGAAACTTCAAATTTCTGGACGCGTTTGATTGACACATCCTTGCACTTTCACAAATTTTAATTTTATTTTTAATACTTAAGAAAAGTGGCAATTTTGTTGTGTATTAATGAAAAATATCAAAACTATAATCCAGAAAATTCAGAGTAGAAATGTTCGAAAACAAAACCCACTCACAGTATTGTCATTCCATGCTCAGTGGTGTGTGCAGACTTTAACAATTGAACACACTCGGTGAATCGTAAACATTAACAATAACAGATCTCGTGCCCTGTTTACAAAAACAGTTTACGTTTCACGGGTGTATTCAATTTATTAAACTCTGTACACAACACTGAGCACGGGCTGACGATATTAGTGAGGGCGTTTGCTTTCGCACATTTCTACTCTGAATTTTCTGGATTATAGATGTAATGTTTTTCATTAATACACAACAAAATCGCTTCTTTTCTTAAATATTAAGGATAAAGATAAAATTTATGAAAGTGCAATGATGTGTTAATCAAACGCGTCAAGGAATTCGTAGTTCCAATAATTTCCAGATAAAATAAGTTTTTAATTATATTTTCGTGTGAAATGCTATTGCAATATATAAGTCGTGATTTTACACAGAAAATTTGAGAAAATATTAACTTCAAATCTGTGTCTAAGAACCTTTAAGACCACAGCCCTAAAAATAAGTAAAAAAAATACCCTGTCTGGAAATCTAACAAGAAGTCTGTGAGCCAATGCTCACTAATTATACCCCCGCTTTGATGTGAATACACAAGTTCAGTTATGGACAAACACAGTGATAATCATGAAATTGACATCGGATTTGTAAAAATTGAATCCCAACATATGGCATGCCTAAACAAAGAAAAAATTTCAAGCATCTGCGATGAGTAGTTGCTGAGAAAACTACGACCAAAATTTATTATGTATGGTACGGACAGACGCACGGATAAACAGGAAGTTGACATCAGATTTGTTCCAAAAATGAATCCTATTATATGGCATGCCTAAACAAAGATTGTGCTAAAATTTCAAGCATCTGCAATGAGTAGTTGCTGAGAAAACTACGACCAAAATTTGTAATGTATGGTACGGACAGACGCACGGATAAACAGGAAGTTGACATCGGATTCGTACAAAAATGAATCCCACCATATGGCATGCCTAAACAAAGAATGTGTTAAAATTTCAAGCACCTATGATGAGTAGTTGCTGAGAAAACTGTGACCAAAGTTTGTTATGTGTGGTACGGACAGACGCACGGATAAACAGGAAGTTGACATCGGATTAGTACAAAAATGAATCCCACCATATGGCATGCCTAAACAAAGAGTGTGTTAAAATTTCAAGCATCTGCGATGAGTAGTTGCTGAGAAAACTACGACCAAATTTTTTTATGTATGGTACGGACAAACGCACGGATAAACAGGAAGTTGACATCGAATTCGTACAAAAATGAATCCCACCATATGGCATGCCTAAACAAAGAGTGTGTTAAAATTTCAAGCACCTCTGATGAGTAGTTGCTGAGAAAACTGCGACCAAAGTTTGTTACAGACAGACAGACAGACAGACAGACAGACGGACAGACAGACAGACAGACACACAAGGGTAAAACAGTATACCCCCCTCTCCTTCGGAGCGGGGGTATAATAATTAAATCAAATAAAAGTTAGTGATTTTACAAACCTGACATCCCCAATGATGGGGAATTGCTGCTTTAGTTCCGTGACTTTGTTTATCCAGTAGTTTCCCACTCTCTGGGCATGCTCCTGGAGTCCCTCCTCCTCGATAACGTGGAGTACTGCAAGAGCCACTGCGCACGACACAGGATTACCACCATACTGAAATAGAACAGTGAGGAATAGTTCCCATGTTTATCTCAAAACTCTGTAATCTTTGTATCCCTTCATTAGCACAAATATGGCAATTAGATCTGTCTGTAACATAATTACCTAAATACCTAAGGAAGTACAACCTTAAATTCTGTTTACCACATGAAAGCCATTGTTTGGGATGCCAATATTTTGCCATAGATTTTACACACAATTATTAAAACATTGAAACAGAACAATAATGGAGGTCTGAATACACACTGTATTAAAGTACTGCATTCCAGAGGCCTTGAACTTGTCAGATATTTCCTGTGTGGTCACCACGGCAGCCACAGGGTGCCCATTTCCCATTGGTTTACCCATAGTCACTATGTCTGGTTCAACTCCTGCAAAAAACACACATAGGTGGTCAAACACATGTAAATTTTTACTACCTTATTCAGTCTATTTAGATAAGCATGATCTCTCTTTCACATTATTGCAAAGGCTATAAAATTTGGTTATGTATGAACCAAAAATATATACATTTTCCAATTTCTATTTAAAACCTTAATAGGCTTACCCTCAGGTTGAAAGGCCCAGAAATGTGAGCCCACCCGACCAAATCCTACCTGGACCTCATCAGCTATACAAACACCCCCAGCATCATGGACGTACCTGTGTAAAATCAAACAGGTCAAATATTATAAGCAACTTAATGAAACTTTAAAAAAAGTCAAATAAGTAATTTGTTTTAAGATTTTACATTTTATTGAGTGCTTGCATGTTAAGTGAAATGCATGGAAACATTTCTATTTTTTGGCCAATAATACGGTATGTGTACTTAAAAAAGTGGGCTTCATATTTTAGCTGCTATGGCATGAAAAACAATGTGCTAATTCATGCATACTCTTAATAAATCATTAATAAATACAATACATGACTCGGAGGTGTGTATCGCTGATTCGTGATTATGCCAACCACTCAATACCCAGTGATTATGTTAAAATTTGAATACATCAATTAATGTACAGGTACAGTAATGTATATGTATGAGATTTCTTTATAATTTTTTTGAACATTCATTTTTTTTTTAAAAAAAAAAGATCATTCTTTAAATGACTGTAAAGTGAAACTAAAAAGATTAACTTTACAGTCATTTAAAGAATGATCTTTTTTTTTTTTAAAAAAAAAATGAATGTTCAAAAAAATTAGTGACCTGGACAATTTTAAGTTGAAAAACCCCATTGCGAGATAATTTTTTCCTGTAATTTACCTAATTCTGTAGTTTATTGGGTTATTAACTGACACACATTTAGTAAAATTGTCAACATGACAAGTGGAGGTAAACAAGGTCATCCCTCTTGGCTGTAGGTTAAATGTAAATTAAAAATTACCAGTGTGTCTCACAAGGGATTTATTCATTTCATTGTCTGACCGACTTCAAGATAAAATTTATGATTATGCACTATAACTTTCTGTAAAGAAAAATAAATGAAAATATTCTTATGACTCAACTTTAAGGTACACAGCTGAAACAAGTAATTAAAGTATTTGCAGGTTTGATGAACTTGTATCTTTCTTCTGGTTTTGACAGAAGTTGATCTGTTTAAAATGTTTTATTTTCTTGTAGATTTGCTTGTGCCTTTATCTGATTTTGACCTGCTCAATGTCTCAACCTACCTGTAGACCTGCATGCTTGATGGCTTGCCTTACTTGCAATAAGAATAGACTTGTAGACTTGCAGTCAGTTGAGTTGAAGATCTGTGTAATGATGTCTTGACTGAATTGTAGATTCTTTTGATGACTTACTTCTAGACCTGCTTGAAGCCTTGACCAACTTTCAGATTTTTGATTTTCTCAACTGACTTGTAGACTTGTGTGATGTCTTCCCTACTTGTATACTTGTGTGATGTCATGACTTATAGGTACTCTAGATTGATACAGTGTGTATCTAGACTTACTGGTACATTTGTGTGATGTCATGACATACTTGTAGACTTGACGTGTGATGTCATGTCTTAATTGTACACTTGTGTGATGTCATGACTTACTTGTACTCTTGTGTGATGTCTTGACTTACTTGTAAACTTGCTTGATATCTAAGACTTACTTGTAAACTTGCTTAATACAAGAGTATCTAGACTATCTGTAGACTTGCTTGAGATATAGTCTTACATGAGGACTTGCTAGAGGTCTTTACTGACTTGTATAATTGTGTGATGTATGACTTACTTGTACTACTATATATAGTCTTACTTGAGGTCTTTACTGATTTGTATAATTGTGTGATGTCATGACTTACTTGTAGACTTGCTTCAGGTAGCCCTCTGGCATTATGATTTGACCCCCACAGCTCTGCATGGACTCTGCTATGTAAAAACTGACTTTCTTTCCCTGCTGGTGAATTTTGTTGATGACGTCCTTGACTTCATCGGCATACTTCTGGCTGACTTCGGTCTGTGAGTACTGATTATCACAATATTTACCTCTATAAGCATCTGGACAAGGCACCTGTGTTTGAATGAATTATTAGAAGTCATTATATCAATCAAATACATATGTCTATAGGTTCATAACTTTCTGTTTTTTTAACAACCTTAAAACTATAATGCCATATATCCTTTTCTGTTTTAGAGTAGAAAAAATGATCTAATATTATTTGCATTTAAATGCTATTTACTTTCTGTCAAAGAAATTTAGATAAGATTCTTACAATATGGACATGTTCAGGTTTTGTGTGTGATCCGTCCACATTTGTGTGGAGTTTGTATGGGCTAATGTCCATCACAGAACTCAGGTGACCATGGTAGGCACTGAAACATTCACATGATTCAGACTGACAAAATATCCATCCGAGAGATTTCATTTCAATGTTAGTTTATACTAAATGATATATTTTAATTCATTACTCATTAACATCACCCTGTTGCAAAATGTAATGAAAAAGATCAAATATGACCATTCATTTAATTTATCTAAATTGTAATCTAACATTTAAATTGAGTTTAAAATGTTCCTTTTTTTTTTTAAATATAAACCATAATTTTACTGATATAAAAAATAATAAATTCATGAAAAAATATATGTGTATCTCTGTACTCTTATAAATGTTTATTTATTATCAAACAGAGCCAAATCAATGAGGAACTTCATGTATGTCAAGTTTTATAAAACAGCTTTCCTGATATTAAGCCTGTATTTCTATTTTAGTTTCACAATAACTAATTAATTTGTCCTTATGTTTTATTTTATTTTCAATGCTTTGCACTTGAAAATTTCTGTCCCATTTGCAAAACAAATTCTGTATCCAACTACAAAACATTGAATACCCTCCACATATTCATCAATAAAATAAAAGTTTATTGTTATATATACAAGACAATTAATATCAGTGGTCCACAGGTAACTTTAAGATTAATATGCTTGTCTAGAGAGGTGAAAAGGTCCCTGTATTTATGTCAACAATATAACTAATTTTCTTCAAACCCATTTAGCAAACTTAAATCAAAGTAGGTTAGGCATAATAATTTAAAGCATTAAATTTGGTGACATCACTGACATATATTGTACAGTCCCATTTCTGTCAGCTGATGTTAAATTGATGCTATGAAATGTACTTTTTAAACAATATATTCAGCTTTGCTCAAGCTTAGTCAGACAAACCTTCATCTCTTAGAAGAACCCAGCATATAATTTTACCTTCCTTCAAATGATAAATCCATATCTCTCTTCTTACCTATTTATTGTAGGCATCTATTGGTCTTTTGAACTCTAGGAGAGTTTTTTACTTTTTTTTTTTTTTTTTTTTTTTTTTTTGATAGCCAAGAAAAAAATTTAGCCATCAGAAAAAAAAAAATGTACGACAAAGATGACAGAGGTTCATGGTAGGTTTTATAATTTTTTTTAGGGAATTCTGTTTTTATTTACAAAGATTTTTAAGCCAAGTAAAAGTGCATGTATTATTTACAAAGATTTTTAAGCCAAGTAAAAGTATTCCCTATAATACATGTACAGGTACGCGTTGACAATCTTACTTTAAAGTTTAGCAGGGTGAATAATTATGCATTCTCATGTTTTGATTGCCCAGGGTTTTAATTTCTTTTTTTTTTATGTGCCAATTTGCATTATGGCATAACAAAGATATAAATTATATGTAGCGTCAATCCTCAGACTTCAATTAGAGGAACCGAAATGTTAAGTGCAGAATACTATTAAGCAGTTAAGTATATACACCTAAAATGATTCTCAAAAATAACACTTTTATTTGTACTTTACCAGGTATTTTAACAAAGAAAGGAAAATGACCTTAAATTTTCAATAGTAAAAAAGTTCTCTTAGAACAAATTAGCAAGAATGAATAGACACTGGTGTGAATGTTCTTTCCTTTCTTTGGTAAAACAACCTGAATCAACACTTCACATGTCACAGACCCCTCCCCAGACTCCCATCATGTGATAGTAAACAAAGGCCCCCCACAGGTCTGTGTCCGTCAAGTCAGAGTTTGAACTCTGGTGTCCAATTACTGAGTCTCAACACTGAGTAAACATCAGAGAGACCAGAAGTACAGCAGTGTATTGTGTAGACAGGTGCGTCAAGTTTTCTGATCAAGTCAGTCCAACCAGGAGGGATATAATGTCACACAATGAAATGAATTAGTCCACCTTTAAACCATTTGTAAAATGTGTCAAATAATGTTTCATACCTAAACAATAAAAAAAAATCAATAATCATTCTGCATGAAGCACAATATGTTAATGTTTTTTCATTGATTGAAAACTAAAGACATTTTTTATTACTAATTGAAGGTCAACTGATCAGTCTGATGTTAATTGTCAAATCAGCAACAAGATGGACCCTAAAAACAATGCTCTACTGCATGTTATTTGAGCATATTAACCTACTTTCGTTTTCATTCTAGGTCATTAAAAATTCTTAAGAGTTGGTCCATTAGTAAAGTTGTTAGAGTTGGTCATTTAGTTGTTATGTAAGCAAACCAATAAAATATTTTAATAACCCAGCTATGTTATTTCACATTGCTTTAAGGACTTAAGCCGACTGGTTCATGATAATTAGGTTTTGTTGTAGAAACTTATTGTTTCCTGAGGTTTTGCTGTAATGATTTATTGGTTCATAATAATAAGGTTTTACTGTAGAAACTTACTGGTCCAGTGTGATCATTTCAGTCCCTCTGGTGTAATGTCGAGCCAGACGGATAGCCAAGTCATTAGCCTCAGACCTAATAAACAAAATCAATCAAAAATGAACTGTAGTAACAATAACTTTGGTTATATGAATCAAGATCTGATGCGCAGTCTTGTCCGTTTCAGATCCTTGGTGTGGAATAAAAGTCGGCAAGTTGCAGAATTTTGTAATGAATTCAAAATCTTTTACTAAATTATAACTTGTCTAGATTTTTAACACCAAGAGCAACAAAACAAAGTGATTATTTTATTTAAGATCTTCTGACTTCCTGCAAGCAAAATGAAAGTTGTGTCAAATTCATAAATATTCAATAAATCAAGTCCAATAATTTGCCAATATTTGCCATTTAATGCCAGTATGAAATAATATATAAATATTGCATGTAGTTGAGTGTAAAATTGGAAATTTTCACCCCAAGAAAACCACTGTCAACCTCGACTGTGCCTCTGTTGACAATGTTTTCGAGGGGTGAAAATTTTCAATGTTACGCTCAACTACATATGTAAATGCAATATTTATTATATTTTACTGAATGTTTTATACAAATACATATTACAGTGAACTTTGCATGCATAAATTCTGCGCAGTCAATATTTTTTGGAATATCACCCGTCGTCAAGCAATGTTGACTGTTGCTATGCTGGAGGGCGTTGCTTCATTATTCAGCGGGTAATAATGTTTTTAAACAAATATTTCTTGATGAATCAGATTCAACTAATTCATATGAAAGTATAATATTGAATATAATATTGATGTTGATAAGTTACTATAATCAGCAACAGGAAAGGGTAATTTGGTAACCTGATTGCCAAATTCAGTAAAGTCAGACGTTTTTCTGTCCTAATTTCTCTTCCTATAGTTGCATACCTCCCAAGCTAGAGGAAAGTTATCCGAGTACAATATACAATTTCAGTTTGATATGTATTTACCCAGAATTCACCAGGTAGACCACGGAGAGTTTCTCTGGCAGTGTCGCTGTGATCTTCTTGGCCAGAAGCACCAGGTTGTCATGGAGATAGCGACTGTTTGTATTGAGAGTTTTGATTTGTTTACAAGCCTCCTCCGCCACATAGGGATGACAATGGCCGACTACAAATGAAAAATTTTATTAAAATTTAATTTAAATTCAATCTAAAAACATTTAGATTACAAAAAGTCAATTAAAATTTGAAATGGGGTATCTGCTAAAATTGAAAAAACTTCACTCGTAATGTCAATGTTTCACAAATGACTTTAATGTTTTATTTATTGTTCTTAATTTTACTTGATGTATTTTCACATTCATTTGAACTGCCATAAATGGTTAATATCAAGTAGCAGTTTTTAATAATTCATAAGCTCTCATTTCTTTAATTAACTACAATTATTATTCAGTCAATAGAGAAGATAAGGTCGGGTCAGGTACCTTTGGATTGGGCTATGTACTTATCAAAATTCTCAAAAACATATCCTGCTATTGTGACCTTAATTATCCCTGATATACTGTCAGGAGTTTAGTACAGATAAGCTATACTATCACAATATTTCTAGGGACAGTAATTTTACGAATCTTCCTGCACACTGCCCTCTCATTTGTACCGGTAAAAACTGGATGAAACCTCTCAACTGACCCGTTAAATGGACTTGTATCCTATTGAGTGTATCAAAGAGAATAAATCAGACACAGTGAAAACCTGCTCATAAGTAACCTACTTATAGTGAACCCCTAATTACTTAATATACCGGTATATATTCCTGTAACTACTTAAAGCAAATACCTAATTAGAGAAAATAATTTTTATGGTGAAAACATACTTATTATGAGTATCTCATATCTACTTATATCTACTTATAGTAAATAGCTACTGACAGAAAATACCTAATATAGCAAATACATACTAAGAGTGAACAAGGGGCCCATGGGCCACAACGCTCACCTGAGTAGCTATGACCATTCTTGATTTTCACCAGCAGATTCTTCTTCCTAAATATTTTTATGTAAAACTTTGGCTTTCCTGTTCTTGAAATGATTTTTAAAGATTTTTCAATGTATTCTTATTGCCCATGGTGGCAACCAATTTTTATTATTTCTTAATTAAGAAGATAATTTGGAAGAGGGTATGGTCCTTCATTTGAATAAATTTCATTTGTCTTTACCCAAGAATACTCTGTGCTAAGATTTGTTAAAATTGGCCCTGTGGTTCTTGAGAAGAAGATGAAAATGTAAAAGTTTATGATGACGACGCCAAAGACAATGGATAAATTTTGATCAGAAAAGCTCACTTGAGCCTTCGGCTCAGGTGAGCTAAAAACTACTTAAAGTTAATCCTTACTTTTGCAGCAAATGTTTTACTTTCAGTAAATACCTACTTAAATATGTACCAATATCAAAGACCTACATTTACTTATATTGTAAACACCTCCATACAGTAAATAATACAGAATACTAACTTACACTGTCTTATAGTATTTATTATAATGTTAATGTATTATCTTATATAAGCTTCTTACAGTAAATACCTTTAGCTACTCAAATAGCTAGAATACCTACTAAAATTAAAGGAATTCCTACTCAGAATGAAGCCATTATCCTGCCATCAAGAACTATAAAGTGAATTATGAAATATTGAAGGAGTTAATGAAGCTACTAGTATTTAGCCAGTAATTTGGGCTGCCATAATGCAAAGCGACTGTGTTCATCTACAAATAACTGTTTTATAGTGTGTGCTCTCTAGATGAGCTTGGTGGGGTGTGCTCTCTTGGTGAGCTTGGTGAGGTGTGCTCTCTTGATGAGCTTGGTGAGGTGTGCTCTCTAGATGAGCTTGTTGGGGTGTGCTCTCTTGGTGAGCTTGCCAAAGTGTGCTCACTATATGAGCTTGCCAAGGGGTGCTCTCTAAATAAGCTTGGTGGAGAAGTGCCTACCGTGGCAGACATTGTTGATACAGTCCAGATAGGAATTTCCATCCTCATCAATCATGTACTGTCCAGTCGCCCTCACAATCTTCAAAGGGTCCTCTTTAAAAAACAGCTGACATGCTTCACTGAAATGAATGAAATAAGTCTTGTAATGGACAATTATCATAAGTATGTCCTATTGTCAGTCTCTAGATGTGTCCTGGTTGATTAAAAATCTCAAATATGACAAAGTAGTATATATATACCATGATTGTTTACACCAAAGAGTACAATGAAGTAACAGAAAAGTGTACCCTGATTGTTTATACCAAAGTATACCCTGACTGATTGTTTATACCAAAGTGTACCCTGACTGATTGTTTATACCAAAATGTACCCTGACTGATTGTTAACCAAAGGGGTGCATAATATGAACAAACTCTAATCTATACTTGATGCTTCCATATTTCTTTGACTAATCATGGCTTTAAAAGATTTTTAAAGATTTTTCCTTAAAAGCCAAATGATCTCCTGGGGACACTATTTGAACAAACTTGAATCTACATTAACTGAGAATGCCTCTACATGTATGTTAAAATGCCTAACCTGTTCTTGAGAAGTTTTTTTAAGATATTTTCAAATGAATATATATTCCTATGTTTGACTTTCATTCCCTGTTGTGGCCTAACCCTATCCCAAGGATTTATGATTTGAATAATCTTGAACCTACACTACCTGAGTTTATTAATATGATTAATTATGGCTTTGCTGTTCTTGAGAAGATTTAAGGTATTTACTATAAATTCCAGGTATGTAAAACTTTAATCCCCTGTCTACTCAAACTGATGAAGCCTCTGTAGTTATGACAAATCATGGCTTTCCTGTTCTTGAAAAAAAAATTCCTTTTAAATAATATACCAATTTTTAACTTTGATCCCCTGTTGTAGTCCCTCTCTACCCCTTCTGCTCAGGTGAGCTAAATAAAGTGTACCCTGCCTGATTGTCAATATAAAAGTGTACCCTGATTGCTATTACCAACAAGTACCTCAGATCCATTCTCATGTTTTTTTATTTCCAACAAAAAAAAAATTTAAAGTGCAATTTCTCATAGATTAAATGCCATAAACTTTTTTTTAATTTACTAGATTTTTTTTTTTTAAATTCAGTCACCTCTCCTTTTTATTTTTACAGTCTTCATTTTGTAATTTTTAAAGTGCATGCTTGCACTATAAATATGACATTTTTTTGCATTTGATACTGAAAACCAGAGATGTAAGAGATAAAATTCTATGGTCAATTAATTTACTTTTATCAGAACTTTACTCTCTCAGATAATTTTAAAATATGCTACATTTGTTATGAAAACAGCAAACTTCTACAATGTAATGCATCATTATTATGCAGTGCATATTACATCACATGTCATAACAGTCACCTTGGTCAGAAACATGTCATAAATATAACTGTACATGTACACCTTTGTTTTAAACCACTAAGGCCATTCCAAATGTTTTTTATGTTTAGTGTCTGCGTGGGCCTTGGTTTTTGACACCCCATATTACAAAAAACAAAATCATGAGTCCTCAGATTGAATATTCTGGTCAAAATCACTGAATTTTGTCAATTTCTAAAAATATTTGTCTACAGTATGTCATATTAGGAATATTGTAAGCACTGAATACCTTGATTTTGCTGAAGGGTCTACAAGAAAAATAGATTAATGAAATCAAATTCTTTGAGTGACATCATTTTTATGACTATAAAGTCTGTGTTTTATTTTTTGGTTTGTGTGTTTTTTGCGAATAGGTAGGTTGCTAGGTTTTTGAAAGATGGGTGGACGCTAAACAGAGAAAAAACTTGAATGGCCTAAGTTCGTAAATAAAACCAGATTCAACAGGTTTTTATTATATTTCATGAGCTGGACATCTCAAGGCCAGATAAAATTTTGTTCTAAATTTAACATGCATAGATTGCCCTAGCTTTATTTGACTGTGCATTAACCTTTATATAAAAAGATTTTTTTAAATTCACAGGAAAGGAGTTTGAAGAGTGCACACAATAAACTGCGCCAATGACAACCCTCCCTAGCTGCCTGAGAACGTGCACACTATCAAACACTGTTTACTTATCTTTAAAGGGTGTAATATTAGAAGCCAAGAACACGTTTGGCTTAGAATAACTCTATCACAAGATCTTTGATCAGTGATTCACACGTGTATAAAATCAATAGTTGTTTTAGCCAGGATTTTAAATCAGTAATGAAGTTATTAAATGTTTATATACAGCCGCAGAATAATGGTGTTAAACTGCTACATCTTTGGTCCCCGACAAACCTATTGCATTAAACTGCGATCTATTCCCGTCACTAACCCCTGAGATTTAGCGCTTATTTGAGTTGACTGTATTATACTAGGCCTACATGCTGTTGTTAGAAACTTACAAAGTGTACACAAACAAGAACGATTAATTCCTTGATAAATATTACAATAAGGGTGCAGTCTTCGATGGCTAAAAAAGTGCATAATTTAAACTAAGACATTCTTGATGAACACCATAACGGTCACGTCGATGCCAACCGGCGCAACAGACATGGCGGCTTCAGATGTTGATTTCCGTGGAGGTCATTTATGACGTTTCGATTGTTACCAAATCTTGGTTACTGAGACAATTATATTGTAAATTCCTTACCTTATATGTTTCTTTCTCAAATGAATTGTCTCCGTTTTCGATAATTTCTGTTCCATTTTCTGGTTATAAGTGCCTCTCTAAAACGAAACTCAATACAATGCTATGGAGGAAGGCTGTCCACATGGTTTTGTTTTCTTCTCATTGATCACGTGATATGCATTATTCATCAGTTAATGCCCCTTTTAGCCAATAAGATGAGCCGTGTGTGATGCACGCCCCTTTTTTTTCTCTCTCTAAATTAAAATATTTATTTCATTAACAGTTTTATTCGCTTGGCGTACAAAAACAGCGGCGTATATTCTATATATACAAAGAGGCTGAAGCCTAAATATAATTTTCTCAGGAATAAAAATTTGGTTGAAAAAAGTGGGAGGGGGAATAGAGCGTACCTATTAATTTAATTTTCCTTGTTTGTTTATTCAGGAAATGGCATATAGAACATACGTTGACACATGAAATCTAAAGAAATTATAAAATACAAGTAAAATTACATAGGTTCTTAAAACAATAATTAACATACATGTATTATAAAAAATAGGTAATTATGAATAAGAAAAAAATTATATCGATATGTCTAAATGAACATAAATATAGCATTGTGTATAGCCATTTTCCCGAGGATGACCCATAAAAGCCATAAAGGCTTGTTTCCAATGGGGTCCTCACAGATTATAATAGCTTTAGCACTAATTTTTTGATATAAATAAAACATAAATAAATATGTTTATGTTTTATTTGAACCAGAGACAAAATACGTACTATAAGATACTAATAATATAAAAAACTCATTTTCAGACATTGATCTCATTTTGAATAAAAGGTGATTTTTTACTTCTTTTTTGAACATAGGTTTGTTGTTGATGGATTTTATCTTATCTGGAAGTGAATTCCACTCCTTGATGCCATTAGAATAAAAAGTTTCTGACTCTGCTTTTACATTTCTGGGGACAAAAAAATTCAACTTACTGGACCTAGTTGTTTTAGTTGTTCTTGTAGAATTTTATGTAAAATGTTCGGATAAATAATTAGGACATTTATCATGGAAAATATTGAAAACATGGTTAAGACGAAGTTGAGAAACTCTATTACAAACATTCAAGTAGCCAACTTTTTCAAAATCTTCAGAAGTTATTCTCTTCCTTTGATGACTATTGAGTATAAACCTGATTACTTTGTTTTGAACAACTTGTAGTCTATATTTCATATTTTTTGTCAAACCTTCAAACCAACAAGAACAAGCATAGTCAAAATGACACTGGATTAATGCAAATGCCAAAAAAGCATTCTTTGCAATCCGCACTTTTATACCTATCCAATTTTGCAGTTTTGCTTTATATTTAATGGCAAAACTATTCCTATTGCTGGAATTTTTTAAAGCTGAAATTCAAGTGTTATATGAAATCTGTATATATCAGACAATTTCAAAACCATAGACAATCCATAATTAGAACAGGAAATGAAATTGATAACTGAAAATATTTTTGGTTTGTAGAAAATTAAAAGTATTCTTCGCATTTGGATTATTCAGTAAGGAAGTTTCCATATTTTCTAAGCAGAGTAAAAGGATAAGTTAAGAGTTCTCAGGCAGTTTGTTCAGTGGTCTTCATATCATGATATAAACTGAAAATATGTTTACAATATTATTTTCAGTGGTCAAATTACAATCTTCTAGATGTCCTAGAATTCGCAAAAATGCTCCCTTTGAACCCCCCCCCCAATACCTATCGAGAGGGGGCTCTCTGCCTACCCACACTTTGCACCTCAGCTTATTAGCAGAAAGGAATATGCACCATTGAAAAACATTTGTAACTCATGAGGCTATGAATATATTTAAACACTTTTATTCTATAAAAACCTTTTTTTTTTAATTCTTAAATTAAAGCGAACTTTGACGAAACTGATGTAAGGGGAAACTATCTTTTTCTGAGATAACAATTAATTTCTAATAGTTGATAGAGTATTTCACACAATCTTCTTTTTTATACGGGGTGTGGGAAGGGGGTCTCAGTGAAATATAGACATTTTTATCATTACATGTAAGTAGATATAAATAAATCAAAATAAATCATTTTTTTCTGCAGATTTTACAACATGACAAAAATTTGAACACTCGAGACTTCTGCAATGATTTTTAGAAGAATGAAAAATAATTCAAAGATTGAAAAAATAATTCGATGCATGAGCTTGAAACTCAAGAGAGAGAGAGAGAGAGAGAGAGAGAGAGAGAGTAATTGATAAGGCTTATTGTTTCTAATAAATCATCTTGTAATTAATAGTAGATCGACAATCGGTCAATCAGTAAGAAATGTATCGGGTTCTAAACCCTATGAAGTAATGCATTATTTTTTTTTCACCACGTGAGACCACCATTACTTCAGAAATACGGAAATCACATCCCACTTGATGATTTTTATAGTTCTTATGTCAGAAACAATATTTTCCCTACAATCTTAAGATACGAACCCCTCTATACTAATTTTTTTTTATGTAAAGCAGATATATTTCCTAAATTCCAAACTCTTTATGACTTAATCCTAGAAAGGATCGGCATTAGGTCCTTATCTGTAGCCCCTCCAGACGGGGGAGGGGTGAGGAGATAAGGGGATATACTAGATATACAGCAAAAAGGAATCCAGGATTTCCTCACGGAAATTGATATATAACAAAAAGGAGGGGGGGGGGGGTAATCGTAAAACAGTTTGACCTTTAAACCCCGTGCACAAGGCCGTAACTAGGCTCAATTTTTAGTGAGGCAAGGGATCTAGGGGCACCCGAGTCCCAAGCGGGCCCAGGGTAGAGTCCTGATGGGGATTCTCGAGGGAAGGGGGGAGTTCCCGAAACCTGTTTTTTTTTTTTTTTTTTTTTTTTTTTAAGCAAATTAAAGACTTAATCGTTGAAAATGTCACACTTTGATTTTTTTAACATGCTTTCTTAACTATAATGAAGCACCTAGTGAAATGATCGATTTACAGAAAATGAAACATATGTTGAAAGTTTTAATTTAGTACAAAGACACACATAATTAATTACAGTTGAAAATAAAACTTTTTTCATTTTTCAGAAAAAAATTTTAGTGAGGAATTTGCCTCACTTGCCTCAATGGTAGTTACGGCCTTGGTGCATACTCGTGAATTTCATTATTCAGTCTGACACACTGGTGTTTATTACACAGGGTTTTCTTCTCGTGACCCTACTTATTTTATTTATTTATTTATTTATTTATTTATTTATTTATTTATTTATTTATTTATTTATTTATTTATTTATTTATTTCAACCTCAACAAACCATTTTAAATGATAGTGAACATTTAAATAGCATGAGACTTAAAAATAAATAAATGAATAAATAAAGGTTATCATACATGATTACATCTTCGCTAGCCAAGGGTTTCTGATCCGTTACTCTTTTCATAATCGTTTGTGAGGAGAGTAGCGGATCAGAAACCCTTGGTTAGCGAAGTTGACATGATTACTGAGGGGTAACATCCACATCAAGTAGTTTTGTTTTCTTGAGTATAATATATATCGGCAAAATTATTGGGGTTGGATAGGGTCATGTCCCCCCCACCCCTCTCCTCCCTTCCCCGCTTCCTACAGGCAAACGAACAGTGTCTAAGCAGTGATATTTAAAGGGAGGGTGGGAAGTACTCCTGATCCAATTGCAAATTTTTACTGACTTTTCGAATATAATCTGAATATGCCACTCTTAATTCAATACCAACTGTCCTACATTACATGAAATGATCTGTGCGGCCCCCCTTTTTCTAAGTATAGTATTTTGCTATGGTAAATTTTCGTTTATATGCCCCCCCCCCCCCCAACACACACACTTTTGTTGCTATAAGGTCGAGCACTGGCAAATTCCAGGCTAATGTGAGATTTAAATCGATAATTTGATTTTGCTTATCAGATTTTTTGGGAAGTTGCCCCCCACTTCTGAAACCGTTGTTACGGGCCTGCACTGAGTTCCATAAGTCCTGTATCCACTGTCCAGATGGGAAAGGACCGGGCTCATTTACATGTAAGCCTACTATCCATAAACTTCTGTGTGTGATCCAGAATCGAGCGCAACTTTTTGTGCACAATAAATATACAGTTTTTATCTCCCTCTTACAAGGGGAGATAATCAAGAAAAAAAAGGTGGGGTCATTAAAAAATCTTCTCAAGAACCATCGGGCCAGAAAAGCTGAAACTTATGTTGAATCATTCTGGGGTAGTGTAGATTCTAAATTGTTCAAATCATGGCTCCCAGGGGCAGGGTGCGTCCACAATGGGGAATCAAAGTTTAACATTGGAATATATCTAGGAATTTATTTTAAATCTTCTTCTCAAGAACCACTGGGCCAGAAAAGCTGAAATTTACGTTGAAGCCTCCTAAGGTAGCATAGATTCTAAATTTTTCAAATCATGACCCCCGGGGGTAAGGTGGGAACACAATAGGGAATCAAAGTTTTACATTGAAACATATAGGATATGTTCACATGACTTTGACCTTTGACCCTGTTTTCCAAGAATACTCCATTTGAACCGTTTCAAGTTAACTTATATCTTATAAAGTGTGGCTTTATTCACTATCATTTATATTATACATATTAGTAACCTCAGGAATCTTACTTTCAAACTGAATACATTAACCATACAAACTGAAAGGACCATAAGACGGTCTTATTTTTCCCTTAGCTTAGATCCGTACATATCAACTTGCTTAATTAATTTGGGATATTGTTGAAAAAACGTCGCATAAATAAATGAAGAAATAATGATTTTTAATAAATCAAATTTAATTATTCATTCTTACTTGAACTTCTATTGATAATAATTAATGTTTACGATAAATATTTTTATCGTTGACAGTCTTACTACCCGTGGATGTCCTCCCCCACCCCACCCCCTGTATCTGAAATATAATGCTGGTATGATTTTAAAAAACCCTTTAGTTTTATTTATGTCTTTAATGATGCTATAAAAACGACAAATGCTTTCCTTGTAGCACTTTAGTTAAGTCATTTTCGTCTATAATTCGTCGATAATTCACTATTTAACCTAAATAGAGAAAAACTTAATCCTAATTTGAAAATTTTAGTAAGGTACAGTGTGTATTTTCATAGCAAAACAGTTCTCTGTGGAATTATTGGGGTATCTCGTGGTATTAAAACAGGTCCAGGTCATCGTCAAACTGGGGGACAGTCTCACAAAAATAACTGAGAAAAAAAAAATAACTGTAATTTTGTGTTGACTGCCACCAGGTAAAAACAAGATAAAGTATAACATGACTGAAAATATATATGATTTGGATTGTTAAAGATAACCTTTTAACAATGTAAGCAATATAATTATACAGCTGTAATTGAATAACTCTTTGTTACAACATAAGTATGAAAATGTTTAATAATAGTTATGACCCTGTAAAAAGTATTTCCTTAAAAGCTCTCGTGTTAAAAGTCCCCATCCTCTCATTATTTACAAGTGGCTTCAGTTTTGTTGCTTCGAGGAAAAAATCGTTTAATTACACCAAACAAACAAAAAAAAAAAAAAAAAAAAAAAAAAAAAAATGCACCTAAATTCCACGTTCACTGAGGTATAAATAAAATAAAACATCAGCTAAAGTCACGAGTAAAATATCTACTGAGGGGTCTTAAATTGACTTTTAACTGTTGATGAAATATATGCTGCTACATGTAATTAATTTTCCCTTATAAAACTGGACAAAGGCAAAGAAGGTAAATGCAATTTATATAACTAAATTCACATCTTAAGTTATGATTTTTTTTTTTTTTGCATTTATCATTCACCTTCCCCCTCCCAATCCCACACAAGTCCACCTTCTCACCTTCACACGCAGAGAGAGAGAGAGAGAGAGAGAGAGAGAGAGAGAGAGAGAGAGAGAGAGAGAGAGAGAGAGAGCAAGAAACTAATTTTCTGGCTTCTTCCTGTATTTATTTGAGTTCCTCTAATTTTCTATTCCTGATAAAGACCTTTCACATTATTAAAACCCTCACATTTGTCACTTTGTATATGCATGTATTAATCGTGTTAATTTGTTTTATGTTATTATTGTTTATGACTGTATGCCGACATGGTAATTGTCAATAAAGTGAATTGAATTGAAAACCCAGGCCCCGTAGGAAGCAATTTCAGTTGGGGGGGGGGGGCACAACCAAACCTTGGCAAGCAAATAAAAAAAAATTTCATAAACGGTCCTATTGTGGGTGCACAAGCATAAAGTAGCTAATTTTTCTATAGCATAATATATATCGGCAAATTTATCCCCCCCCCCCAACCCAGTTATCTAAAATGATCGGGATCGACATCCTAAAACCTGGAAACCATCAACCAGGAAGTTTTGCTTCTGCTGCCTCCAGTGCTAGGGAAAGAAATGTAAGCATAAAAGAAGGAAACAATGGCAGTATTTCCTGAGCGGTTATCATGACTTGTCATATTCAGGTAACCTACTTTTTCTTAAATCTTTCATTTAAAACTTTTAATTCATTAATCTAACTGTTTTCTAGATAGAACGTTCTATCGTTAAAATGATATTGTCCTACGGACCCGGTTTAACGTGGTGAGGGCTTGTCCCGAGACACAGTTAGATTATTCTAACTAACTGTTTTCTTCCTGCAACAATTTCATAACACTTTCGGATCAAATAAGATCGAGTTTTGTGCGTATGTACATTGGTATTATATTTATATAATATGAAATGGCATGCATATGTTGGCGTAATATATTTACATGTAACACTTTTTATAGCCGTGTGTAACGATTAGAAAAATTAAGGCGTAAAGGAAATAGAATTTTTGTGACAAAGATGATAAATTGTAACATTCATTATGCTCATGTTCTATAGAAAGAAATCAAGGAAAACGGCCAAATTTGATACACGTTATGATAGAAATATTTGAGATTTGTATACATGGTTAAAAACAATTTGTAGGTGTATGTGTGTGTGTGTGGGGGGGGGGGTAACTTTTATTTTGGTCCCCCTGTTTACTTTCCATTGCTATCTAGACAGTGTATTATCATACTATTTCTTTGAAAAACTTTTGAAAATGGATGTTTTTCTTGATTGAGAGTCAAAATACCGATAGCCTTCTTCATCAGACAGCTGAGCTAAGTAGGAAATGTGCTTCTCAATGTTTTGGGAGGGGGTGGGTGGGTTATTTTTTGTTCCATTGCATTTTTTTCCATACTGCAACAGATGAAAATCTAGAGAGACTTCATTGAACTATCAGTGACCTAAACAGGACATCAATGAAACAAAGCACTATTATTGATGGTTGATACTTTAAACAATAAACAGTATGTATGTGTACTAAATTAATAAATTACATGCAGTAATGTTTATACATATTGTATATACATTAATGATTACCGTAGTTTCTCTTTGCATTAAGATCTGGCAAACACAATATGTTTGAAGTTATATATAAACATTCAGCAGTAATGGTTTGGGCCGTTGATGTCAGCCTGGGTAGCTCAGTCTGTAGAGCACCTGACTAGTGATGCAAGGGTCCTGGGTTCGATTCCCAGTCCAGCCATACATTTTCTCCTTTCCTGTTACATAGCTAATTAAATTCTATTGAATGCTGTTGTTTCATGGTTTTTAAATTAAGCTAAGAAATATTATTTGAAACATGCACCATTTATATTTTTAAATGTTCATACCTTCCTGGGATGGATCAAAAATGGGCTAGGTCATTTTGAGGCATACCAGAGTTCTCGAGGTAAATAATGGGAGATGTTGAGCTTGCTTTGCAAAAATCTTTGCTTAGGCCAAACAAAAAATATATTTATTTACTGTTACATGCTGAAATAAAATAGGGTCGGTAGGTAGGATTTTTTTTTATTTTATTGAATTTTTTAATTCACAAATTCACATGAATTGGTTGAAATACGAAAGAGTTTTACCATTGTGTGGTGCTTTTATTTTGTTTGGGCTTGCCATATGGGCAATAGACAATATCTTTCTTGCCAACTGCTGAGTTCTTTCCTATGAGGGCATTCCTCGAACTCCAACGAACACGTTGATGTAGATATTAAACATACCATTTTATTTCTAGTACTTTTGATTTGGATTTTAACATGTTTAAAGTGACAGGCGAGTGACTACTGGATTTTTACAACAAAAAAAAAATTTGGGTCGATGATTAAATGTAGGGTTGGTCGGGTAACCGTAAACAAACATATTTTTTTATTATGCCTTTTTTTTTAGAGCAGGGCTGGAAGAATTAATGCCCTTTCCTAATCAAAATTTTATGTATGATCTATCAAGCAACTGGAAAGACAATTTAGTTTGTAATAGTCATTATATTTATAATTAAATAATTTATTGTTGTAGATTAGCTTTGTGACTTAAAAAATGTTTATGGTTTTTGTTTCAGCATGGTACAGCCACTACAGTCAGACAACCTGATTTGAATTAATTTGGATTGGGATTAATTCAAGAAAGGTAAGTACTTCAGGTAATAAAAAAATTAAAAGGTGTTTACTGATCAGTAATTCAGTCTTATTTTAGAATCATTGATTATTATTTGAAAATATTAATGATTGTTTTTAGAAAATGTATTTGATTGTGCGAATTCCTAATATTATAATGAACAATTATAGGCACAAATTAATTAAATATGCTGAGATGGAAAAATTTTTTTTACTTGGTTTTTCCCTTTTTTTTTTTTTTTAATTTATATACATTATAATTGTACATTTAAGATAATTAAGGATTGTCAGTGTGGCCTTGTAAAAGGAAATGTTAAGCAATTGATACCTTTGTTTATTCAGTGGAACAAAAAATTAAGGAAATCATCCCCAACATTGACAAGAATTCAAGGTAGAGATGGAATCCTAGCCATCATCGTTACCTGGTTGGGCGGATTTAATTGAGCTTCCTTAAACCCAAGTGATTCAGAAGTTCAAAATCTTTCATTGCCTGAAACTTAATCTGCCTGGGTTTTGTAGTTTCCATTTGGGAAGATGAACACATTTTAAGATACCTGTATCATACTGTGATTTCATCATTATATGTGCACCTATTTTTAATTGTTTTGTCGAGCCAGACCATGAAATTAGGTTGTCATCGAACTACAAATTGTAATAGTAATAGAACAGGATGATGTTATTGTCCACAGATTTACTTAATATCAATTTTTTTTTTTTGGCAAAATCACAAAAAAAAAAAAAAAAAAAAAAAAAAAAATCACAAATTTTTTTACACATAAGAAAGATGAAACAAGAGTATATCTATTATACCATATCATTCATATATACTTTTTATGTTCATTCTATGTACAAGTTATTAATATACTGGGTACTGCTTTGTGACCATTACGGAGGACAGTACAAAACTCTAGAAAAAAGTTATGTTAATCTGTCAGATATATAATCAGGGGAAGAAATGTGCTATGAATTAAGGGTGTGAAACTACAGTAGCTGGGTAAGTAATCCTAGATACAAGTTTGAACTCTCTGCTTTCTAATGTAGATGGCAGACATGTCTGACGGAGAGAGGGACATCTTTGAAGAATTGATAGAAGCGAAGCGGTATAAGATTGTCAAGTACATCAATGCCCGCGTCTTCTTCGACAAACTCCGACAGTTCAAGGTCCTTACTATGGATGACACGCAAGAGATTGAGAGCAAGACAACACGACGACAACAGGCCGGTATGTATAGGTTGTTCAGCTCTAATACTGATATACATGTAATGCATTTTATTGATACTGTACATTGTATAGGTGAACAAAATCTTGCCACTTCAGTAATTTAATAAATTTGATATTCACTGTACATTTTGATATTTATATCAGTTTTTGTCACACACATTTGATTTCAATGGCTGCATAAAGAAGAGGAAAGTGTTTAAGTCATTTCTCGATTTTCAGCATTTTTCCTCGATATTCTGCAAACAAAGGGAGATAATGGTGTCAAGAAGTTTTTGGAGATTTTGGAGTTTGAATATCCTCATGTTTACAAAGATGTCACCAATAAAGAGGCCCGGGACCCACCCACAGGTAAATAATGTCAGGAACCACCCACATGTATGTCAGTACCCATTCACAGGTAATTAATGGAAGGAACCACCCACAGGTATTAACACAAATAAAGGAATCCACCCACAGGTAAATTATAATGTCAGGAATATTTCCATAGGTAATTATAATTCATGGCAAGGGCCCACTTATAGGTAAATCATGATAGACCCACTTACAAAGAGTTAATCCTGTTAGACATGTACATTAAAACATAGAAAAATATCTTACGTACTTTAAATGTGGTATAAATTGCTGAAGTTCACGTTTCATGCAAATCTTCAGCAAGTAAACCTTTTTAACATTACTAAGATGTAAGATCTTTATAATGTATAAATAGAAGTTGATTGTATGAATTAAACCAGCTATTGATGTTATAGATTACTTGAAACACAGAGAGAGTGTGTATGCAGCATGGCTGTATAAATTACCAGAGTTGGCAGAGTCATTAAAGACAGATTACGAACACAAGAGGGACCTACATCAGCGGATACAGGAAATGAAAGAAGTGATGAAGCTTGTCCAGGACAACAACTTAGAACTGGAGGTGAGACAACAAAAATAGAATAAAACAGCTAGTTGTCATACAACAGGGATAGAAATAAACACAGAATTGTCAGACACTATAAATAGAATAAAACACAGCGCTGTCAACAACATAGGTAGTTGTCATACAATAGTATAGAATAAACAGTTGTCAGACAACAGAACAGAATAAAACACAACATTTGTCAGAATGAAAGACAACAGTTGTTAGATGACATAGTAGAATGAAACCCAACAATTGTCAGACAACATAGGTAGTCGTCAAAGCAGCAGGGTAGAAAAAAAGACAAAAGTTGTCAGAAAGCAGTGATAAGATAAAACACAACAGTTTTCAGAATAAAAAAATAGTTGCCAGACAACAGTGATATAGAATACAATAAACATTTGTCACTCATTGATAAATTTATATAATAAGCTGTCACTATCTTATTCACTGCTATTGATATACATGTCAATACCTGTTAACTGTAAAATCACTGATTTTCGTGGGGTCAGATTTTTAGTGATATGAGGAGTTGGTTTGATTTGATTTGAAAAAACAAGGAAAAACATCATACTGTAGTAGGAATTTTTAATATTTTGTGGGGGATATGAATTCATGGGTGTCTCCAACCATAAAAACTATGAAGATCCAACCCCCACAAAAATTAATGATTTCACATGTACAGTATCTAAAAAATTAATATAAGATATTTATTTATCAACATGATCAATGCGAGATATAAGAGTTTATAGAGTAATTTTTATATATACATGTTAGTTAATTTTTCTTGATAATGTTCAGTGATTGAAAAACAGTTGAATCTTCCTTTGATATGTAATATATAGAGTACCTTTTAACGAGTGTATCTTCAGATATCAGATGAGGGGGCTTGTCCCCCGAGTCTGATATCTGAAGATGCACGAGTTAAAAGGTACTCTATATGTTTTGTATCATTGTTCTCAGGTATTGAGCTACCCATGATCTATCAAATTTACGTTAATGGCACTTAATTCAACTACATATTCCCATGCACTGATCTATCAAAATTTCATCATACCATTTTATATAACCAATGAAAAAGAGCACGTGATTCGAAAAGTATAGCGCGCTGTATTTCTTGAACTTTCTACCTCGTTCCACTCATATTCTGAACGCCATGGATGATGGTTGTGATTTTATGCTTTCGCAATTCTTATAGACACGGAACCTGAAACTATGAAGGAAAATTCCTTAGATCATTTAGGAAACCAGATGCAGGTTGAAGATTCTTTGGGAAGTATGACGTTTGATCTACCGGAACTAAAAATTGAACCTATTATGGATTTCGATATAGGAGATATTTTAGACACGATGGCGTTAATTTCACCAGTCCTGAGGTCGATATGAAGACGAAAAATGAAAGGTTTGTACAAGTGTCCGATTATGAAATTCAGCGTTTGATAGACTCTCAAAAAATATCCTCGTAACGTTCAAGCTAAGGAGTGGCGTGCGGCACGGGAAAATGCCCACTTTTGACCAAGATGAACAGCGATTCTCTAAATTACTGGATGCAGCGATTTGTGTTGGATTTAGAAAATAAGGAATATCCACCTCGCTCCCTGTACTACATTGTGTGTGGTTTGTTATGCTTCAAGTTTATGAGAGACGAAAACATTCATTTATAAAAATGTGCGTGTGTGAATTTCGTTTTGGATTTTAAAAAAAATTGACGTGCAAAATTTAGAATGTTTTATGTAGACCTAAGGAAAGATATACCTTCACTATGTTTATATGTGCTTGTATTTTGCTCATAAAGTCAGCTACTTTGTTTATATTCTTTTTCTTTATCAATGTAAGGTCAAGGGTCATTGGAATTGTTGCATCATTACCCTAGTGTGTTCTCTTGATAGAGCATGGTTGTTAGAGCACAGTTAGTCATGGTGTATCAAAAATAAAAACACAGTGGACATCAAAGGAAAAACACTGCAACAATGATACAAATGAGAGATTTAGAGTTATTATGAATTTAATCTGTTGTTATAATTTGCAGAGAGAAAACCAGGAACTACAAGAGAAACTGAAGAGTATGTTAAATGAGAAAACCGACCTCGAGCAAGAGCTCGGGACCTATCTACGAGAAATGAGCCTAGCTCGAGACAAGTGTAGTGAGTACTAGTAATCTGGAGCTTATTTGAGACTTCTTATCAGAACATATCAATAGTAAATGTTTCAAGCTTAGCTATTTAATATAAACAATATTTTATTCACAAAAGTGAACAGGATTGGGCAGCACACTCAGCCTTTTTTAACCCTCTCTGTAATTAAGCTTAGCTATTAATCATATAAAAATTTTAAGTCAAATTCAGCGAAGAATTCTATTTAGCAATATTAAGTGATGGTCAGACTCAAGTCTGATTCGATTTAAAAGTAATGATCTGAGGTAATTTACCATGATTGACTTAAATATAAGAAATATAAATATAAATTTTAGTGACCTACATGGAGAATGCCCTGGAATATCAAAAGGAGATCAACATTCTGAAGGATGCTCTCCGAGATGTGAGACATGATCGAGATGGACTCGTCAAACAGAACGAGAACCTGTCAGCCAAATTTCATCAACGTCAGGGTAAGCTATTCAGTCTGATTTGTCTGTGTGTTTATGTATGTATACATGGTTGTAAAAAAAGTTTATAGTGTAGACACATATTGCTAATTCCTGCCTATTATAAATACATTCCTACATGTATATTGAAGGGATGTTTTTTGGAGAAAAAAACATAATGACATATCAATTGGAGAGAGTGACCTATGGATAATATGTGATTTTGCCTCTCACAAGCAGTTAGCTCTATTTTTTCTGTACTGGATTTTTTAAAAATATTTTATTGATTATGTGGGAATGATGAAGAAGAGTGTAAATGTATTATTTATTTTTAGCAGAATCTGCTGAAGAAAGAAGAAAATCTTACTCCATGAACCAACTCAATACAGACAAGGTCAGTAAATAAATACAGTCCAACTTCTATATCTCAAAATCAGTGGGAACCAAAGAAAATCATCAAATATAAGAGGATTTGATTTTGAGATTTAAATACTCAAAGAAAAAGTGGTTGGGACTTCCAGTTCTCTGGTATTCAAGGGGTTTGAGGTCAGTTGTGCCAGTGGTTCAAATTTATCAGTAAAGGAATTCGGCACATCACATAGAAAATTAGTGAGGTCATTTTTAAAAAAATTGTTTGGTTGCCCTCTCCCGACCGACTGGTTAAAAATGACCCAACTCAAACTTTTTTCAAACTCCAGGAAACAATCATTTTTTTTAATGCCTTCTGGAAAATATATTTTGAAATTCAGCATTAATGTTGAAATTCTCTGAAAAAAAAAATTACCACCAACCTACTGGCCCAATTTTTTCATCCTGGGTCAGGAGAGGGCAAACAAACATTATTTTAAAGTTGGCCTGATATAAATAGTGTTGTTGGTTCATATTTATCATGTCAGTTGTTAATAGGAACTTTTATGAATGAGATTAGTGTTTAGATTAGACAAGCTCATTGTCTTTGCAACCTTCAGACATTTATTTATAGTTTATACCACCTGTAGAATTATGGTAAAAGATTTTTTCTGGGTACTGGCTTTCTTTTTTTCAAGTAATAGGCAGTTTAAGACATATACATGTAGTTCACATTAGACATAAATATAGCTGTAAAAAAATAACTGCATGTAGTTCAGAAGTCCTGGATAAAATACAGTTATACCTCTTTACCTGAATCTCTATGAGCAAAGAAAAATACTTACCTGAGGACTCAAGATATTGTGGTTGTAATTCTTAAATTAAAAGTAGTTGGGATTTCCTACTCATTTTGACATATCCATTTTATTGGCATATCAATGTTTTGAGACACTGAAGTTCAATCTTTTGTTGTGTGTTTCAGCCATTTGATCGTCAGACAAGTGCACAGGACATTGAGATCACGATTCTTAAAGAGAAGTTTGAACAAGAACAGGAGAAATGTGAGGAGCTTAGTCAGCAACTCGTTCATGTCACCGACGAGCTCGATTATGCACAGGCACAACTCAGGAAGGTACACTGCTATATCAGTTAATTAAACAAATCTTCATTTGTGACTCGGAGGGAAAAGTGGTAGATTTCTGATTCCTATAAATAAATTTTTAAGATCTGAAAAAAAAGACCATTTCAATTTTTTTCAGACTAAGGCATACTGTGAAAAGTTGAGCAAAGAGGTGGAAACAAAAGACAAATGGTTAGATGAAAAGAGGAAAAGGATAGATGTGTACTTTAAGGAGATAGAAAGATTGGGAGAAGAGAAAAAGAGGGTAAGAAGAAAGTAGACAGACTTAGGAATAGGTGTAAATTGGTTGATTATTGTTGTCTTTGTTTTTAAGCTTCACAAATGTTTGCCCTTTTTGTTTTGCTGGATGATAACTTGTCCTGTTTTAGCTGGATAACGTGTTTATGATATGTAAATTGGTAATTCTAAAAATAGCATTAAATAGATAACCCTGTTTTAGCTGGATGATAACTTGACCCATTTATCTGGATGATATCTTGACCCATTTTAGCTGGATGATAACTTGACCTGTTTTAGCTGGAGTGTTTATTATACATAAATTGGTCATTCTAAACATAGCATTAAATACATTACCCTGTTATAGCTGGTTGATATCTTGCCCTCTTTCAGCTGGATGATAACTTGCCCTGTTTTAGCTGGATGATAACTTGCCCTGTTTTAGCTGGATGATAACTTTGCCTGTTTTAGCTGGATGATAACTTGCCCTGCTCTATAGCTGGATGATAACTTGCCCTGTTTTAGCTGGATGATAACCTTGCCTGTTTTAGCTGGATGATAACTTATCCTCTTATAGCTGGATGATAACTTGCCCTGTTTAAGCTGGATGATAACTTTGCCTGTTTTAGCTGGATGATAACTTGCCCTGTTTTAGCTGGATGATAACTTTGCCTGTTTAAGCTGGATAATAACTTACCCTCTTTTAGCTGGATGATAACTTACCCTCTTTTAGCTAGATGATAACTTTGCCTGTTTTAGCTGGATGATAACTTGCCCTGTTTTAGCTGGATGATAACTTTGCCTGTTTTAGCTGGATGATAACTTGCCCTGCTCTATAGCTGGATGATAACTTGCCCTGTTTTAGCTGGATGATAACCTTGCCTGTTTTAGCTGGATGATAACTTATCCTCTTATAGCTGGATGATAACTTGCCCTGTTTAAGCTGGATGATAACTTTGCCTGTTTTAGCTGGATGATAACTTGCCCTGTTTTAGCTGGATGATAACTTTGCCTGTTTAAGCTGGATAATAACTTACCCTCTTTTAGCTGGATGATAACTTACCCTCTTTTAGCTAGATGATAACTTTGCCTGTTTTAGCTGGATGATAACTTGCTCTATTTTAGCTGGATGATAACTTTGCCTGTTTTAGCTGGATGATAACTTGCTCTGTTTTAGCTGGATGATAACTTGTCCTGTATATTTTAGCTTGATGAGGAGAGGAATAAGGAGCAGAGGAAAGTGAAAGAGGAACAAGAAAACAGCAGGAAGCTGTTCAGTAGAGTGTATCAACTAGAGAATAAGATTGAGGACCTGATCTCTGAGAATGCCAAACTCAAAATGCAGAGCAACAGGACATCTGTGAGTAATTAGAGCATAAAATTATGATAAGAGAGTGAATAGTGAACATTTGTTAACCACTTCAGCATAATATTTATGTTTGAAGCCTGTGATGTTCTTTCTGTGAGGTATGTTAAGGAAGCATTCAAATCATTTCTCAGGAAATTTAGAGTTCTTAAAGAAATTTAAGGTTGATAAGTTATCAAGGCTGCCGATAAAAATTTAAGGTAAACTATTATTAACTATTACATAAAAACAACAGTGTCTGAGGCCAAGAAGTGCACCACCACCACCACCACCACCACCACGTTACCCTATGACTGTTATTTATAGCAAAATATTCCTTAATAAAAAAGTAAACAGAACAATACTACCCCAGGATTAAATAATTTCTTTGAGTAAATAATGTAGCTAAAATACATCTCTAATGCCTAAAAAGTGCTGCTAGAATTCCACTGTACGGATGGGGAAATAATTATTCCACACCTTTGCTCAAAACCTTACCCGATGTTTTGCATTATATACATATAAACTGAGATTTTTCTGCAAACCATGTTTACCTCATGATTCTAGCAGCACTTTCCAAGTATTATAGAACACAAGTTTTGGATTTGTACAAATATTATGTTTTGAAGTATCCGGTTTAGTGTTGTTCTTTTGCATTATTTTGTCATGAATGACAGGGGAAAGGCCGACCGGGATATGTAAATAGCTGACTGTCTTCAATAGCAGATAAAATCTATGAAAATAAATCAGCACACCTGTTTAACAAACTTAAATCCATATGAATCATACATAATATTCATGGTATTTGCCTCTAAACCCCCCTTTTATGTATCTTCGTACATGCCGTCTTAGTCATATTCTCATTACACAATGTACATGATCAATTCTCAAGTTATTTGTTGAACAGTTATGACATCATGGGTCGGAGTTTTTAATCAAAGTGCCAGATAGAACAGAATGAGAACATTTTATTTTTGTTAATATTTGCATGTTTTTTTTTTATTTTCAAAAGTTTAATTACATCTCTATATACCAAATATTAAGGAAACTTGTGTTCTAAAATGGACATCATCTTGCCTACTACGACGTCATATTGTATCACTGATTTAGTCAAGTCAGAATTTCTGAGTATTTCCTTAACACACCTGCGTAATCAACATATTTTTTCCATTTCAGTCTGGATCAAGTGTAACAGATGATGTAGCCAGTAATGACAAGGTTTGTACAGAGGACATATAAAACCCAAATAACACCTCGTTATTAACAGCTCATTTAAGAAACCTTTCTGAAGTCATAACAAAATTACATAAAACCTTTCTATATCTTTTCTGTAACAATATCCATATATCACACCATTTTAAGCATATTAAGCCATTTTAGTCCAGATTTCAAAAAAGCTACAGAAAATGATCATGTACTCTGTTTCTAACTATAAAACAGATGCAGACAACTTCTGAAGGTAAATACTAGAGATATATTTAAGAAATATTGGACTAATCAAAATATTTGACCTTTCAACTTCTGAACTGAAAGAGAGGCAGATATCTCTAGACTTGTCATTCTCACACTGTCATGAAAAAAATCATCTAATCTCTGAAATAATAGTTTTTCTGCTTCAGAATCTTTTAATGTATATTCCTGTGATATGAGGTATCTTATTCCTCTTAAACTTATTTCTTACTGTACTCTACAGATAACAGAACAAGTTCATACAACACAAATTTGATTAGTCTAGTATTTCAGTTTATTGATGCATCAAGAGGGTTTCAGAAGTGAACAGTCTGACACCAGTTTACATGCACCTTAGAAATCAAGGAAAGCACAGTCTGTGTTTATTGTTTTATTTGTTTGTTGTTGTAACCAGATGTAATTAATGCTTTTCATCGTGAACATCTACATTTACATGTATCTTGTGTTACATCAGAAAATTTTCCAGGTATTGCAAACATTAACATGTGAATTAAGTATTGCAATCTAAAAAAGATAATGTATTCATTATACACCTTTTTTGTTATTTTGATGTTTTTTAAGACTTGTTTTTCCAAAAATTGGGTCAGTAGGTCAATTAGAAAAAAAAATTAAATTGAAGCATGCATTTACCTTAGAATTTATAATTACCCTCCCCCCCCCCCCAAAAAAAAAAAAAAAAAATTAAAAGATCCCCTTTTCTACAATGTTTAAATCTTGTTTTTGTTTATACTGATTTCCCAATAAATATCAAAATTTATTTAGATTCATTGAACTGACTCCACAGCCCTTCTTTTTTCCCATATTACCGGGGCATATCAGCAGTGCATGCAGTCAAGGATGACCAGCATATTAAACAATTTGATATCAACAGTGGAGCCTTACTAATCCTATTGCTCATATACTTTGGGTAAAATTCACAAGATAATCAAACCTGTATATAATTAGTAGGATTTCTAAATAGAATTTAAGTTTTCTAGATGTTAAAAATCACATACCAGTTATATTTCGTTACAGTAGCCGTAGTTTGGCATGTGGCACCTTGAAATGAAAGATTGGATAATATCAAAAGCTTATCATCCAAAAACTGTAAAATTTAACTTTAAAAAAATCCAGAAAAGTCTTATTTTTCATGGTTATTTTTTTTTATTCTTGAAAATTTCGGTTGCTAGGTCTTGAAAATACAACTTAGAAAAAAAGTGGCCTAATTTGCATCTTGTTTCAGCATGTGTTTTATTTCCAGTACAACATTTTGTCAAAGGATCTTATGGATTTTTTCTAAGTGATTACTAGTGAGTGTTGTGTGACTATCATTCAGAAACTAGCATTTACTTTCAATGGCTAAGGCACACTATTGGACAGATCTTAGTTATATAGCTCTCTACTCTGATCTAACAGAATTCTTAATTGGAAATGGTTTTGACTATTATTACTTTTTACCAAATCAGTCTTGATAAAAAATCTCTGGAGTTTTTTTGGTAGTTATGTCCATATGATCCTTTAATAAGCATGCATTGTTCCATGGACCTATATCATTTTAATAATAGGTTTGAGGGTTTTTTTTTTTTTTAAATGGAGGGGGTTGATTGTAACATCTCAGTTAACAATAAAATCTTCTGTAGCCTTCATATGTTGGATATTTTTTTAACATTGTGTCATCATGTATTTATTGTCATCTGTAAAACTTATTCATTTGTTATCAAAGTTTCAGAGGAAATCCATGGAACATTATACATTTATTGACTGTGTTCTTGGGCAACATGCGTTTTGTCGGACCCAAGAACCAAACTGTTTGCCTGAGGCCGTTAGGCCGAAGGCAAACAGGTTGGTTCGAGGGGTCGACAAAACGCATGTTGCCCAAGAACACAGTCAATAAATGTTTTGTTATACCTTTTATTTATTTTATTTATTTTTTTATTTTGACATACATGTATGTCGAACACCAACGAATGCAAATGAGATTTAGCTGACCCTGCCCATTATGTGACGTAAGTGGTCCAACATCTCATCGACAGGTCCATTATCTCGCTCCGCGGTCAAATATCAATTTTTTTATGCCCGCTCAGTAAAACATTGGAAATGTTAGACTTTTATTAGTATTGATTTATATAGGAATAAATTTTTAAAGGTATAACAAAATGTTTTGATGTTTTTCTTTGGGGATTTTAGGATGACGTGGGCTTTAGATGATAATAAATAAGAGATTACGAAATGATTTGATCTTATTCACTGTGGTCTCTCGTGATCTTTGTCCATTTTCAGTTGGTTTTGGTCATTTGTTATCCTCTGTCCATTTAGTCCTTATCTGACATCACACTGACATCACACTGTAAGACTTGTAATACTCTTTGATTTTGGTCTATGTTGTAATTTACCATATTCATTTGAGATTAAGTGAAAATCTGGTTTAGTATACACATAATTTCTGATTGTTTTATCATTCAAGGTCACATTTAAATCTTTTAAATATCTGACTTTTCCATGAATTTAAATCTAACATGTTTATAGTTAATTTGAACTTGGCATCCCAGGTAACATGGAAGTCTAACATTCTGGTGGTAATTTCTTACACTAAGTTCTCATTGATGTCTCTGTTGTCCTTATATTAAACTGGTCCTCCTTTTCAGTTCCCTCCCCTGCATGAAGAATTCTACCTAGATGAGGAGGACCCCATGTATAGGTCCAATATTGAAGATTGTAAGTAATCCATAATCAGCGATGCTTATTTCTCATACTAATACCTAACTCAATTCTGAATGTGACAAAGATCTGGCAGATATAGGTTCAAATTTTGAAAATTGCAAGTACAGTAAAACTCATTTACTACAAACATGGATATAGCAGATTTCAGATATAGTGAAATTTTTTTGAATCCCCAGAAAATTTCTTAACAATTCCTTGTAAAATTTTACAGTACTGTTATAACAAAATTTAATATAAAAGCAAATATATGGTTATAATGAAATGATTTTGTGCCCTGTACAGGTTAAAAATAACTAATTTTACATCTTTTATAATGAATTTTTGAAGATCACAACAGTTTATAATAATGAACTGACATTATTTTTTGTAAAAAATTATATGTGAAATTCAAATTATTAGAAAACTTAAGTTTAGTAAGGTTAGTTTAAGTTTATAATCAATACTTCTACAGACATATTTGTTAGTCATACTTGAAGGCAAACGTATATATTGAGAAATTTGCTAAATATACTTTATATGATTTATTATAGCCAATTACCGATAAAGCTAAGTAAATTCATAGGTCCACAGGACTTAGCTATATCTGAGTTTTACCGTAATCCGTCATCGGCGCTTCTCATTTCTTATAGCTACAGCTTAATCAGCTCTAAATGGGGCAGACAAATGGGATGTTTTGTATTTTCCAAATATTTCCCAATTTTTTTGATGTTCCGTAAAAATTTAATACTGTAAACCAACTATTATTCGCGTCATATTTATTTTTGATTTGTAAGTTTAAAATCAATCCAGGATGATTAATTTTCATGACTGAGGAAACATTCTTTTCAAATACAAAGGGAAATAAATGATTTGCAGCGATTAATATTCGCGAGTTAAAGTAGGTCGCAAAACTGGAGGATATTTCTCGCATGCGAATAAAAATCGGTTAACAGTAACAATGTAAAATTCTTTATAGAGAAACATGATTTTAACCAAGATTTCCTGTTTCCTAATGAGAAAATAAGTCTATCATTCTATCTAAGCTCTGTAGATTTCATGTATTGGCATCAGTAATGCGTACAGTCTATGAAATCTTTTTCAGCACAAGGTAACCATTATTGACAATGTTTGGTATACACCTGTCACTTTGTCCAAAATCACAGTTGCACCATATTTTATTCTGTTTTGCTATGATGACCAGGTAAACTGATTTTTACACACAAATAGGCTTGATTTTACACACAGGTAGGATGGCTTTATACAGAAATAAAAGTCTGAACTGAAATAATAGGCTTTTATTCACCTAATTGGCATGATTTCTTTGATTTCAATTCTCAAATATTTTAACCTTGGTGCATCTCATAGCATGAACCTGCATGACATGATTGTTTTATTTAAAAAATTAAATGGTAGCTTTGTAGCTATGTAGGTTGATATGGAAAAGAATACATTTAGTTATTTGAATTATTCTAGCAAAAACTGCAGCGAAGAACTCTAATATTTATTATTGACCACTTTTGTGAATGGAGAACAGATATATACATGTAAATGTGAACACAGAGAACAGATTGATATTTAAATGTGAAGACTGAAGACTCTCTTTATGCACCTCTGATCAGAATTTGTCCAACTTCTTTCTATGCAGTCTACCAATTAATGTAAAATTTTCATGTTTTAAGCCCCCTTCCCAGAACAGTTGCATCTAGTGGTTGAAAATCTGCATTTTAATTATTTTAGAATAATTATATAATCTGAAATATAAGATGGCTACCTCGTATGACCTAGTTATGGGTTTGAGCTTTGTGGCCCATATGCACCTCAGAGTCTTCTTTTATTGCTAGATTACAACATAATTCATAACCTGCTGGATTTTTCCTAGCTTTTTAATTCGACATTGTTCTTTTTACAGTATATCTAATTATGCATTAATACCATGGTTATACTGACTCATGATCAAACTCCAATCCATATCTTATGTACATTTTCTTACAGTTAAAATTTATTATAAGCTAAGTTATTATTACTAGGTTAATTTCTGTGAATAAAATAACTTCTACTGATTAATTCTGTAATTTAAAATTTGAAGTTATGAATGCTTATCATAGATATATATACCAGTTTCATATAAAGTAGCACATTTTTGTTAATGCTTTAGCTCTCACTTCTTTAACATGTAACCTAATACAAACGGTAAATAAAGAAGTCATTTAGACAAACTTAACTTTCTTTTTGTGATATATATTTGGAGTATTTTGCATTTTACCTGAAAATTTATGCACAAAAAATATTAATCATAAATTATAATCATAGATTATATATATATATAAAATTTCTCTTACCAATTTAGCTATTGTAAAAAAATCTGTTTAATGCAAAAACAATATTTTGAGCACTGTTTTTAAACAAGAGAAAATCACTATTTAGATAATAAATAAGACAAAAGATGTACATTTCAGGTCGTGACCAGGTCACTATTAAATCTCACACCCTCCCCCTAACTCTTCTATCCTCTTCCCAAACCCGGGACACATCACTGCGCCATAGCGAGAGGAGACCAACACCCTCCCCTATCACAAACAACATTGAAATCACTTTTTCAGATTTGAAAGACAGTCGTTTTCCTCATAGAGATGACAGTTTAAAGCCTGAGGTTGGAGGGTCGTTACGGATGACTGACATTGAGGAGCCACGCTCAGTGTTGTATTCTAGAATTCCAGTGCAACTATTATTACACAAAGGTAGGGCAAATAAATAAATCTTTCAAATTCTTATGTATTTATGTTATCTATTTCATATACCGGTACTCAAATTGTTGAAAAAATGGTAGAAGTTGTGAATTTGCTTGTTTCCAGTAGAAAGCCCTTGTATCCTAATGCATTAACTGAGGGAAACCAAGGCAATAATCTATGTGTACTTTTGAAGGATTCATATACAGTATTGGTGCAATTTCTTCGCTCAAATTTATGAATACTGTATAGATAGGACTTTTTCTAGATAATAAATAGCAATAATACTAGTAGTCCGGGACCCAAATTTACACTAAATTTTGAATATGCCAAAAGAAGTGATCATAGAGTATAAATTATTAATGTTTGATTTGAGAATGTTCTTAGAACTTAAACAGTTGATGTTTTGCTTAGGATCAGAGAAGGTAAGAAGAACTTTGTATGTAAAGAAAGAGCATTTGATGTGAGTTCTGTTAACATGAACAGTTGATGTATTGGACAGGAGCAGAGAAGGTGACCAATCCTGACATTCTGGAACAGCCTGAGGGAGAGGGGTCCCATGGAGCCTCCATGTCAAACACGATAAGCAGCGACACGTCGGAGGATACGGACACAGAACTGATGGGGTTTAATGTACACATCAGAGAACTCCCACTCAAATGGAGACCGTAAGTCACAGTTATATGACTATAGTCTTTATAGCAAAATAACAGTAATTAAGAGTTATTTGACTTTGTAAAAGTAAAACAGTAAACTTTGCCTTTGAAAAATTATAGCCTATTATAGAAGAATTCTTCTTTTGATGTTTGCTTTGATGCATGTTATTTTTTAAAAAAAGTTTCATCTAAATTGTTAGTATATATATAAAATAAACATATATCTGCATGCCTGCATGTGATGTGACGTTGTCTTGGCTTCAGTCCCAAATCTGTCCCTCCCAGTGCCCAATATGACAAACAGAGGACCTACAAGGTGACCTGGCCAGTCCTGGATGAGAAAATCAAAATAACGGGGGGAAACTTCACAGGGATATATATAACAGAAGTCTACAAGAAGCTGGACAGCAGCATTTGTGTAGGGGACCAAGTCATCTCTGTAAGTCAAGTACAAAACAAGTCATCTTCTGTAGGTCAAGTATTAAACAAGTCATCTCTGTAAGTCAAGTACAAAACAAGTCATCTCTGTAAGTCAAGTACAAAACAAGCCATCTTCTGTAAGTCAAGTATTAAACAAGTCATCTCTGTAAGTCAAGTACAAAACAAGTCATCTCTGTAAGTAAAGTACTAAACAAGTCATCTTCTGTAAGTCAAGTATTAAACAAGTCATCTCTGTAAGTCAAGTACAAAACAAGTCATTGTAAGTCAAGTATTAAACAAGATATCTCCGTAAGTCAAGTACAAAACAAGTCATTTCTGTAAGTCAAGTATTAAACAAGTCATCTCTGTAAGTCAAGTACAAAACAAGTCATCTCTGTAAGTCAAGTACTAAACAAGTCATCTTCTGTGTTGTTTGAGTGCTTGTTTTGTACTTTAGGTACAGCCACTGAGGAGAGACTATAGCTGTATCTGTTTGATCTGTGTTGTTTGAGTGTTTGATCTGTGTTTATTGAGTGTTTGTTTTGTACTTCAGGTACAGGTACTGAGGAGTGACTATACTGTGTCTGTTTGATCTGCGTTGTTTGAGTGTTTGATCTGTGTTGTTTGAGTGCTTGTTTTGTACTTCAGGTACAGGTACTGAGGAGTGACTATAGCTGTGTCTGTTTGATCTGTGTTGTTTGAGTGTTTGATCTGTGTTTATTGAGTGTTTGTTTTGTACTTCAGGTACAGCTACTGAGGAGTGACTATACTGTGTCTGTTTGATCTGTGTTGTTTGAGTGTTTGATCTGTGTTAGTTGAGTGCTTGTTTTGTACTTCAGGTACAGGTACTGAGGAGTGACTATAGCTGTGTCTGTTTGATCTGTGTTGTTTGAGTGTTTGATCTGTGTTGTTTGAGTGCTTGTTTTGTACTTTAGGTACAGCTACTGAGGAGTGACTATAGCTGTGTCTGTTTGATCTGTGTTGTTTGAGTGTTTGATCTGTGTTGTTTGAGTGCTTGTTTTGTACTTTATGTATAGCCTGGTCCCCTGGCACATCCTTGCCAAGGCAGGAGAGCCAGATGGATTACAATCAAAGCTGACACGTGGTTGGTCCGAACAGTTCACGCTAAATTGTGGATTTTTGAGCCATTGCCATTAACCATGGAAATAAACATTGATGTCACAATGATACATTGTATTGACAACATAGAAAAATAAAGATGTCACACTGAACTTTCTACATTGTACACCGGAAGCACAGCTAAATACAACGTCTCAATGGGCTCAGATTCAGGGCAGATTCGCCCTGAATCCATTGTAGTCCACCTGGCCCTAGTGACATGGAGTACACAAAGCAAAACACAGGACAGGGAACCAGGCTACTTTAGGTACAGCTTCTGAGGAGTGACTATAACTGTGTCTGTTTGATCTGTGCTGTTTGAGTGTTTGATCTGTGTTGTTTGAGTGCTTGTTTTGTACTTTAGGTATAGCTACTGAGGAGTGACTATAGCTGTGTCTGTTTGATCTGTGTTGTTTGAGTGTTTGATCTGTGTTGTTTGAGTGCTTGTTTTGTACTTTAGGTATAGCTACTGAGGAGTGACTATAGCTGTGTCTGTTTGATCTGTGTTGTTTGAGTGTTTGATCTGTGTTGTTTGAGTGTTTGATCTGTGTTGTTTGAGTGCTTGTTTTGTACTTTAGGTACAGCTACTGAGGAATGACTATAGCTGCATCTGTTTGATCTGTGTTGTTTGAGTGTTTGATCTGTGTTTATTGAGTGCTTGTTTTGTACTTTAGGTACAGCTACTGAGGAGTGACTATAGCTGTGTTTGTAAGATGGACATGCGAGGTCGTACTCTGGCTGAGGCCAGGGCTGCCTTCCTGTTTGAGAGTCAGAGAAATGATGAAAAGGAGGTAGAAATTACCCTCAAGAAAGTTCCCCATGAGGGTAGGTCATGTTTCTGTAAAGAATAAACCATTCAGTTGAAAGTCTTTTATGAAATGCAAACTAAGATTATTTGCATTTCTCTTTGAGGACTTTTATGAAGTTTTGTGTTGATAGCTTTAGTTGATGATTCATTTCTTTCCCACAGAGTTTGAAAATATCAAGAAGTGGATGGAAACCCAGAAGAGTACTGGAGACTACTTCTATGTCAGGTTAGCTAAATACAACTAAGAAAATTAATAATGATTTAATGTAGATCATTTCTTTGCCTGCATTGCATTGTCGGTCTTTACCTAGCATACATACTTTGGTCTGGAGTCACTCTTTCAAATAAAATTTTCCTTACTTTTCTATCTTCCAATACAAGCTTATGAGACTTAATGAAAATTTTGAAGAATTTTTTTCATGAAGTCATAGTTTTGAATTGTTAAAAGCTAGTTCCTTATGAATTTGCTACATTTTTTGCAGTATTATTTTGTCTCATTTTTTTTCATGATAATTATCAATGACCTGCAATACTGAATGAAGTTCAGGTTCATGTCTAAGATCAAGGACATAGTTTTTTAACTGTCTTCTTAAGCACAGGAATAATGTTTCATCTCATTTTGTAGATATATTCTTTATATAAAAACATAATTATTTAGGTCATCTTTAAATTTTTTTTTGTTTGATGTACTCCAACCCATGTTTTGCAAGATTTCAAAGTGGGTAGGTAGGTACAGGGTGTCCCAGAATATATGATATTATTTCAAGATTCTGTAAAACCTAAGTAATGAATATTGAATTACAACAAATGCATTATAAACATTGCATACACTGTCCAATTTTATTCACATAATTTGACAGTCATCAAAAAGAAAACAATAAAATGAGTTCACTTTGAAAAATGCTATGGTTTTTAAATGATGCCCTATAAATGACGTTCTTTCTGTGTAATAATAATGTCTAGACATTGCGCGAGGTTCCTTAACTTGAGAGTTGAGACAACAGTGCCTGTCTCGGTAGTAACTTCTTGATTTTCATCAGAGGTAAACCTTTTATATATGTTAAAGATGCTGGTTTGGGTTTAGCAGCAGTAACCTAAGACTAGGATTGATAATTACAGTTTCAAAATGAGGATAGCTGGCTCTTTTGATAATCCATTTTGATTGAAATTTCAGTTTTGTGCAAAAATTTGATGTAAATTTGATATGCTGCAATTTCATAAGTGTGAGAATTTTTTTTTGAATATTTTGTTGCTTAAAAATTGTACTTATTCAAATATTTTTAGAGACATATATCAAAGAAATTGGCCAAGTGATGTGATTGTGACAGGTATTTCAAATGGTATCATATATTTTGGGACACCCTTTAGTTTTTTATACATATATATATATATATATATATATATATATATATATATATATATATATATATATATATATATATATTCACACACGTAGTCATATATAAAAAAATCACAACACTGAAATAAACTCTACCAGTTTCATTTTCAATCTTCAGGAGTTTATATATATATATTTTCTAGCACATTGATAATCGTTATAAAAAGCAGATACTAGGGAAGTTTCATTATAGACACCTGAGACAGCAAAACAGATTGATTAATGATTGAGCAGGAGCGATTTTGATGGGTCGGTTGGAATACATCAAACAAAACATTTTTTTTTAGTTTGCCTCACTGTAATTACATGTAAAAAAAAAAAAAGATGAAGATAATATTTTCATGAATCTCTAATGTAATTGACAGAGCCTGTGCAGCTATCAAGGAGAAGGAAACAGAATGTCTGCCATTGAGGAAGGGGGATATTTTAAGAGTGACCAACACCAACCACAGCAAGGGGGATCACAGATACTGGAAAGTGTGTCTGTATGACAGGCAGGGAGGGAAATGGGGCAGTGAGGGCATTATACCAGCGGAGTAAGTATCTATACAGATAGCTGAGGTGGGGGTATTATACCAACAGAGTAAGAACTTATACAGAAGGCAAACATGGAGGGGGGGGGGCATTATACCAACAGTGCAAGTATTTATACAGATGGGGGGGGGGGGGGGAAGGGGGGCATTTTACCAACACAGTATCTATATAGATGGGTGGGGGGGGGGGGCATTACACCAGCAGAGAAAGTATATATACAGATAGCTGAGGTGGGGGTATAAACCAACAGAGTAAGTACTTACACAGAAGGCAGGGGTGGGGGTGGGGGCATTATACTAGCAAAGTACCGGGTATCTATAAAGATGGCGGAGGTGGGTGGGGGGCATTATACCAGCAAAGTATCTATACAGATGGTGGAGGTGGAGGTATTATACTAGCAGAGTAAGTACCTCACGCCAAGTAAAGTATCTATACAGACAGCAGCGGTGGGGGATGGGGGGCATTACACCAGCAGAGAAAGTATATATACAGATGGCTGAGGTGGGGGGCATAATACCAGCAGTGATACCTATACAGGTGGCAAAGATGAGGGGGGGGCATTATACCAATAGAGAAAGTGCTTATACTGAAGGCAAGGTTTTGGGGGAGCATTATACCAGCACTGAGCAGAGTAAGGGGTTATATATAAATCAGAGGAAAGGGAGAAGGGCATTATATCAGGAGAGTAAGTGACTATACAAAAGGCCCGGGAGGAGTGGGAGGGGGGGAGGTTAACAGACAAATCAGTGTTACTGGAAAATACTCCCATACAGAAATTAATGTTAGTCTAAGAGTGGGGCAAGGATAGTGTAGTGCCTGAAGACTGAGTGACAAGGATTAATCAGAAACCCAGAGGATTAGGCAAAACTGAAGCGTATAGTGTAGTGAAGTTGGTATTATCTTAGCAGGAGAAAGATAATATTTCTAAACAATTAGGTATAGTTTATTTTGGTCATTATCATTTTGGACAGCAAATTTTGGAATGCTGTTGAATCATTTGATTATGCAGAATTATCCTTTTTTCAAAATTCATTCTTTCATATGCCCTCATGATCGAAGATTTGGGGATATATAAATTTTGCTCTGTCTGTCCATCTGTCTGTCTGCAAAAACTTAAACCTTGCCCATAACTTTTGATTCCTTGGAACTATGGCTTTCGGATTTCACATGTGTATTCCCTGTGACAAGATCTCTCTAATGGTACCAATGTATTTGACCTCTTGACCTTGACCTTGGAGTCTGATCCACTTTTGCAAAATTTTACCAAAGTTTAACCTTGCATTAACTTTTGAAAGGTTGGTCATAGGGCTTTCATACTTCACATGTGTATTTCTTGTGATTAAACCTTTCATGGGGTACAAACATTTTTGACCTTTTGACCTTAATGTTTAACTTACTTTCAAAAAACTTTAATCTTGGCCATAAGTTTTGAATGGTTGGAGCTTTAAGGGCTTTCATATTATTATCGGCCACAGTAGCGGCTGATCTATTTGTCTTTGTGTTAGAATGGGGAAATGGGACATTATTTTTTCATTGCTTTGTTGGAATATTTTTTTGTTGATTAGTATATAAAAGTTATAAATAAAAGTGTTTATAACTTACTGTCCCTAAAATAATTAATAAATTGTAAAAAGAACTGAATTTTGTTTTGAATACACTACACATCTATCACAACACCGATTGGCATCATAACATGACAAACTTTGCCGCTGATTTGATGCTTTGCACTTGTACATGTATATACCTTGTGAGACCTTTCCTTGGGTACAAACAATTTTGACCTTGACCTTGCATTTGACCCACATTTGAAAAACTTTAACCTTGACCATAACTTTCAAATGGTTGATGGTAGGGCTTTCATATTTCACAGGTGTATTCCTTGTGACAAGACTTTTCCTTGGGCAGCATTAATTTTTTTTGAGTTTAACCTACTTTTGAAAAACTTAAACCCTGTTTGTAACTTTTGAATGGTTAGTGCTAGTGCTTTTATATTTCACAGGTGAATTTTTGATCTGTTGACTTTGACCTTGCAGTTTGACTTGCATTTGAGAAACTTTAACCTTTGCCTTAAGGTGCCATACTGGGGGCATCAGTGTCTCACAAACACATCTTGTTTAGTTAAACAAAACACATTGTACTTTGCAAGTATTTATTTTGTTCTGTTCCAGTTTTCGTAGGATGTGTCCAATAGATCGACGACTAGCATTTCGTGCTCGTAAGTCTTTTTTTTTCATTTATTCCAGTTACTTTATGTTTATGAATGTAAATGCAGTAAGTTTACATGAGTATTTTGTGTCTCTCTCTCTCTCTCTCTCTATATATATATCACAGGGTATTCTGTTTATCTGTAGGCAGCCATTTTGTGAGAGTCCTTCCAATGAAAGGTAAAAATAAAAAAAACCCAACATACACAAAGTTACATACCAGTAATTCATAAAGATGCTGCTGAAAATATCTCAGGGAAAGTTTTATTTGAAATATATTATTAAGTTTTTCTGTGAACTGATTTTTTTGAATCCCTTTTTAGCTCACCTCAACAAAGTTGGGGGAGCTTATGTAATACCCTTGGCGTCAGCTTCCCAGGTTAAAGTTTTTGGTGCAGTTTTCTTTTCAAGTAGTTCTATGCCCTATATTAATCAGAGATGCATGGAGAATGCTTCTAGTGTGTTTCATTGTACCAGTCAAGGGTTCAGATGCTGCAATTTCAGCTAAAAAATGACCAGGTTAACGTTTTTGGAGCAGGTTAAAGTTTTTGGAGCAGGTCTCATATCCAAGTAACTGTAAGCCCTATATTGACCAAACCTGCATGGATGATACATCTAAGGATGCACACTATTGGACTTGCTTCGGATGCTGGATCTGACCTATTTTTTCCGGATGAGTGACCAGGTTAAAGTTTTTGGAGCAGATCTCACTTCCAAGTAACTATAAGCCCTATATTGACCAAACTTGCATGGATGATACATCTAAGGATGCACACTTCTGGACTTGCTTCGGATGCTGGATCTGACCTACATTTTCCAGATGAGTGACCAGGTTAAAGTTTTTGGAGCAGATCTCATTTCCAAGTAACTATAAGGCCTATCTGAACCAATTTGGCATGGATGATGCATCAAGGGATGAACACTCTCAAACTTGCTTCAGATGCTGGATTTGACTTACATTTTCTGGAAAAGTGACTAGTTAAAAGTTTTTAGATAAGTCCATTCCCAAGTAACTGCAAGCCCTATCAGACCAAAATTGCATAAATGTTACATCTAGGGATGCACATTACTAGATTATTAGTTTAATGTGGGACTTTGCCTTACTTAAAGACAACATTGAGGTGAGCTCTGTAATCTCTGATTACCTATGTTTTGTCTTATTATGCTGATGGAGGCATTGTAATTTTCATGATATATATGTAAATATATACATTTCTTTATTTATGAGTCTTGTTTGAAGTTATCCTCCCTTGTTACAGCAAGTTCCAAGCTCCCAGTTGTGATGTATGGTCCCAGCAATATTGTTGGTGCTGCTCAAAATCTGATTGTGGACGATTCGACAGACTACCTTTGTTATAATGTAGAGAAAGGTCTGACATCTATACATTTTAAATGTCTTATCAGCATAACCCATGCATAGATTGGGAATAGGAATAGAATCACATGTTCTGCATGATAAATTTACTCTTTAATTCATGTATGTTCCAAATTTAAAGTGAAAATGTATATGAATTTAAAAATCTGTATTGAAATAAAGCTATGAATATGGATATGGGATAACTAAAATTTTGTATATTCCACGGTCTTCATTTGAAATGTTGGGATAAATTCAATAGCAGAAATTAATACATATAATTAGTACAATTAAAATTCTTCTATTTCCTTTTTCTGATTACAGGGAGAGATTTTGATACACTGAGGCACTGTCTGTCCAAGGTTTGTGTAATATGTAATATCCTGTTTTGTGTAGATATCATTATGTTAAAACTTAGACAAATACTGCATAGAGGAATACTGAATCCTCCAAAGCAAAAGTCATCATAAGTAAAATGAATGATGATAAGGTGATGATGTTGTTGTAGGGGAAGCATTGTATGATGAGAGACATTCTGCTGAAGAAATCTGTGGATGTTTTCATTGTTGTGGTCATTAATATAGAAAGCACTACACCAGAGATTCTTAAGTAAGTCCTCTGTATCAGGAACCTTAACTCTTCCTGTACTTAAAATAAGATTGTTGTGGTTATTAACACAGACAACACTACACCAGAGATTCGTAAGTAAGTCTGCAATATCAAGAACAGTAACTCTTCTGTACTTAAAGTAATTCATGTACATTATAACTCTTCACCTGGGGTGTTAAAGTTCTCAGGGTAAAGAACTCCTCACTACATTAAACACACAGTAATTATGAACCTTTTGGTATTTATAATCATCAACATTATCAAGGATAAGGAAGTTGTTGTTGGTTACAAATTGCACATATTTAATTAGATATTATGAATACCAACATCTTAAAAAAGATGCATTTTGTTTTTTGATGAGTTGAATATTTAATTATAATTTCAGGAGTATTTTTGGGGTAGATAAAGCAACAGAATCCAAGTATAGAATACCAGAGGATATTCTTTGTGGTAATATATTGTCAGTAGTACTTTTTTTTACACAATTAGTTACATACAAAAATTTAATATTTTTGAGTCCTAATGAAATGCATTTTAAGTGGATTTTAAAGCAGTTTATTTTTTTGCCTTACAGAAACCATCACAGTGGGGAGTGATGGTGTAAAGGACAGAAAAAGCTTCCTTAAGGCTTTCTATGAGAGAGTGCAGAGAGGTCAGGACCGGGTGTGTTGGTTATCGAGCTCCCAGTTAGATGGGAGTACCACGGAACAGTATCAGGACTATCTAGGAAACGAGAGTACCAAACAACAGAATCAGTCTCAGGAAAGCAACAACGAGGTCACGCTGTTACGATCCTCCTCCACACCCATGTAAACCAGCTGTTACAACTAACCCCCAGGATATACACTGTATAAACCAGCTGTTACAACTAACCCCCTAGGATATATACTGTGTAAACCATCTGTGTACTGTGTATACTGTGTACAGATTCATTTCTCTCAATGGTATGGTTATTTTCTAAGCAAGCTATATTTTGATTCTTTATACAATTAGAATGAAATTTTTTCAGTTAACAGTCAATTTCATTTATTTCATTTTGATGTTCTTTTAACAGTATTACTTGGTCTTGAAAATAACGTAAATAAAACTGTGTGAAATAAGACTAAACAATAAATGTTGTCTGTAAACCTCGTTCAGTTTTTGATCTGGAATTTAAGAGTTCCTGGTCCTTTTTAATTTAGTCATACATGTATTTTTCAAGTGCTGTTTAGAATTTCCTTTATTTCAGTGTGTTGTATTAGATTTTTCCACCTATTGGTCTCAGCTTTAACTGTGTGTTCAGTGTTAATTATTGTTGATCCACTAGGTTCTAGGACAACCAGTGGTTGTTGTTTAATTTTTCGATAGTTTATTTCTTATCTAAACATTTTATTGGAATATTATAAGATCATGTTGCCAATTTTTTTTTCAATTTTAACTTTTACATGTATATTTTAACAGATTTTGAGACATTTTGTGTGTTATATTATGTATAGCTACATGGTTGATAAACTTTAAGGTCTAGTAACGTTTACATGTCCATGATATTTATGTTAAGGTCACTTGAGCCATACCTAGTGCTATTTGTTTTTTTCCATTCTTGTGCACCATGTGAGCTCCTTAAACTTGTGATTGTTTTAAACATCTCCTCTGAACCTGTAGAACCAGTTTCACATTCAAGCACTTACCTATAAAAATCCACTTTACTAATGGACATCAGATAAACTACATGTATATGTATGATTATAATTAGCTATGAGCCCTGAATACCAAATTGTGAAATTTATGTCCCAAGAGTCCAGTGTTCCAGGGTGTGTCAAAATAAAGGTAAAACCGAAAATGTATTATACAGTGTATCTATTTAAATTGTCTTAGTTCATAGACATCAGACAGACAAACTGTACATAACAAAAAAAAGAACTAGGAGCCTTCTATGTATGCTTAAATTCACTTCTCCTCTGTCATGAGTTCATCTGAGCTGCCTACAAAACCTCTGACACTTGTGTCATCTTAGTGAGGCTTAGTGTCTTAATACCAAATGATATCCTTAATATTTTTCCACTATGTTTGCTTTTGGATTTTGCAGATAAATTGTATGCCTGATATTAATGAAATATATGTGCTGCATTAGGCCTCAAACAAATGCCTCAATTTCCTGCCCCTGATGTTAAAGGTTCAGACCCCAGAGTGGGGCTCTGTGGATCACCAGTTTAAAAGTAATTAATGAAATGTGCTGCATATGTGTCTTGTATTTTTGTTAATTGAAATGTGATAATCATTAATTTGATGGATATGCTTTAATGATAGTGTTTGTGTTATGAGGTTTATTTGTTACAGAAACTTCTCACTCATATAAATACACTTTGTGTTATATTTGTACCAAATAATTTACTTTTATTCATAATGCTATAAAATGTTATTATGCTGTATTTTTTGATATTCTGGTCATCAAAGACAATTTCACGGAAATCCTGTCAAGAATCTTTAATTAAAGTCAGAAATGTTTATAGCTTTAATTTTAAGGTTGATGTTTTACATTAGACAAGGGAAATCTAATGAAATCCATGTAATGACAAGTCTTTCAGTTATTATGTATGTAGGTCTCAATTTTTATTGTATACAGCAGTTTTATAGATTCTCTTCTTCAGATCTTGATGAAAAGGTCATAAAATTTACAGGATCAAGGGGCATAATTTTTCATGCAGAGAGTTTGGGTAACTATTTTGTTTAAGAATAAGATATTGATTTAAGATGTCAAAATTAATCGAAAGTTTACATTTTTTGGTCAGATATGATGAATAAGAAGAGTTTTTGTTGTGATATATTTACATTTCCAAATATTTTTGCAAATTAGAAAAAGTTCATGTTCTCATGAACTGCCATGGGATGAGTAAGAATATTTCCATTGTGATGGGACTGAAGTCAAAAACTATTGCAACCTTTTTTTTTTCAAAATGATCATTGAATGACAAAAATATGTGGCAAGTCATCAGAAAAATAATGTAAATATAAGATATGAATTTAATTTTTGAGAATTCATGAGGTTCATGAACTACAACTCTTCACGCACGCACATTTATCATGAAGCGTTATCAAGCTTCATGAAATATGCCGGCGTGAAGTGTTGTTCTTCATGTCCTCATGAATTCTCAAAAATTAAATTCATCTCTTAAATTATAATTTTGAACGGTTTTGTCTTTTCTTGTAAATCATTGAATTGATGATTTTGGACTATGTTCTGTGTTGCACTCAACAAAATTGAAATTTGGCAAAAATTGACTGCAAACTATTTTGTTTAATCATATTGTATTGAATACTAGTTTATGTACATTTTAATGATTTCTGTTGTTGAGATATGTGAGTCAAATATATGGGACTATGTCCTCTAATGACAAAACCAACAAAATATTACTTATGCACCTTATCTATTTGTAGAGTAGATGGCAGCTTTTTATTATTAGGTGCAACAAGGAGAAAACTGCCTTATTGTAAATTTTCACATAAAATAAATTTTATTCATTAAGCTGGATATTAAATACATGAATAATGACTGTCACTGCCTGTATAATTACAGATCTCACTCTTTTGTGAAAGTCTAGTAACAAATACTGATTATGAATAATACATCCTGTACTTGTTGAAAAATTAAAGTTTGTTTTGAGTATGAATTCACAAAAACTGTGTTGGCCATTACATGTACTAAGTTGTTTGACATATATTTTACTGTGGAATGATGGATTTTACAAAGAATTAATGGAGGTTATTTTCGTCAGCTGGATAATTGTATCAAAAGCTTGTGATCTGTAAAGTAAAGTTGAAAAAACATGTTTTTTGTCATGAAAGTTGTTCTCTGTTATGAAATTTGAGAATCGTATGTAGCAGAATTTGAATGTTCAGTGAAGATGATTAAATCCATGCTCTCCATAATATAATTAACAAATTTTGTTCTTTATGCAGTAGTTCTTCTTTGTTGTTCTTTGTTGTCTTTTATAAGAGGAGCAAATCTAGGCCCTTCGGTCTCTTGTTTTCTAAACATGATAGATGTTCTCTCTTAAGAATTGTGAGTTTTGCAGCAGAACTAGAGTATTACGTAATCTCTCTTGTTTTGTACATGTATTGTTTTGAACTATACGTGTGTGATTGTTACTTGCCTGACTGTGAGTACTGCTCAAACTGTTGTATTTTTCCTGATTGTTTATAAACAAATGGCGGTTTTTATATCAGCTACATTATCACATTATTTTTACCATTTTTTAATTGTACCATTACAAATTTCTTGCAATAACTGTGGCTTATTTTATTTACAATTGATAAAAAGTTGGTAGGTTTACTGAAAGAACAATGTTAAATAAAATAAATTGTATAGCCGCACCCAATATTTTATTTAGAAGTAAGCTGTATTTACAATTTTTGCTGGTAAATATGCATCTAGCCAGATTAAATGAAAAAAATTAGGAGAATTTAGTACATGTAATACCTGTACATGTATGTGTATAATGATATTACCTGTATGAATAAGGCCATCATTTGAATTTTCCTGTTGTATTACATTTTCTGAAGTCCATTGATGTTTAAATTTGTATTGATAACAACAAAACAATTAAGGTTGTTAAATTGTAATATGATGAAAAGATTTATTTAATTTTATTAATTATTATGAAGAAATGCACAACATAATGGTACACAATGGGATATGGTCTGCCATTGTTGATAAGGATTTTTAAAATTATGTACAATTGTGACAGTATACATTCTAAATATTACTTCTCTAGTCCATCAGTCCATCACTAACTTGGTCTCATCATCTAGCAACTAAAATGCTGATTAAATTTTATAAATTAAATGAATATTACATATACCTGTATATCGGCACATACCTGTATGGCTAATGTATACAGTGAAGTAAATCCTATCTTCATTTGAAATGATCTTTCTTTTTAACTTTTTAGCTCACCTGAACCAAAGGTTCAATTAAGCTTTTCAGGTCACCTGTTGTTTTTAGCTCACCTGAGCTGAAAGCTCAAGTGAGCTTTTCTGATTACCAGTTGTCCGTCCGTCTGTCTGGCTGTCTGTCCGTCTGTAAACACAATTTTTCAAAATGCTACTCCTCCAGTAGCTTTTGTCTGATTTCAGTGCAACTTGGCAAACATGTAGATTGCAGTAAGCTAGCTACATAATTCTGTATATCGATTTTGATTTCGATAAACTGTGTTTCAATGGTTTTAAAAAAAAGAAATTTCCATGAAATACTTTGAAAACACTACTCGTTCTACAGTTTGGGTCTGATTTCAATGGCACACAAGTAGACTACACTAAGATAGATAATTCTTGGCATCGGTTTTTGATTTCAATGAACGGTGTTTCATTAAATATAGAAATTTCTGTGAAAAACTTAAAATGCTACACCTTCTACAGTTTTGGTCGATTTTCGATATAAATAAACATGCAAGTATAGTACACTGAGATATTTAATTCTCTTTATCGTTTTGAGATTATGATGAACAATGTTGCCATGGGTATAAAATAGAATTTTCTGTAAAATTCTTTAAAAATTCTACTCCTCCTACAGTTTTAGTGTTATTGCAATAAATCTTGCCACAAAGAGAGAGTGAAACAAGGATTATTATTCTATTTATTGCAAAGTTTCAAATCCTCTTCCTTTGTTATAAGTACAAACCAATAGAACTACGTACAGTCTCGTCGAAGACTTCTGATTGATTTTGCTGAAGTGTTGCCATGGTTACTAAAAACAAATATCTGTGAAGCTCTTTCAAAATGTAATTGCTACTACAATTTGCAATTAAACTTGACTCAGAAAGAGACTATATGAATGATCATTATTTTATTTATTGCTTATTTACAAATCTTTCATAAAAAATATTATGTAAGAAGCGTAACGTTCCATTTTTTACCTCTTCTCCATAACCATAGGGCCAAATTTAACAGAAATTGCCCAAAAAATCCTTGGGTGAAGGGAAATCTGAGGCCTATTCAACAGAGCGAACGTTCGCGAGCGCTCGCCAAAATTCCTTATCCCTCCAACAGAAATGTTCGCGAGTGCTCGCTCTGTTGAACAGGCCTCAGATTTGTTCAAATGATATGAGCCAAGTCCTTTTTCACAGCGGAAAATGTATTCGGATCATTAAACATCTTCACTGGGCCAGAAAAAATAAAACTTATTTGGGAACTTCTGGACATAGTGAAAATTTAAATTTGCGCAAATCATGCCCTCTCCCCCACCCCTCCCAAAGGCATAAGGTTGGACCAATAGGCGGTCAAAGTTTAACATGGGAATTCCCATTCCTATATTTAATATATAGGAATTTTTTTTTTAAATCTACATTTCAAGAACTAATTGGCTACAAAAGAAATATGAAAGCTTCCTGACATAGCGTAGGTTCTATAATACCCAAATCATCTGGAGGTAGGGTAGAGTTTTCATTGCAATTTAGAAGAAAATTCAAGTCTCAAGAACCACAAGGCCAGAAAAAAAGAAACTTAATTTGTGAAAGGTTTCTTAGTACAAAATTCTAAATTGTTCAAACCTTGGCCCCCTTGTGGTAGGGTACAACCACATTAGATGATTGAAAATTTACATGGATTTTTTTTTTTTTAAAATAAAATCTTTAAAAATCCTTTTTAATGGACTTTAGGGAGAATCGCTGACTTTCACAGTCGACGGCTACTTTTGACATTTAAACCCGTTATGTACGGAGGTGCGGAATTGACTATATGTAAGAAACCTAAGACGTGGTTATAGATATTGTGTTAGAGGCAATAATATACTGAAACGCAAAAGAAATGCAACATCCTATTATAGGGGAAAATATATATAGGATTACAATTTTGTTTCTAAAAAGTAAGGACATCTTCAACATTGTAAATATCGGTAATTTAACGGTTGAATGATTTTCATACCATTACCGGAAGTTAGGTTTGATTCCGCTTAACAGAAATCAAAAATTACATGTTTAACAAAATATTTTGCAATAATATGGGGTTTTAAGAATTTGTATCTGTTCATCATAAATAATGAAGCAATGTTACGAAAAATAAATTCTCCTTTCTTTTCCGTAAGCGATGCCAAGGCTTCCTAAAAATGACTTAAGTACGCATTTCCATTGCTCTAGCTGGAAAATCTCAAAATAAAGGTGATGGAGAGTTGCAAATGCAAATATGCAACACCTCACGCCTCAACAGGCTCTTACGTATCATTAGCATGAATGACAGTCGTTGAACCGGAAGTCCAAGGGTTACTACAACTGCGCTTGGCTAGAGAAAATTCGACCTCATCATCTGAAAAACAGGTATTTAAAAATGGCAAAGAATATTTCTTTCGCTCAGATCTCGATCTTGATGAACCTACTACATTGTAGAAATCAAGCAGCAATTGTTGTACATGGCAGTCTTGCACGCTGTAATTGAATGGCTGGGGTGGGAGTGTTTTAACATTCATTTGTTACTTTCTAAAGTTAAAAGATTATAATTTTACATTCTTATCAAATCTTTGATGTTTATAAATCGAGTTTTACCTTACTGTATTCATTTTTGAAAATCATTAGATAAAAAATTCAAATATTTGTAGATTAATGCTTGTTGAGTTTCTTTTGCGTTTCAGTATATCATTTACCTGTATACAATCAACACAAGAGATGATGGGAGGCAGAATAACACAATTTAAAATATCTTTTGTATAACGGACAACAACTCCTTTTAATCCCATTCTCTGAATGAATCAAAGTAGAAAAAACATTCTAGAAAGAAAACATCGCAAATTTCGGGTAAGTAGAAAGAGAAGGGGTTGTGGATGGAGTGTTTGCCCTTCTCTTCTTAACCAACATAATATGTGCTTTGAAAAGGCCCATTGTCATCTTTTTTACAGTTAACCTATATATATATATATATATATATATATATATATATATATATATATATATATATATATATATATATATATATATATATATATCGCAATAGAGCTCCTATATATTGTTCTAGTCGTCAACTGTGAAAGTCAGCGCTTCTCGGAAAAGTCCATTATGAAGACGAGAAGGAGCATGATTAGTGATATAAATATGCAAATAGTTCAGCTTATGCATATTTAAATTTGTTCATATCATGGCCCCTGGAGCTTAAGGTAGGGATACAATAGAGAAACAAAGTTTGACATAGAATTGATGGGAAAAAATCTCAAGAACAGCAAGCCATCCCGGTAGCTCAGTCGGTTAAAGCGCTCGCTCCGTGATCGGAAGGCCATGAGTTCGAATCTCGGCAGCGACTGACATAAGTCGATAAACTGTTCCTTCGCCGAGAAGTCGGCACTTTGATGTGAAAGTTGTGATGAGACCTTTTATTGACTTTTTTTAAAAAATCCGAAGCCCAGTGTTACGATTTGACTTACCGTATTAAGGGAGTTATGATTTAATTAAAATTGAATCCACACAACATTGAGATGCTTCAAAGTCAATAAAATAGACATGGTCATGCTGTTCCGGAAAAGATTTTGTGCCCCTACCATGAAATAAAAATTGTTTTAAACTTTTCATCTACCATTCTGTCATTCCACCATTTGTAAAAATAAGTTTTTACGGACTTTTTTTGCTATGCTTGTAGATTGAATAAGCTTGTTTTTGGTATATGTTATTTGATACTGAGGAATTAAAGATCAAGTTTAAGTTTCGTGTTAAATGACAGCTATGGCCCTTAGACTTTGAAAATTTCTGATAACTCGCCTTTTTTTTTTTTAATTTCTTTTGCTATATTTGTAGATAATGAGCTAATATTTGGTACGTCACTTGATATTGATGATTTGTAGTTAAGTGTTATTTAAATTGACTATTTTTACAAAAAAAAAAAATTAACCCTGGAAAATTTCGAATAAATCACCATTTTCCCGACATTGTTTTTCTATACTTGTAGGTAGTGAACTGATATTTAGCTCACCTGACCTGAAAAGCTAAAGTGAACTTTTCTGTTCACATTCTGTTCGCCGTCCGTCCATCTGTCTTTTTCTGTTCACATTCTGTTCGCAGTCCGTCCACTGTCTTTCCGTCCGTCCGTCTGTCTATAAAGTATATTTTCGACTTCTTCTCCAGAACCACTAAACCAATTTCAACCAAACTTTCCGCAAAGAATTCTTGGGTGAAGGAGTTTCGAGATAATTAAAATGAAGGGCCACACACTCTTTCAAGGGGAGTTAATAAAGAATTCATAAAAAAAATTGGTAGCATCTTTTAAAAATTCTCAAGAACCACTTGGTCAAAAAAGTTAAAACTTGTGTAAAGCCTTCATTCTATAGTGTAGATTAAAATTCGTTTAAATCAAGAGCCTTGGGTAGAGTGTGGCAACGGAGGGCGGGGGGGGGGGGGGGTTAGTTAGGAATATATAGTGAAAAAATCAAGAACAGCAAAGCCATGTTTGGTCCTATGAATATGGAAGTATCCCCACGTAGTGTAGATTCAAATTTGTTGAGTACATGACCCCTGGAGATTGGAGGGATTTACATAGAAATATATAAGATAAAATCTTTTAAAATATTTTAAAAACTTCTTGTCAAGAACAGCAAAGCCAGGATTAGTCATAAGTGATATGGAATCATCCTCAGGTGGAGTAAATATAGGGTTGTTTAAATCATAACCCTTGGGACAGGGTGGGATTACATTGGGGGATCAATTTTTGTTTTACATAAGAGTATAGAGAAAAGATCTTTTGAAATCTTCTCAAGAACAGCAAAGCAATAATTAGTCACGAATATATAGGAGAAAATCTTTAAAAATCCTCTTGTCAAGAACAGCAAAGCCATGATTAATCATATGAATATAGAAGCATTCTCAAATAATTTAGATTCAAGTTTGTTCACATCATGACACCTGGCGGTAGGATAGGGTGAAAGCTTGTACTAATGAATAATGGCATGGCCATATTGGCTCAGTTGAGCGGGTCGTCCGCGTGGCGCAGTGGTAGAGCGTCTGCTCTAGAGTTGCGGTGTAAGAATTTTCACTCATATGGAGACGCTTCCACTTGCCGGTGGAGGGCTACAAATTTTGACCTATACTTGGCACTCAGGGCCATTAAGCAGTGAGGGAACTTTTTTCATGCCAGCACCTACTGCGACACGGGACCTCGGTTTATACGGTCTCATCCGTATAATGAGATGTTTTAATTATTAACAATAATCTGAAGAATTTTAAATAATTTCCTATCTATTCATGAAATAAGATCCCCTTTTATGGCCCAACCCTACCCCGGGGTCATAATATTAACAAAACGTAACAAATTTAGCTGACACCTCGGCTTTTATATTTCAAACAACATTTCTCGACCTTGGAGATTATCCTGCAACATCTAAGAAAATGAGAACTTTATTTGTTGATTATGTACAATATAATCAAAATATTATTATAAATAGTTGAAAATAAATTTTGCTTCAGTAGTGTTTGACAAAATACTGATATGTTAAAGATTTTCTTGGCTCCTAATTCAAGGATACAGCCCCTTTTTAATAATATATGATATAAAAGATTTTGTCATTCTGCACAACTTCTGTTCAGATGATTTTACAAAGTATTTACAGGTATAAAGCTATGAAAGAAAGTGTATCAAATTTAATGAGATGTTTCTGAAGAAATTTTTTGAGCTCTACAGAGCTTTGGAACCTTTTGTGCTGGAAATAAGGAAGCCTAATGGCACATCTACATGCTTCCCTCTACAATCACTGAAAATCATAAATAAATATCCCAAGTCATTTAGGAGGAGTTTCCAAACATCAATAAAGGTTAAGCTGCTTCCGAGAACTTGCGTGCACTAAACTGGTAGGAATAAGAAACTAAACAAATTTGTGTCCGCGGCCCCGCTTATTAAGGAAAAAAAAGATGATGCGCAGATCGGGGGGAGGGTTCCGACACCCCCTGGATTTGTAGAATTATTAAATGTCTATACTGAAGGAAATAAAAAATGCCAATATGGATACATAGAATTGATTTCTTAAAATGTGTAAAGAAGATTCTTTTATATTAAAGATTTATCACTCTGTAATAATGATTTTATGAGAAAGTTTATACACGACATACGTTATAACTTCTTCATTTCATCATTTAGTAAATCGAAGAAAAAAAAATTCCAAAAAAAATACGGGACCATCCGGGATTCGATCCCGGAACCTCTCATATTCTATGAGAGAATCATACCCCTATACCAACGACGCACTTGAAATCAATGTAAATTAAATGGAAACAGTAGGTCACAAATACATGTTTATATTCACGTTCGATATTGCCAAAATTTTACACAACACATGGTGTCTAATTTAGCCTTTACTAAAAGGTTCTATTAGATGTAATTAGAATGTAAAATCCGTCAGCAACACAGCAATATCTATCATATGTAATAACTCTCCACATGCTACTTTTAATATAAAAGAGGAGTGACTCTAAAACTTTGAGTGTGATCGATGCCAACAATTTGTTAAAAAAAAAAAAAAAAAAAAAAAAAAAAATTAAAAATAAATGAAAAAAAAAAACGTGGCGGGACACTTTGAGAGAGGCGAGCGGGGCCATGGGGAGTTATGGTATAAAATTTCATTGCAAAAGCTCAAAAGCTTCTTGAGATATCGCCCGGAAACGAAAGTGTTACACACACAGAATGTATGAATTTATAACCTTGACCTTTGACCTTTTAATCTCAAAATCAATTGTGATCTTGCTAAGGCCATTGGGAGTTGTGGTATAAAATTTCATTGCAAAAGCTCAGAGGCTTCTTAAGATATCGCTCGGAGACGAAAGTGTTAAAACAGACAGATTTAATGAATTTATGAGGTCGACCTTTGACCTTTTGACCTCAATATCAATAGGGGCCTTTTTTAAGGCCATAGGAAGTTATTATTTAAAAAATTTCATTGCAAACGCTCAAAGACTTCTCGAGATATCTTGCAGAAACGAAAGTGTTACAAACAGACAGAAAGACGGAGGGACCGACGGACGAACAGACAGATCGAAATTAATTTCCTCCACTTTCAGTGAAAGCGGGGTACAATAAACAAGATTATAAACTTCATCAGGTGAACTACGAATGTCTAAAATTTATTTAACCAATTTAGTGATTTTATCTATAAAGTTCGTGTATTCTCATTTCTGTAGCCGTTTGAAGTATTTCATTGGGTGGATCTTGTCTGAGAGATTGTTGGTATGAATATAGAGCAGCCTGGGGGTTTCCTGTCACCTGTTGACAGATCCCCAGAATCTGCCACGATATGTCCCTATAATCTAAAGATATAAGCTGATCGTGATCATAGTGAATTAGGGTCTGTAGATCATCTACAGCTGTTTTTGCTCTCATTGTGTCTACATGTCTGTAACACAAAATCTGTAGCATGTATAACAGTATAAAGGGTGGGACAATTAATACAAACAAATTGTTCAGTAGCGCAGATTGTTGTTCTGGTATTAATTCACTGATGTAATGAATTTTATTGTATAGTATGACTTCCCCTGCTATAGCCTGTCTCATCTTTGTCGACCAGGACTGTCCCCCTACAGCCTCAGTATACATCACTGTATCCACATGATCCCCATACATCACATATGGCTGTGCTAACTTGACCTTGATCATCTCTATAATAGATAAAGCTTCCATGTATCTAAGTGTTCTGTAATAATACATGGCTATGTACAGCATGTCAGTAATATAACCTAACTTGGCTGCTAATTTCAGCATATAAAAGGAGATTTTTTCAGCTCTGTACCTTAGTTTGTTTTTATGTGCACAGGTTTTCATGTGTAATATAAAAGCAGTGCTCTGAAGAACGTTAGCTGTAAGTTTCTGTAGCATTAGGACTTGATTCTGTGTCAAGAAGGGTGAACTTATCATCTGTTCTATTGTATCTAGAAATCTCATACAGCTTTGTGGGTTAAGTCTGAGTAGTGATGCATAGCACTGTATTTCCGAAAACATATTGACATCAAACTTAGTCTCAGAAATCAGAGTATGTTCATCTGTACAGATGGAAAGTCTGGGGTTATGAAGAACATTTATAATAAAAAACCTAATGGAGGGGCTGTGTAGCAGGAATGCTAAACCCTTCTCATATAATCCATACAGTCTTATAAATAATTGATGTTGTGCTTCACCATGAATTTTACTCAGAAACATGTTGTTTTCTGGAATGAAAAAGTTAGGACAGACCCCCTCATACACCCATTTGAGGATGAGTTTAAAACAGACCCAGAAACCCCCCAGGAGATTTTGTGGACACCAGTGAGGTATCGTATTTTGTTGAATCACCCAGAAAACTGCTGTCTTCATGTGATAGGAACACAGTAATTTATCATCATCACCTACTCCATTGTTAATTATTTCTGTTAAGAGGAATTTAAGCAAGCCGTAAGTTAAGAATTGACAGTGATTCATTGCACATACAAGTTTTTTTTCTGCCAGAGAGAAAGACATTCTCCATTCATGGTCTTCGTGACTTCCTAGCTTATGCCCTATTGCCACAAAGTGACATCCATTTTTTACTATATCATCAACAATATGAGGCTGGGGCCATGAGTGACATCTGTCTATCCACGAGGAGGCAGATGGAGGCCAAAAGTCACAAACAAAACAGTAAGCGTGATCATAATCTTGCGTTCCAATTGTTCCACTGGCACAGGGTCCATGTTGAGTGGAGTCTAAACACATGATCTGTCTGTATTTAGAACTAGATACATAATGTCTGTTATTCATTCTAATACAAGCTCTCTGGACTTGTCTGTTCATGCTCGGTGAGAGTAAATATAATAAAGTGAATCCTGGTGGACTATCAGAACAGTCACAGAGGATCAGTGTTTGTCTGTGTGTGTTGTAATACTGAGACTGAGATAATTCCCAGATCACACGGTGATTATTTGGCCAGAACATAGCGTCTATATCTGATCCTTCCAATCTGAATCCTTCTCCTTGACTTCCACTCAAATTTACATTGATCCCTTCCCTCGTTTTCACTGGATTTTCCACCATATCCCAGATGTCCACCACATCTCTCCTCATGGCCACAAGTTGTGAGGTCCCTACTTCACGACACAGTCCCACAAACACTGACTCTGATATGTGTTGTAGGGCTGTCTTACTGAGAAAGATTTATCAAAGATCTGATATATATTGTATGGGATATAACTTAAGCAAATGATTACTAAAGATCCACCATTTAATCACGAGATTTAGTTCATTATATGTATGACACAAAACAATTATATGCCTATGTTTTTTTTAATAGTAGGTTGAGAATATTCAACATGAATTACTGTCATTAAAACTTACATTTGTAACGTTCTAATGGAGTCCATTTTTACAGGTTGGACTGAAAAGTTTCAGGTTCTATAATTAGTACAGAAGAACCCCATTATATCCACTTTCATTTTAATGAAAAGCATTCAAGGAACAAGAGAATGGCATTTATTAAAAATTCAGCAAGTTTTAACAAAAGTATTTGTAGATAGAATACTTAAGTGAATAAAAAAAATGCACAGCAATACTGGGAAATGTTTACTTACCATGGTATTTGGTAAAGGTTCTGTTGAATAATTTAAAAGAGATCATATCATCCATGAAATTGAGTGAGATTCATTTTTTTAGACTGCCGTGTCCAAACTAACTTGCACGAACTGGCTTGCTTTAAGGTCCAGTGAATTGAGGTTCAATGAAGGATGACAAGATGTTTAAAGAAGAAGTTCCCCACGGGATCTTAACACGAAATTTAAAATGCTTTTACAAAAGTATGAATAGATGATTTTAATGTAACATGCCGTAATCTAGTGAACAAATTAACTTTTGTAGTATTTTAAGTTCACCGAGCTATGAACTTAGGTGAGCTCATCTCATCACCAGTTGTCCTGCATCTGTCTGTGCAGCGATCTGTTTGTCTCTCAATTTTACACATTTTGATCCTTCTCAGCAACTATTGGGTTTCCAGACTAGAATGTCGAGGTAATTTATTACTATTTATAAAATTAAATTGTAGAAATTGATTTTTATTAAAACTTTATCTGAATTTCAGGGGGTCCTATGCAATCGATGTTACATGACCATATTTATTCATATTGTTGATTTGTTATTTATAATAATATTTGGTATATCATCAGAATATGATTTTGAAAATTTCTTTTTTTTAATTCTTTCGTAATAAGCCGCTACCAGGTATATATATTTAAGACCGACCCGAAGCCGCTCTTAGGCTTGACCATATTATATTTATAGAATTTTTTTTTATCCCATCCTTTGAACTCATAAACATTGCATTATCAAAGAATTGTTTAATAATGTTTTCCCCTTTTGTCTTTAATAATATTTGAAATGAAAATATTTTGGTAAGACATGTAGAACCAAAATTTGTGAAATAACAATCGCTATTATTTCATATAATTTAAAAAGGGCTGGTCTCAAAAATGAGAAAAAAATCAATTTAAGCCTTTTGGGGGGAGGAGGGGGGGGGGGCAGAAGGGCCTGAGCCCAAGTTGGCTCTTCTTATCAAACTCCATCTTCTGTCGGCAGTCCATCCATCCATCAATGTTGCTATGTTTACATGTCTGTTAATTTGTTCTCCTATTCTGTTTGATAAATAGAGGATATTCTGTGTTTTGTAGTTGGATATGGAATTAAATTCACGAGTGGGACAGGGTTTTTGATATGTTCACGAGTGCGAGGCACGAGTGAATATATATACAAAAATCGTGTCTCACGAGTGAAATGAATTCCATATCAAACTATAAAACATAGAATTTTCTGTTTAATACATTTATTTTTTCCCCGTTTGCCTCTGTCTTTTCGATGCACAGTCATGGACTGTGACGTCATAGTTGAGCAGTTGAGACGTCATATGTAGCTAACATTGTAAACATCATTTGGAGAAACTTTGACAGTTTCAGTCTCGGTCAGGATGGATTACTTACTTTCTTGATCTTATATCAGGCCAGGGAGTTTTTTTTAACAACATTCTTCGTAAAGGAAAGGAAATTGAGTGTTCTGCTGCACTTCTGATATTATTTCACACTGTGACAGGATATTAGTTTTATTCAATAGAAAAATTACAGTATTTCACTGTTGAAAATGTAATGATATACATTTTCTGCTTTTTATCCAGAACCACATATCCAATTTGGACCAAACTTGACACAGAGAAATCTTAGTTTTAAGTTTGTTCAAATGAAGAGCAATGTCACCTTCCAAGGATAGGTAATCAGGAAAAGGCAAAAATAGAGTGGGTCCATTTAGAAAAAAAATCTTCTCAAGAACCACTAGGCCAGGAAAAACATTAACTAACACTAGAGCTTCTTGACATTGTGTAGCTTCAAGATTGTTCAATCCTTGTTCCTTGGTGAAGGATTGGCCATAAGAAAAGATAGGTTTTACATTGACATATGTAAGAAAAAAATCTTCCTCTCAAGAATAGCAGGGTTCTGATAAATTATTTTAACATGCAAGCATCTTCATGTTATGCAGATTCCAGTTTTTTCGAATTATGTCCCTTCCCCTGGGGGTTAAGGGTAGGGGGGGGGGGCAAAAAGCCAGAATAAGTAAAAGTTTTGTATTCGTTAATTGTAATTGCTCTCAGTAGGGTGTTAACTGTGATTTGTTCTCGATAAAACGTTAGGTTTGTTATTTACTGCCCACAGAAATATGTCTATACACTCGAGTGAGATTTACTGATCATCTTTCCTTGCTGTCTGTCTGTCTATCTGTAAACTTTATACGTTTTTACTTCTTCTCCATAACCAAGGGGCCAAATTCAACCAAACTTCCAAAAGCATCATGGGTGTAGGAGGTTCAAATTTGTTTAAATGCCAAAGGCCAAGCCAGTTTTCAAGAGGAAGGAGGAAGAAAAATAAGAAAGAGTAAAAACATGTTGGGGTCAATTAAGCATCTTCTTCTGAAATCTTGGGCCAGAAAATAACGAAACTTATCTAAGTACCTCTAGACATCACTGAAGAGACAATTTGTCGAAATGCGAATCTGGTGCATCAAAATTGGTACTGTATATGATTTACATAATGTATATTCAAGTTTACTCAAATCAAAGCCTCCTGGGAGGGTTGGGCCAACATCAGGGGATCAAAATATTTTACATGGGAATATATGAGGAAAAAATCTGATTAAATCTTTTTATCAAGAACCACTTGGCCACAATAGATATGTGAAAGATTCCTGTCATAGTGTAGGTTCTATAATGTCCAAATTATGACCACGGGGAAAGGGCCGAGTTATAGTTTAACATGGGAATATAGAGTAACATTTTAGTCTCGTTAAGAACCAAAAGGGCAGAAAAAAATGAAAATTATGTAAAACGTTTCTTAACATATATAATTTACATTCTAATTTTCAAATCATTGCCCCCTGTAAGGGATGGCAATAATAGATGATCAAAGTTTGACCTGGAATTGTTGAGTTAAAATCTTTAAAAATCCCATTATTATGAAGAAAAGTAGGGACTTGCTTAGTGATATTAATATGGAAATATTTCAGGTTGTGTAGATTCAAATTTTTCTTACCATCTCCTCCGGAGATTAAGATAGGAGCCACAGTAGAGGATCAAAATTTGAAGAGAATTTATAGAAAAAAAAATCTTTTTAGGAAAAACTGGTCTATCAACAATGATATTACTATGGTAGAAACCTTAGGTTGCAGATTTAAGTTTTGTTTAAGTCATGGTCCCAAGGTATAGAGTAGGGCCACAATAAGGGGTCAAAATCTTACATTCATGTAGAAATAAAGAGACAAAAATGTTCTCAAAAACAGCAGGACAGTCACGGTAGCTCGGTTAGAAGAGCATTAACTTAGTGATCGGAAGTTTATGGGTTTGCAATAAACCTGAGTTGGTAAAAAATGTAGCAACTCAGCACTTTGATGTGAAAGTTGCAAGTCTTTCTAATCAGATTATATAAAGCTTGGCCCTGGGTCACATCAAATGTTGGCACGATAAAATCCCTCACTGCTCTGAGCACTGAGTAAAGTTTTAATTTTGAAGCCCTTCACTGGCATACAGTGTCGTCGCATATGAGTGAAATAATCGTGCAAGGGACATTAAACCACAAACAATCAAGAAATCACACTCAGCATGGACATGACAAGTACAAGCTTATAACGAAGTACCAGGGAGGGGAATGAAAATCACTTAGCTATACGTCAATTCATTACAAGCGTGTTCGATATAAGCTATAAGCAAGTTTCATTATATTAGAGTAAAACGTATATAATGATGATGTTGTGTATTTCAAATATTGCATATCACGATGTAAGCTTTAATCAAGTCCCTTTCAATAAATTCAGTTGGTTAAAATGTTGCCAAATCTTGATTGATGTCTAATTCAGCCAATTTCTATGGAATCAGTAGAGTCAGGGTTAGACAAGTTTTACTGTATTAATATGCAAGCATCTTTAGTAAGTACATATTAAATCTAGATTATATGAATATGCAAGCATTCTCAGATAGTGTAGATTCAAAATTGTTTTTATTAGTGCCAATTAAAGGGCTTGTTATAGGAGATAACATTTTATACGAGATTATATAGGGAAAAAATCTTTAAGAATAAAAAAAAATCGTAAGAAGCACAATAGAAACAATCCCAATCCTTTTTAATTTAATATGACTTTAACTGAGATCAAATTCTTTATAATCCATGTATACATGAAAAATCAACATATCATTTAGAACTTGTAAACATATTGATATCGAAGCATCTCACTGCTATGTGGATTTAAATTTGGTCAAGTCGTGACTCTTTAAAATTATGCTGGTTTCACTATATAGTGTCAAAAATGTTCATGTGGAAATAGATAGGAAAAATCATTTTACGAAATTCATTTGAAAAACACCAGGCCAAGTGACTCAGGTGAGCATTATGGTTAATGGACCTCTTATTTTAAAGCAAATAGAGAAAAAAGTGAAATGTGAAAAAATAAACAAGATTAAAATTTTTATCAGCGAAACTACAAATGTTTAACGATTATTTAGCCTAATTTATCTACACATTTCTCTTATTCTCATTTCTGTAGCTGTGTGTATTTTGTTGAATGGTTCTTGTCTGAGGGATTGTTGGTATGAGTATAGAGCAGCCTGGAGGTTCCCTGTCACCTGTTGAC